GCAGATCTGCAAATGGGGGACTGCCGGGATTTAGACCGGGGGGACTGCCGGAGGGAAGAGGAGGAGGACATTTTTTACCGGCGCGAAGCGCCGGAAAAAAATTAGCGATTTTTAATAATGAACTTTTACAGGTGGCGGCTCGATGGAGAAGCTGATGGCGCAGTCGGGAATTCAGAAAACTATTTGTTGCATGATTGTTAAATGTTGCATGTGATAAACATTGACGGTTACAAAGCACCCAAGAACAGCATATAACCAGACATAGGGCCAGGGCGCAATAGGAACATAACGCACGGATGCTACTTAGTTTATTGAAGTTAACTAGCTAACAAACCGGGACAACCTAGAGATTTTCAGAGAGGAGATATCTGAAAATAGCGACTTTTTCAGGTTTTTACCGTCTAGTTGGCTGATATCGATATTTAGATGGCAGAAAGTGGTACCAACTTGTAGATCTCGTCATTCCGCGTCGAACGATACCTTACATGTCCCGTGGGCAGTCGGACTTCGTGGAGAAGTTCGATGAGATATCAGAAAATAGCGACTTTTCACGGGTTTTTCATCAAATTCCGCGAGATCAATATGTACAGGGGTGAAACTGCCACCAATTTGTAGATCTCGTCATTCCGCGTCGAACCATACCCTACATGTCCCTTCGGCAGTCCGACTGCCTGGAGAAGTTCGAGGAGGTATCTGAAAATCGCGATTTCCTCATGATCATAACGGACAGACCGACCGACAGACAGACAGACCCACAGACAGAAAGACAGACACCCCCCGCTCTGGCTTTATTCTGCGTCTCCGATAACCCTAAGCATCTTAAAATCCAAAATTGGCTTTATTTCCGCCCCATTCCATGATTCGTTAGACAAAATTTGGTCGCTGCAAATGGTCTGCAAATGCTAAGACCTACTTTTTGCCCCGAAAATCGGACTGCCGACGCCACGCTCTTTACGTTTTTGGATAGAACAGCTTAACGTACATCTCGTGTGAAAATTTCATACAAATCCATCGCCAAATTACTGAGATATGATTTTTTGAAGAAATCGGAAAAATGTGCTCCTGCAAATGGTCCTCAAACTCGGCAGTCCAGGATCTCCGTGATCCAACAATTTCTCAAGAAGGTTGGCATGCCATCAGATAGCCCTTGTTCTTACCTTCAAATTGAGCTACCTCTCCCTTAGATCCCAGCTTCCGGGCCTGAGCTATCGCCGTTTAAAGGGACGGCACACGACCCTCAAAAACCCGGTTTTGAGGATTCGCAGATTTTATGTTACACTCCGGCAGTCCAACATCTCCACGAAGTCGGACTGCCGACGGGACATGTTAGTCATGGTTCGACGCGGAATGAGCAGCTCTACAATCTGGTACTACCTTCCGGTCCTGAAATTACCGTATTCCGGATTTATGCCGGAAAAACCTCCTAAAAACCAGGTTTTCTCGTCCGGCAGTCCAACATCTCCAGGAAGTCGGACTGCCGACGGGACATGTTAGGCATGGTTCGACGCGGAATGACGAGATCTATGATTTGGTGGCACTTTCAGCCGTGTACATATTGATATCGCGGAATTAGACCGAAAAAAACCGGTAAAAAGTCGCTATTTTCAGATATCTCCTCGAACTTCTCCTCGAAGTCGGACTGCCGACGGGACATGTAAGGTATGGTTCGACGCGGAATGACGAGATCTACAATTTGGTGGCTGTTTCACCCCTGTACATATTGATCTAGCTGAATTTGATCGAAAAAACCCGTGATAAGTCGTCCCTAGGATGGCGGCGTAGCCGCCCCGAAAAATCGCCTTATCCGCCCAAAAAGGACTGCCGGACCCCCGGAAAATGGACTGCCGGGATTTTGCCGCTGCATAACCTTGCCCACCCCTGGTCCCATTCACCATCTACTACCTAGACCATATGGCTTTGCAGGTAACAAATTCGTCCAAAAATCGGGATCGATGGAACCCATATGGAATAAAGATTTATAGGTTTCCAATTCGGCTTCGATCCAATGCCGCGAGGAGACCAAGACGGTGCTGAAAATTCGACTCGACCTGCTACGCAACCATCCTGACGCTGTGAATGGCGCAAAGTAGCTTTTAACCGTTAGAAAAAATTTATGTAATGTAGGCCCTCCGTCTTTTCCTCAATGTCGTCGGCGTTGTTTGCGCTGATGATCTACACTCGCGTTGGCTAGTGGTAGCTTAAAGCGGCTTTTTTATCTCGTGTTGTTTCAAATAATAAACGTGTTTTTTTAAGCTTGGCCACAACGAACTAAAGCTCTAGATTCTAAATGGCACTACACAAAAAATTTTAGGTTGGCGCTTTCAAGTTTATCGTCATTTCGAAGCTTCAAACCAAAGGAAAAGTCCCATGACAGGCCTACCAACTTGCAAAACACTTCCGAAGGCACTTGAAATCATTCTGTCGTTGGATCACGTTTTTGGTGTTGTCTTGTCTCCCTCCAGTTCAGGGAATTTAATTAAATTGGAACTATTTTGGTTTGGACAACGAACTGTTGTGTCATTTTGTCTAGTCAAAATGTGTCTTCAATAAAACGGGAACAACGGGACTCGAAAATCAGAACGACAGCATGAATTCCGCAGCTCTACTCTCCGTCGGCCTTCTGGTGCTCGCTGCCGTTTGCAGCGTTCAATCGGAAATGGAGCCGTGCGTTACCGAAAAGGTAAATTAAACTTTTTAATTTTTAAGTAATTTAACTTGGGTCTCTCAAGTTCTATATTTCAGTCCACCTGCTACGAAAATATCACAACAAGACACTTCCCCCGGGAGCGGTCGCGATGGGCTGAAAATCTTTGCCGGTTGTTTTCTTTTGTAGCACTTTCTAACTTCCTGTTCCTTTAACAGACACATTCCCAACTTTCAAGCCTATCACTGCTTGTGCAGCAACAAGTTTGTCGACGACTACAAGCGGAACAACTGCGGCAACAACGTGGGCTTCTGTAAGATTTTTCTGGTTTGAAAATCGTCCATAGGAAAAAATATACCTACCTGAAAATTATCGAAATGCCGACGAAAAGCTTAGCTAGAATACCGACAGCAAAAATTTGGTTTTTGAATACACAGATTCGAACCTTCTTGCGTATGTATTTTCAGTGTCGGTATTCCGGCTGGTAAGCCCTTGGCGCCCGGCATTTCCAATGTCGGCATTTGGCATATCGCTATCTGTCTCTCACATACATGGTATCTGTCCGCGTCTATTTCTGTCGGTATTTTTTCGACCTTTGAAATTCCGGATTTTCGGTGATTGTCTTGTTCTTGGAATTGCGGCTTGTCGGTTTCCATTTGTCGGTATTTCGGTTTTTCGGTACCTTGGCTTGTCGGTATTTTTGCTTCTAAACTTTTCTAAGGTTGGCATTACGGCTGGAATCCCACAAAAAGTTTTTCTTTTTCTATCTATATTTCGTTTCAGTGCAAACCCGGATGACCTGCGGCGAATTTCGGCCAAGCGACCAGTGCCCGCAAAAGTACGAACGTTCTAAGAAAACCTGCTGGGACTTGGCCCAATATTCCGAGTGTCTATATGCCGAACAGGCCGAGATGTGCCAAAACACGCGCGCTTACAAGATCTACTTCTACAACGAGATGCTCCTCGAGGTTTCTCGATTTTTTTTCTTGGCTAAAGATGATACTTTTAGTTGAACACCCGTGAAACGGTCCGGTGCCGCAAGGAGCGTATCGAATTTGTCGAGCACGTGCGCGATCAGCTTGTGGGATGAGACCCAGTCGATGAATGATTTGTCGCACCAAATTCTAAATAAACTCATTACATAGTTAAACCTGTACGGAATTTGCGGCTTCGTGGCATTTTATCGAATTTTATTAGTCGCTGACGTGCTAAGAAGGCTTTTTAGCCCGCGGGCATATAGAGATGTTCTCGCCGATCGATCTGCATGGTCCGTGTCTATACTACAACTGACCCGGGTCAGCAGATTCCCAAAAGCTTTTATGCAAATCGATGCGTTTGCGTTTTCGCTCTTGCCGTCTCTCTTTCTCTCACTCTCTTTCTCATTCTCACTCTCTCTCTCGCTCTCACTCTTCCTAACGCAACCCTTTACCTTTCAGATGGAGATCAACTTCAGCGATTTCCCGCTCCCGGTCCAGCATAACATCCTCCGGAACATGGACATTGTCGGCTTCTTCAGAACCGCAATCACGAGCAAAGAACTGCTGGAGGTGGCCAAGAGCTGCCGCGACAAGATTTGGGAACTGCGGCTCATATATGCTTCCCAAGCCTTCCACGGCACGATCCCAGGGCTTGGGCATCGAATCATCTCGAATAGGGACACCTGCAAACTACTCTTTAACGGGGCCACCTGTCGGCAACTGATTGTGGACGGACGGGTCCCGGACGATGTGGACTTGCGTTGCCGGACATTGTGGATTCACTGGCGGCCTGACGTCTCAGGCGCCACAAGCCGCGCGGGCGATATACCGTCGAACTCCCGGAACTGCAGCCTGATGCCGAGTTTCTAAACGACGCGGCTGTACTTCTCGAAGTTAGAACAATATCCGCTCCATTGTTGGCCTAAGCCGGGTTGAAAGTGTCGTTCATGCAGCTGACCGCACCATGCATGGGCCAGAGACTCGAACCCTACGCGAAGAGACTGATCGACGAATGGTTGAAGCAGGAGCGTCACATCCGTAGGATCAGAATCTTTGGCAAAACCGGATACCTGGAGATTTCGGTATTACTCCGGCCCTACGCCGAATTCTCTTAGCACCCGGATGGAAGTCGTCTCAAGGGGCGTATCCAGCGAAAGGATGGTGAATTTCTGGATGTTATAGTCGGGCCAGGTGATATTAGTATTGAGTCGGATTGCAAGAAAGTCTGAAGACAATCGCTTTGTATGTGACGATAAATTATTTTTTGTAAAGCCTTTTTTTGCTCGCAATGAAGCTCGAGCTCCGATTATCAGGGCAAAGTATTTCTTCGGATTAGAGACAGGCAATTTTCACCTAAAAGCGAAAAAATGCTCTCGCACTCCCGCTCTCTCTCTCTCTCTCCCTCTCTCTCTCTCTTTCTCTCTCCCTCACTCCCTCTCCTCGCTTCGGACTCTATCTCACTCTCTCCGTAGATCCGTTGGTCTCCCGGAAAACCGCTCGATTTCTGGTGTTCCGTTCCACTCGGTCATCCCACCGCGTTCCAAGAAGTTACACTTTCCAAGGACCTAAGAGCATCACTTTTATGGTCTAAAGGATATGCAAGATCCTGAGGTAGGCACAACTACAACACTATTCCGTCATCCAAAATGAAGATCCTATTTGTCATTCTCTTCTATGTAACCTACATAGCTGGTGGGGCTTGGCTTCAAGCCTAAGCCAAATCCAGGCCTAGGCCGAAGCAAAATCATAAACACGGATGTTTAGTAAGTACTGTGTCCGACAACATCTGGGTTCCTGTGGGTCCCTGTGTGTTTTAAAGGGATGCCGACGGGGTATTTCCCCTATCCCGAAATTCTGTATCCCGAAATTCTGTATCCCGAAATTTTGTATCCCGAAACTCTCTATCCCGAAACTCTCTATCCCGAAACTCTCTATCCCGAAAACTCTCTATCCCCAAAACTCTCTATCCCGAAAGCTCTCTATCCCGAAAACTCTCTATCCCGGAAACTCTCTATCCCGAAACTCCATATCCCGAAACAAGTTAGCTAGCTTTAACGTACCGAACACCAGACTAGATCTTTGAAGTAAATAGTTTTCCGCTATTTTTCGGTTTCGCAATTTGATAAATGATTTTCCGATGCCTTCAAGGATGTAGGGCATTAGGAAACCCAAAATACTGAGTTTCGGGATAGAGAGTTTCGGGATAGAGAGTTTTCGGGATAAAGAGTTTTCGGGATAGAGAGATTTCGGGAAAGAGAGTTTTCGGGATAGAGAGTTTTCGGGATAGAGAGTTTTCGGGATAGAGAGTTTCGGGATATAGAATTTCGGGATACAGAATTTCGGGATTGGGAGTTTCGGGATACAGAATTTCGGGATAGAGAGCGGTATTCATGCCGACAGCATAGGCATTCGGTTACGCGCTGGAAAGAAAATGTCTCTGCGCCTCTCCCCAGCGTGCGCTCTCTGTCCTGTTGGCTAATTGCCAATTTGTTGATGGGGGGGATCGACACATGCCGTCGGCAGCCCTTTAAGAGAATACTTCGGCGCAGGGAGCGCGAGGGAGTCAGAGAGAGAGAGTAGAGAGAGAGAGAGAGAGGGTGTGTTTGTGAGGAAGATAACTATATTGTAGTTGTATTCATATTTTCAGGGCATGATACGTGATGCGCGCTGCCGTGAACGAGGCCACAGCGGTGGCATCTGCAAGATACACACTATTAATGCGCATTGTTCGGTGACCTTGCAGCATTATTTAGTCAGCGGGACCCGGATTAGGATGATTCAAGCCACACCATAATTTGATTAGCTAACTTTGATCTCTCTTTTTCGCTTTCTCACTAGCTCTCTCTCTGTCTCTCTCGCTCTATCACTTTCTATCTATACCTCTCCACATATTTTCCCCATTTCTTTCGCTACACCCGCCATTAACCGTACTATAGCTTCAAATTTCAGGTTATGGAGATCAGTTTCCGCTCATTCCCACTCGTCGTCCAGCACCACATCCTCCGAAAAATGGATGTCAAAACCTTCTTTAAAACCGCGATCACCAGCAAGGAGATGTTGGAGCTTGCCAAGAGCTGCAGAGACAAATACTGGAATTTGTGCTTAAGCTACGACAACATACACTCCTTTTGCTGCTTTTCCATTGCTGACCGGCGGGCGCGTGATATCCAGATTAGGGAGGCCCGTCAGCTCCTCTTGAACGGCACCACCGTCGAATACCTGAAAGTTCATGGTCCGACCCCAAAAGATACCGATATTCGCTGCAAGCATTTGATGGTACATTGCGAGCCCCAAGATGCCCTACCAGCTCTAAAACGACACAAACCGATCGGAAACTACGCCGTCGATCTTCTAGGATTCCCACCAGAACCGGAATTGATCTCGTTTCTAAATGAATCCGTGACAAGACTCTGGGACCTACGACTCCCCGGCCCCCTGCCCCACTATATTGGGTTGAAGCTGCCGGAAATGACGCTGAGAACATCTTCGGTTCAGGTTGGGCTCATTTTCGTTTCTAAATTTTAATCTAGCAAAATTGTTTTTGTTGAAGTAGCATTTTTCGAAACTTTATTTTGTCTGTTTTTGATTTTGTCGAAATTCGCTCTTTAAATTTTTAATTTCTGGAAATTCCGCTTCAACATAACGTCATCATATTTTTTGAATTTTCTAGCATTATGATTTTACTTTATTTTTTGATTTTGAATTTGACTTTTTAGAAATTTTGTTTTCGAAAATCTACATCCTAATTTTCGACATTTTGAACTGGAAAATAGATTTTCTAAATTGTCGCATTTCAAAAAATCCAAATTGCAACGAAATGAAGCTCCGAAATTTTTAATTGAATGGTCGAAAAACTGATTTCTAACTTCGATAGTCCATTTTTGAAACACACATGTTAATTTTCCATTCAGAAAGCGGCTGGCCTTGACGAACTCTACGCAAAGCTACTGATCGACGAATGGCTGAAAGGAGAACGACATATACGGTTCATAACCATCATCTGTACGCCGGGATACCCGGATTACCCGGCATTGCTGCGGCCGTATGCCAAGTTTTCGCGGCATCGAGGCAACTACTGGCTGGCGGGCCGCATTCGGCGAAAAAACGGCGAGCTGTTGATGGTGTCGATTAGTGAGAGTATGATAACATTGCGGAAGGCAAAGAAATAAACCTTTATGTCATATTGCCCAACGAAGAATCGGCATTTTTTTAGATGCGTAGACAGGTTTCGCACATTTCCATTTTCAAGTTTTTTTTCAAAGTTATTATTCAAGGCATTTCATATTTTTTTCCTTGATCGGCAACTTCGAAATTTCGCGATTTTATAGAATAAATAGAGACATGATGTCAATCCGCGGCGTGACAGCGTTTTTAACCAAAAGTGCGGCTCTCAGGTAATTTGAAAATTGGCAGATGTTAGGCGAAACACGCCAAATCAGCTGATAGACACTAACTATCATTTCTAGCCTTGGATGTTGGCCTAAATACAAAACTAACCTTTCAAATAGCTTTGGCTTTCTTTCTCTCTCCCTCTCTCTCTCCCCCTCTCACTCTCTATCTCTCTTTCGATCTCGCTCTCGCTCTCTCTCTCTCTCTCTCTCTCTCTCTCTCTCTTTCAGTTTCCCTTTTATGTATTACCGCAGTTATGTACTTATTATTAATAATCTTTCTTTTGAGATGGAGCTCAACTTCTGCGCTTTCCCGCTCGTCGTTCAGCACCACATCCTTCGAAACATGGACATCCGAAGCTTCTTCAAGACTGCAATCACGAGCAAGGAGATGACCAAGATAGCCCAGAGTTGCAGTGGCAAGTATTGGAATGTTGCTCTCAGCTACGATGGCTGCTTTTTCGTTGCCGACCAGAGGGCACATCACGTCAAGGCTAGCGAGACCTTTAAACTCCTCTTTAGCGGGGCAACCGTTGAGAAACTGTGCATTTTTGGGCCGACCCCCAACGATATGGATATTCGTTGCAAGTGTTTGATGGTTAATTGCAACCCCGACGATATTCTACCAATTCTAAAACGACACAAGCCGGTGGGAAGCTACCACGTCAACCTCATGGACATCCCACCGCAACCGGAAGTGATGGCATTTATGAATGAACCAGTGGAAAAAAGCCGCTTCGCGGCAGTTTTCCACTGGCCACTGCTAGGTCAACATGACTCTGACCTCTCCAAAAGTCTACGGGAATTTTATGTGCCGGCCGTAGGCCGGTCACATCAAGCTGAAAAATGGATTCAAAGGTACAATTCAAAAAGTTTAGAGATAATTATGGCAAAGAACCAATGTTGAGGAAGTTAGACACATATTAGGGTGTTTAAAATATTTATCCGGCGAAATATAATATAAAAAAGCAACAAACAACAACAATAATAACAAACGAAAAGAACAACAATAAGAATAATAACAACAAAAAAATCAACAACGACAAAAGATTCAGAATTTTATTCGAGCACTTCTTCGTAGACGACGTTCTTCATCTTGTTGTCCTTGGCCATTATCGAGACACCTTTGCGGCTCCGTGCTCTCGAGAGAGCAACATAAAGCTGGCCGTGTGCAAAGATTTCTTCGTGTAACATCGCAATGCCGACCTTTTCGAATGATTGCCCTTGGCTTTTGTTGATGGTCATTGCAAAGCTCAGCCGAACCGGGAATTGGCGTCGCTTCAGCACGAATGGTAGTGTGGCTTTGTCATAAAGGCAATCAATTCGGGGGATCAACACTTTCTTGCCTTTCCTGCTACCCGTGGCAATTGTGCAGAGGAGAATTCTGGCTCCGATTTGCTCGACAATCAGCCTGGTACCGTTGCAGAGACCCTTTTTGACGCTGAGGTTTCGCAGAAGCATCACGATGCAACCCACCTTTAGATGGAGCTGGTGAGGAGGCATTCCAGATGGTGTCATCTTATTCAGAAGCTCTGCGTTGAAGTTGGCAGCATCGGTTGGATCAGAAGTCTCGGCCGAGTCAGCACTTCTGAAGGTTTTGACTTCTCCGGGTAGCATATCCAAGATACGATTGTTGAGCTCGAGAGCTTGTTCGTTCTTGGGTGTAAGGATAGCTACTTCAGAAAGTTCAACCCCTTCATCGAAGGCTGGTCGGAAAACTGCTTCGGCCAAATCTTGCTCGCATCTGAGATCTTCGGGTACTTCGAGGTCTTTCGATTCTCGAGTATCCCCTTTGTAAAGATCTTCCAATTCCTGGGGGAAATTGTCGAACAACGAAATAGCGATTTTGCCATGGCCGCAACACGAATGGAAACTGCCGCTCGAGGATTTCGTTTCGACTGCGTAATGCAATGCGCCACAGCAGCTGCAAGGTATGTCCGGCTCGCCAAGATAGTGGATGGGGGGAAATGCATCCGGATTCCGAGCAGCACCTGCGCGCGCAGCAGCCGTATGGCGTCGTTGCTGCCGGTGAGCCGCGGTCCGGATAGCATTTGCCGCGAGACGCAATGCTCTTTGGGATGAGGATTCTCGGTGTCGTGAACTTCCCGTGGATATCGCATCACGACTAAGGCGCTCCGACCGCCGGGAAGGCGATTCTCTGGAGCGCCTCGCCGCAACACGCGCAGCCCGAGCGAGATTCTGAGTCTCACGTTCACTTGTGCTCAACCGAGACTCCTGCAACCTTTTAGAGTAGAGGTCCTTGGTTCGCCGTGCGGCTTGCTCAGCTGGGCTTTCATTAGCACGTAGCCCCCTCACCCGGGCAGTGGATGTTTCACGCAGTGCCCTTTGACTCGAAGTCGGCGTGGCCACACCAAAACGATTCGCGGAGCGCAAGGATACGTAAATTTCATCGTCACTCGACTGGGGGTCAACATGCCGTCTGGCATTTCTTATTTTCTCGAGGCGATTTTCGTGACCCTCAGGAGTTTCCCTGGCTCGTTGATCTCGTTTACGGGCCGCCTCGGACTTTTTTTTCGAGTTCAATTGCGAAATGGGCGTGACAATGGCTAGATCTTCGACGGATTGCGATGGGAGGTGCGATTGATCAGGAGTTCCCTGGGAGCTATGCAAGCGTTTCGCACGCCTTGTCGCGAGTTGGGATTCATGCTCCTCATGGGTTCCTCCGACTCGCGGTTCCCTTTTGCCTTCCGCGTCAGACTTTCGCTTCCGTCGCTCGCGTGAACTCGGAGTCTGGCTCAACAAAACCTCAGGCACTTCGACAGGACCTTGAGCAAGTACAGGATCGGCCGGGGTCTGCTGTAAACTTTGGTCGTATTCCAACCTCAGTTGTACACGTTCCGCGCGACTAATCTTTTCCTTCCTTCTCTGTATTAGCACAGGCTCAGGTTTTGGAACAGGCGCGGGTTCCATCTGCTGTCGAGGCACCCAAAGCTTCGAAGAATCAGGGCCCAGCGTTTGCCAAGGGTTCGGAACGAAAAATCCCGAGTCAGACAGCTTCTTTCCCGTATGGAGCGTACCGGTCGAGTTACTGCTGGTATTCGGCACCGAAGGCATTTTCACGATCTGCATGGGATGCCGCGGTGTTTGAGGATAGGCCGCGGGGTGTTGTCCCGGAAAACAGCTGGAGGGTGCCGCTACTCGCCCAGTCAATTGAACCTCGGTATTGCTACCTCTTCGGGTCCAATCGGCAGGCCCTCTCTTCTTCGTACCCTGCTGAGGCTCAGCTGTTTCCGACACCCTTACCGGGTCCGGCAGATCGGTACTGGTGCCAACAGGACCGACATTACGACCGTCAGGCCGAACCATCCCTTCCGGGTCTGGCTTGTCCATCAACAGGCTAGCTGAACCCCTTGGCGTCGCAAGGGAGCGAGCGTTTAAAATTGTATGACCATCGGAGGACGACTCCCCCTTGAGCGTAGCGGCCAAAAATTCGTCACCCATTGCTGGGGCGCTCTAGGAAGGTGGCTGTTCAGTGTTAACCTTTCGGCCAGCCACCCGGCAGCGCTTCAAAACCTTGGGGGTTATCACCTGGGAGTGGGTTAGGTGGTGGGCGAGTCGGGACGGGCTGGGGACAGAGGGGTACTCCCCAGGCGCCCCAAAAGGGCGGCCCTCTCCGAAACAAAAACGGCTCTATCGCCCCGGAAATTCAACCAATTTTAAAAATTTAAAATGGTAAAGATTCAGGAGATTCTCCTCTATCTTTCCAGCCTGCCAATTATCCCCGATTGATCATCGGGAGCTGGCAAAAGCAGTTTTACAAAGGTGCATTTTATGCAGCGAAATTACAATATTTTCGCTAACTAACTACTTGCGCATGATCCCCACCCTTTGTTGCATAAACGGTCTAAATTCCAGCCCGGAATCCCATCAGGGCTCCGAGTTATGGCCCGGACACCACGGCCCGAGACGCGATTTATTAAGGACCTTTCTGAAAAATGCTCATAAAAAATGTCTCTTAATGAATTTCGCAAAATCCCGAAAAATATATCTGGGCAATCACATTTCTCATTTCCACTCCAAAAATCAAGACCCAATTCCCTCTAGGTGCCGAGAAAACTTCCGGACAACGCGGCAAAAACCCATTTTGTTAAGGGTTTTTAACTTTTTTGCTTATAAAATTGTTAAATGAAGGAATTTCGCAAAACAAAAAAATGCATCACTGACAAATGTGTTTTTCCACCTCCGTGCCAAAAATCAGCTCGAAATTCGGCCTGACGGCCGAGAAATCGGCTGTACAGAAAACAGACATACTTTTCTCGCTTATAGGATAGGATCCGTCACAAGGCTGTGGGCCCTGAGACTTTCCGCCGCTCCACTGCCGGACTATATCGGGTTGAAGCTGCCGGATATGACACTGTGGACCTCATCTGAAGGGGCTGGATTTGACGAACTTTACGCAAAGCTACTGATCGACGAATGGTTGGAGGAAAAGCGCCAGATTGCGCATATCACAGTCAGGTGCAAATCCGGTTACCCGGATTGCGCGGCTTTACTGAAGCCCTACGCCACGTTTTCGCGTCCTGAAGGTTATGACTATCTCCAGGGAAACATCCAGCGACCGAACGGTGATGTGTTAATTGTCTCGTTGAGCACTAGAATGATAAAACTGCGGCTGGGAACTGAATAAACGTGTTTTTTACATTATTTTACGAAAAACAAGGATTTCTCGAACAGTACAACATTTAGCAACGAATACTTAAAAATTACAGTTTTAGGTTTGAGAATGGGTTTTGAATTTTTGGCGCACAAGCAAGCTTCAAGCTGCAAAATTCAAAAAAAATTGCTAATGCAGAAATATTCACATTCGGTTCGACACCGGGCTGATCTTCCCTCCGGCGCAAGATTTGAGCCCATCGTGTGCCTACAGATCCCTATATCGATACCCGACGCGCACTATCGATTTTCGAATGCGATTTCTCTGTATTTTCGACTCTCTTCGGGCCGTTTGGTTTGAAAAATGGCAGATGTCCTTAGAATCACTGCGGCCTCTCGTATAATTCGAATCATTTTCTTTGTAGCTCATCTCTCTCTCTCTATCTTTCACTCGCTCTCTCTCTCTCTCTCGCTCTTTCTTTATATCGCTCTCCCTCCCCGACAGCACACTTCAAATTTCAGATGGTGATCAACTTTGGCGCATTCCCACATGTCGTCCAACAACACATCCTGCGAAAAATGGACATTCGCAGCTTTTTTAAGACCGCGATCGCGAGCAAGGAAATGTTTGAGATGGCCAGAGAGTGCCGGCAAAAGTATTGGGATGTGCGGGTCGAGCAACGCCTGGACGGGTTTTTCGAGCTCATCGAAGATCGAAAGACCAGGCAGATCGATTGTCCAAAAACGTTCAAGATGCTCTTCGACGCGTCAACCGTTAGGTCCTTGAGTCTTGGTGGCCCGCTACGCGATGACGTCGATCTGCGGTGCAGGCAACTATTCCTGTACTACCAACCTAATACCACGTCCGCGCTGTCGTCGGTGCTCAAACGTCACAAACCTGCCGAAAAATTAATGGTATTGCTGCAGACGCTGGGATCTTTGCCGACGGAGCTGGTCGACTGGATCAACGAGTCGGTGGTCGAAATGGATGCTCACAATTTCTCTGCCCCAAGGCCAGAATATATCCGTCTAAAGGTACCGACAATGTGGGTCGGAACGCCAGGGCGCGATGACGAGCTCTACGCAAAGATGCTGATCGACGAATGGCTGCGGGCGGAGCGGGAGATTGGCCGAATTAGAATCAACGCCCAGCCGGACTACCCGAATTGCCCTCCCTTGCTGCGGCCGTATGCCGATTTTGTGCTGCGTGAGAACCGCTTAAAAGGCCATATCCGGCGGGTGGACGGCCAGGTTTTGCATATCGAGATCGGTGATTTGATGATACACCTGTATACCGAAAATATGTGATGATACTATTTTTCTGGATCAAATAAATTTTTTTTGCTCCCAAGACTATTGAAAAAACGAGGCATTTAATAATTTCACTATTTTGAGTGGTTTACTGAAAACAATAGATGCAGGAAGTCCTGGGCGCGGCTTCTTTTCTCTTACATAGCTTTTGCGGCGAGCGGGCGGGGGCGCGCGTTATCAAAGCGTCATTTGTATTGGTGCGTCGCCAAAACGTACACGACCTGTACACGAAATTTTACGGAATTCAAAAATTACTCCCGAAAAATTACTCTCTTTTCCTTGGATAAGGGTTCCAAAGTGCCGTCTCGTTTGCAAGGCTCACCAGGCCATTTTTAGACAATCTGATTCCATGTTCCTTCTCGTTCACCACGTTTTTGCTGTGTCTCGCGACACGAATTCAGGGCCGCCAAAAAATTCAATTAGATTTGAACTGTTTTGGCGTTGGCACTGAACCGGCCAGTCAAAACTTATCGGGCATAAAAGGGGAAGAATGAGAGCGAGAACCAGAACGAAAAGCATGACTGGCTCAATTCTATTCTCCGGCTGCATCCTGGCCCTTGTTGCCGTCTCCGGCGCGGAACCCTGGAATTGCGCTGATCCCGAACACGTTCGTAGAATTTTGGCAGAAAGCAAAAGAATTGCGATCTGGCCGGCTCCTTATATAAAATCGTATTTAAGGGAGTCTGCTACGAAAATAAGGGTGGTGATGATGCGTCAAGGGTTTGCAGGTGCGAGTTCTTAAGTTGATTTTAAAATTTAAGAGGGTTTGACAAAACTTTAACGCCTTGTTTTACCTCCAATTTATTCCAGATTTTAGATATCTATCCAACATCCATCACAACGACTGCCCGTCATGCTCGGATCAATTCCTCGACGACTACCAAACGAACAACTGCGGGCGAGCGGAGGGGTTGTGTAAGTGTTCTTTCTACGCTTTTTCCATTGCGTTATTATGCTCCAATATTAATTAAACAGAACCAAACAATAATGCACTTTTCCAGTCCACACCCGGCTAACCTGCGGAGAACGCCAGACGGATGGTCTTTGCAAGGAGACTTACGACAGGTCAGCCAAGGATTGCTTCGACTTGGCCCACTTTGGCTTGTGTGCCTACGAAGAGCAGATTGCCTTCTGTGACAACTCGCGGCCCTACAGAATCTACTACTTGACCCAAAAGATGCTTGAGGTTCGCCGGGCTCCCGTTGGCTTGCCATTACACAATTTTTAGCTGAACGCCTGGGAAGACGTCCAGTGCCGTAGGGAGCGGATTGATGTGATTCGAGAGGCGCTTGGCCTGCATTAAATCGATATCCACCGATTATACAAAATAATCACATTTATTATCGATATTCATTGTGTGAATAAATTTTAATACCGAGAAAAATACGACAAAAAATACATTGATGATATTCGTTGTACCCTCTCTCTCTCTCGCTCTCTCTCCCTCTTTCTCGCTCACGCTCTAATGCGGTCAGATCTTTTGATTAAGGTTGGCTCATCCACAAGAATTTTTGAAAACAAAAAAATTGTGAGATATTGCAGGATTGGCTGGTGGGTTTTAATCGAAAAGCTTTTCCAAATTTTTTCACGTTTCACTGCAATCGTTGTTTTTCGAAAAGCTTCAAAACGAAAATTTGAACGAAAGCTTCTTAGATTTGAATAGGCTAAACTTAACGGGCTAGTTCAACTTTTAAAGCTTGGGTTGCTATCTTGGGACACTATGGACGTAGTGATAGCGCGCATGGACAGTCCTGCATTACGACAGCTATTAGATAGCGGGGGAAATGAGAGAGCACAACCGCCCATGGGTTCGGTCCAGATGGTTCAAAGGAAATGGCGTACTGTGCGTGTTTTTCGCGCGTTGCGAGCGGGTGCACGGAATAGCGACCGGTTTTTTAGCTGGGCAGGTCTGCTTTCGCAATTGCGCAACGCGTCTATCGCACGCGTTGCGGTCTTCCCTCCTTTCCAAAGGTACCGGACGTTTTATTAGGAGCCGGGCCGCTGTGAGAGGCGCAGACACAAAAACACAGAGAGGGTTCGGCTCCTGGCCGCGGAAATTCTTTTACTTTATTGGCGGAACTAGCCCTTTAAAGACCGTCAGAACGATGAAATATCGTTTAGAGCAAGAAAGTGGCGCACCGGGCGGGGGTCGAACCCGTGATGGTTCGCTCCACAGTCCGACGCGCTAGCCACTATACCACAGGGCGAAGTGGGAGAGGGTGTCAGAGGCGTCCCAAACCCCAGAGGGTCCTTGCCCAATACGGGGCACCACTAATGACGACCCTCTCTGCGCGTTCTTGGGGGCAGCACCCTCGGGGTGACAGTGCGCGTTCCATCGTTCTGGTAGTCTTTAAAGGGATATTCCGCTCTCGTCGAGAAATACAAGATCTTATATTGGTCAATACTTTAGCAGGAAGATTACGGTAGGTGCTAAACGGCGGGCAAGCGCGCAGAACCCGGACCACTGGCCCTGGGGCAAGCGCCTTACTAGCCCCGCCTACAACTATTAGAGCACTAGGCCTTGGGACGGATGGGAAGGGGAGAGGGGTGTGAGGCCATGAAGGGTCTCTGCGCCGGGCAGCCAGGCAGGCCGTAAGATTCCCGCCGCTGACCAAGGTTTCAGAACGAGAGCGGAATGTACCTTTAAAGCCCATGCCATTCGGTACAATGTTTATGAATTGGCTATTTCCGTAAGTGCTGTAACAACGTCCACAACTCTATTAAGAAAATTCGATTCCAGCTTTTTTCGTGAGTTTACGAGGCCAGCTCGTGGTCCCTTGTTGGGGCATTAAAAAATGATTTTTAGGCGTTAAAAAATTTAGTTGTAAGCATGTACTTCTATGTCACCTAGCAAACTTCATCTAAAAAAGGAAAACTATGACGAATCGATCTGTTGTTTCCAAATCTGTGAACTAAACTGTGGCCCCGCTTCAACCCTCGTTTATTTTGACGCCAGAGTTGTCACCCCTAAAGTTCAAGAAATTCAATTAAAGCGGTTGGACGGCATTGTTTTGGCGTGGACACTGAACTGTCCAGTCAAAATCTCGGGTGCATAAAACGGGAGAATGTGGGCGAAAATCAGAGCACCACAATGCCAACTTCGCCTCTATTTTTCATCGCCCTTCTGGCCATCGTTGCCGTTTCCAATGCTGTGGAAGAAGCGACATGCATTCGAGCCGACGTCGTGACAAAATCGACCGTTTTCCGGAAACTGGTAAATCTTACTTAGGTACTAACGGCGTCTATAAATGCTTACTCCGTTTTTCCAAAAATTGTACGACTTTAGGGAGTTTGCTACGAGCGCGTTACCGAGGGGTGGAGTGGTGATCAAGCGGCGAATATTTGCAAGTGAGCAGGATTTCATTATATTTTATTTTCCTGAATTTGTAGGCCTTGAAGCATCAACTAGCTATAAAATGCGGTCTATTTTCAGGCACATCGAGGCGATGCCGGAATGTCCTTGTTCCGCAGAATTCGTTGAAGAATACGACGCTTTGAACTGCCGAGACCAGCACTTCTGTAAGAAACAAGAGCTTAATTTTTTTAAGGTTGGGCCAGGAACCAAATCCGTCAATCTTTTTCGAAAGAGATGGTAATCCGGAATGGGAAATGAAAAATTTGTGGATCAACTTCGAAAATTTCAGTGAGCCAGCGGCTGCAATGTGAAAAAGATCTCAGCCCACCACCGGCTAGTTGTGCACCGCTATACCCGGATAACGGGGACTGCAATCAGCATGGCTGGTACCTGGACTGTGTCTACGCCGCTGAGGCTGCCGCCTGTGATCGCTCTCGGGAATACAAGATCTACCTCTACAACCAGAAATTGATGCAGGTATGCTGTGCAGCATTAAAATCCCTACTGTTTGTTTAGCTGAAACACTCTGGAGACGTCGAGTGCCGTGCCGAGAAGATCAACGTGATTGAGTGGGTGCAGGACCATCTCTAAGTCTAACCGAAAACTGCTAAGAATCGGACGTTTTTGTGCTAATTTATTGCAAATAAAATAAATTGTATTTAAACGTCGGCTGTCGATGGATTCGTCACACGGAATTGATGGCCAAATTATGCTTGGTCTAAATCACCTCGTTTTCAGCCCAATTTAGTTATTTCTGAAATTATTTTACCCAAGAATCCCCTGGCCATAACGAGTCGTCGGTTAACAGTGCCTGCCGGGAGCTGCCAGGACCAAAATGCCGATCATTTCCACGTCGGTCGTACTGCTCGACCTCGTCGCTTATCTCGCGGTTGCGGGGGCTGAGAACCCGATTTGCATCGCCGAAAACGAGGTTGAGCTTGATCGGACAACAATTGATACCAAACCCAGGGTTTCGCTACGAAAACGTTGCGAGTAATTTGCCGGGAGACCACGCGGAAAACATTTGCGCGTAAGTGGCAAGAGTGTTAGTTTTTAGACTATATGCTAGATACCTTGACGCCATGCAAAAAACCCACTGCCGATGTTCTGAAGGTTTTTTGTTGGCTTACAAGAAGAACAATTGTGGCGCGTCCGAGCCTCTATGCAAGTGTCTCAATTTTTTCAAAACCAGAAAATACTTTTGTGCGTCGGCGACTGAACTGCCCCGTGATTCGGACGCACAAAAGTGCGATGAAATTCTCTATGGCGATCACCGCGCGAAAACTTGTGATGACTTCGCCCCGCATGCCGAATGTCTCTTTGCCGCACAGATGAGTGCTTGCGACAATTCTACAGAGTTCAAGGTTCACGCCTACAAACACAAATTACTGGAGGTTTGTCACCGGTAATAGAGGAAAATAATACATTTTTATAGCTAGCCAGCCTGGAAACGCGTAAATGCCGTGGCGAGTACATCAAGGCGTTCAAAGACGCAATCGACAAAATCGAAAGCGGACGGACTCATCGGCTTGACAGCATGTTCCGATAAATCTTATCCTGTAGAAAAGGGTGTAAGCACGATTTTTATGGAGCGTGTGTAATTGACTGTTCGTAACAGAATACAGCTCATTTTAAAGCACTGAGAAAGAAAAAGCAGATTCAAAAATCTGAAATTTGAAGTGGTGAAGCGATTTATTCAGGACGCTTTTCGGAAAACCAGCTCAAAAATCACTTTTGAACGTAGATCCCCACACTGATTTTGGGACCACCTTTGTGCTCTTTTCTTTCCCGATTTCTCTCTCTCTCTCTCTCTCTCTCTCTCTGTCTCTCTAGCTCTCTCTCTCTCTCGCTTTCTATTGAATTTCTTTTATTTTTCCTTGTAGCCTCGAAATTTGGTGCCTGCTGTGTTGATGACAGTTTTGTTATAACTGAAGCTCCTTCCTCCAAAAATTGATGAAATTGCCCAACTATCGCTGCTGTCATTCGTGCCAAAACTTCAGATGAACTCCACGGGCATCTTCCCGTCCTCGCCTACCTGGGCACCGTTGGTACGGAAAACCCCGCGTGCATCAATGCTACTAACGTAGGCCAACTTTGCTGATCGCTATGCTATACGGTTCAGAGCATCTGCTTCGAAAAAGTAGCTGTCCTTTTGCCAGGGGATCCCGCTCAAAATGTTTGCAAGTAGGTTTACCGCGGGACCTTTTTGGCTAACTAAGGGTGCAGAATTAATTTTCTAGATACTTGAGGTCGATGCAACAGGCCCACTGCCCGTGCTCTGATCGTTTTACGAAGGACTACGAAAATCTCAACTGCGGATCGTCCGAACCACTTTGTGAGTGTGTAAAAACTGAAAACTCCGTTGGCTTAGGGTGTTCAGGGTGTCCGAATAAAAATCACCCCTTCTAATTCGACGCAGAATCACCGGATCAGAATGATATTTACACCATTCGAAAGACTTTGAAACGGCGAGTTTGCAGCAATCTTGATAACCATGTTTCTATTCAGACCCGCTAATTTACCAGCCATTCTGTGAGATTTGCGGACTTTTCGGGGTTGCGTACGAGCTGAGTTGCCTCAATTTCTCTAATCAAAATGACCGGAAATAGCCGTTAATTAGATGCAGAGGCCGTTCTTTCATGTTTTTAAATGTGTTCTAAACTGGTGCGTTTCCATAAAAAGTTAGTTTTGAACATTGTTACACACTCGCCGTTCCAAGGGCTTTCGAATGATATAGCTATGATCCTGTTCGGTCCTTTCTGCATCGAGTTAGAAGGGGATTTTATTTTATTCAGACACTCTGTACTAGCTTGTAGCATTCTTCTAGCAACCCTGTGATATCTCTTCCAGTGCGAGCCCGCCTTGCCTGTGTGGCTGAGGGCACTTTGCCAGAAGGCCTACCGTGCGCCGACCCCTACGGCAAATGCGAGGCGGATGCGAAGGTTGAAGCCTGCCTCGCGCGGAATACTGCTGCCGGTTGTGATGATACCCCAGAATACAAAGCCCATTTCTACATGATGAAATTGTTGGAGGTAGGGTGAACGGGCACTTTCATTCATTTTGTCGAAAATAATTTTGTCGAAATTACATTTTGTCGAAATAGCATGTTACCGAAAATTCATGACCTCGACATGTCCTTTGTCCACATTTCAATACGCTGAGATTTCAATTTGCGAAATTTTGAGATGAATAATCGAGGCAAATGGTATTTCGACAAAATGACCTTTCGACAACATAGTTTTCGAGCCAGCTTGGATGCAGAAAAACGACAAAATCTTTCCAGCTGAAGAGCCTGCGCCAGGACAAGTGTCATGACGAAAGGGTCGCCGCTTACAAGGATGCAATCCAAGCAATAAATGGCACAGCCAATTGACCGGATAAGGCCTTTTGATGTGTTTATTTTTAGATTTTCGTGACAGACAAAATAATCCAGGGTAACAGTCGCAAGCACTGAATCATTTGCGCTTTCTAAGTGTTAAAATCCAGATGCGGTGCGTAATAAAATCCGTGAATGCGGTAAGGTTTATTCCCAAGTGACAGGGATGATGTTCTTTTAATGCCTCCTGCGGGGGCAAGGGCAGTATCCACCGTCGATACCGGGTCCTCCGGGTCCTCCATTTCCTCCAGGGAATCCAGGAGATCCAGCGGGTCCCTGCTCTCCAGGCTGTCCAGGGGCTCCAGGTCCTCCAGGGCCTCCAGGGTGTCCGGGGGCTCCATCGCTTCCGGGCTCTCCAGGGGCTCCATTCTCTCCACGTCCTCCGGGAGATCCAGGGGCTCCACGACCTCCAGACTCGGCGTTGCGGCCAGGGGCTCCAGGGGCTCCGGGGCGTCCGGGCTGTCCAGGGGTGCCGGGCTCTCCGGGGAATCCGGGGCGTCCAGGCTCGCCGGCGTGAAGCAGCCTCCTGAAATAAAAAATTATTGGAGTTTGAGCTTTGGATTAGATCGATTTGGGAGCCTCTACTTAGCCAACGTCACCAAGGAGTTGAGGAGGTTCGGCCCGCTAATTAAATTAGAAGAACTTGAAAGCCACTGATTTTTCGAGCGACACCTAGGAGTTCAGGAGTATCGCGTTGCTCATTGAATTGGTTGATTTCAAACCTTCTACTTTCCGAACGTCACCAAGGAGTTCAGAACTATCGCATGCTAACAAGGGAACCTCACGCGGACAGGGTGGAATTTCGAAAAACGCTCGCGGCTACCCCTAGGTAATCGGCCACTGCGATCACGATGCACTTGTCAGATTTTTCTGAACGCACCTGTGGACAGAGATGCAGCACTTCCGGAAAATGATGATTTACATGCAAAAAATTAGCATAGAGGGATGGTTTATGAGGCGCTTCCATCACTATGGAATCACCAGTTGGATGGCCGAGTGGTAAGCGACTCGCTTGGTAGGATACTGACGAGGGTACGGATCCGCTCACAATTTTTTTGTTTTACTTTTTGGCCGGAAGTTTTTGCACAAGTCCAGAATGCTACTACTCGTAGTCAAAAACCCTATTTTGCGTTATATTCCATGTACAGCCAGTGTAGGTAAAAAAATTCGAAAAATAAAAATCAGCCCTGCCGGCTGGGTGCCCACACACGTCGGTACAAAAAATTTTTAATTTTTCAGAACTAATTTTGAGACGACTTAAGAAGTGCTTTACCACTTATGGTTTTGAACTTGTATAAAAATCACAGGACAAAAAGCAAATGCAAAAAATTGTGAGCGGATCCGTACCCTCGTCAGTATCCTACCAAGCGAGTCGCTTACCACTCGGCCATCCAACTGGTGATTCCATAGTGATGGAAGCGCCTCATAAACCATCCCTCTATGCTAATTTTTTGCATGTAAATCATCATTTTCCGGAAGTGCTGCATCTCTGTCCACAGGTGCGTTCAGAAAAATCTGACAAGTGCATCGTGATCGCAGTGGCCGATTACCTAGGGGTAGCCGCGAGCGTTTTTCGAAATTCCACCCTGTCCGCGTGAGGTTCCCTTGTAAAGTAAACTGGATCGACTTGGACGCTTCTTCTTTTCAAGCGTCTCCAAGAGATTCAGGCCTATCACCTAGCTAATTAAATTAGTTCGACTTGCAGGCTGCTACTTCCTAGCCCCTTCGTGAAGTTCACGTCTCTAGCTCCTAGCTACCTTGAAAACACTTACCAGGGGCTCCAGTAGATCCGGGGGCTCCGACAGCTCCTTGCTTTCCAGGGGCTCCAGGGGGTCCCTGGGGTCCGTTGGGGCAGATGCGGCACTGGTTGTAGTGGTCGTAGTCGATCTCGGGGTAGTTTCCGGCAAGACCGGGGCGTCCGGCCTCTCCGTCGCGGCCGGGCTCTCCATCGAAACCGGGGGTTCCGGGGAGACCGGGTGGGCCGGCGGGGCATCCGTTGTTCTCGTTGCAGCAGCACTGGCCGCCGGCGTGACGGCGTTCACGGCGAATCACGACCGGGAAGCGAGCACGGGTTTGTTGGCTAGAACATATTGTTTAGATGATTAAAGTAGTATAGAACATACTTGATGCCATATTCCGTGCGCTTGAACGAGTCGATGTCGGCGTCGACGGAGGCCTGGATGTCGGAGATGCGGCTGATGAGTTGGGGGAGGGCCGAGAGGAGGATGGCCACGGAGAGGGCGGATAGGCCGATGGCCCCGTAGGCCGCGACACGGCCGGTGCTCATGCTGAAATTTGACGGCTGGGGTATGGTAGATGAACTCGATAGAGGAGTGAGGAAATCAGAAAGTGGTGCTGCTACCACAAGCTGTTGTTCTCTGGAAAATAATGGAATCGAGAGCGAGACCGGGAGGAGCAGATGGAAATGGGCTGATTGGGTTGACCATCAGTTGTGAGGGTGCCCTCTTATAGAAAGTACCTCGTCCGCCCACTCGGCCCGACTTGGACGACGTGGTGGAACCGGGTGGGAAAGAGAGAGAGAGAGAGAGAGAGAGAGAGAGAGGGAGAGAAAGAGAGAGAGAGGAAGTCAAGGAAAACCGAGTGTGACTCGAGAAATCGAGAGCCAAGCGAAATGAGCTCGAGTAAGAGAGAAAGCGATCGAGATCGAGCCAGTGATACAACGAGAGAGAGACAGAGAGAGAGAGAGAGATAGAGAGAGAGAGAGAGAGAGAGAGAGAGAGAGAGAGAAAGAGTGGGGGGGGTGGAAGAGAGATAGCCACATATGGCGTAGTGAGACGGACAAATTCTCGAGCTCCCGCTCCCCGTTTCAGCCCCCCGCCCGCAAACCATATGTAAAAAGTTGAGGGAGCAGTCAGCCGCCCGGGCGTTTTAACTAGTTAGTTAGCCGGGGAGAGCGAACAAGTGGAACATTGGGAGCCCGACAAAAAGTTGGTTTTGGGCCCGGGTGCGCATTTTAGACGGCGGGCGGATGATAAGGAAGGAATCTGGCGTGGTGGAGGATTTCCTGGAAATCGCCGAAGAGTTTTTTTGGGTACTGTAGGGTTTGTGGTCCTGGAAATTTCTGGAAACAAGTTTTGGGGGTGAGAAGGGCTAAAAGCAAAGGACGATATTTTTAGGATCGAAATGAATATCTTAAATTTCAATTTCCATGGTATTTGCGTTCGCGTTTGCTGACAGAGTTTGCTGATATTTATTTCAAACACAAAGCGCAAAATAGATTGCTGATAACGATTAAAGCAGTGACAACGGAAATAGTACCAGTATCAGTGCCACCATAAGGTATTCGTAATAATTCGTAGTATTAAGTGAAAGTGATACATGGAATTATGCCTCGCCGTTTGTCGTTGTCGTTTCTCTTCTTAACGAGTTCTCAACAGAATTCAGAAATTCCTGTTTTCCAGTTGGGTTGTCTCGTGTCATTTTCGTGAACTCGGCCGGCTTATCGGAGCACATGAAGTAGAAGACGATGTTTGCCTAGGATTACCGTATTTTACCGCTTTTTTAGAGGCTTACCACAATCAAAATAGCGCCGTTTAGGTAGTACACGTAGCTCCATTGGTCAACGTCTAAATTCGAACGTTTTAAATCGAAGTTTGGATGTTTTCTAAGGTTTTTTGTAAGGTTATGATTGTACTCAAAGATTGTTTATGCTTTTTTAATTTTTTTTAGTTAAAAACATCCTATTTTTCGAAAATCCTTACCTCTTTCATCGCTCACAAAAAGTAGCCAACTTCCCGGCGCCGTCCCCAATGCAATGCACTTCATAAATTGGTTGACGGAGAGGACGAAATTTGCGTATTGCCTGAAATTATTACACTTTCATATTAACCTATGAACCTAAGGTATTGTAGACACCTTTAAGCACGTAACAAAACGGCCAACTACACCTATAAAGCACTGACCTCGACGTGAGCGCGGCACACTTCCAGTACCCCCCGCAATTTGCCCCCATCGCCAGGTAGATGCCAAAGATGAGAACCTGAAATCGGGTAGAGTACGGCTGACCTTCTCAGAAGCGCTTACGACAGCAATAATTCCGCCACCGGCCGTCTTTACGAGCCCCACAAGCACGAACAGTACACCGGCGAAGCCCACCGCCATGAAGTTGCAGAGTTGCAGTTTGCGATGCTCGGTGAAGGTTCTGTAAGGGGCTTGCTCCAATTTAAGAAGTTTACTTTGTCGATATAACTTTATTAAAGTTTTCGATGCTTTCGGTTCTAGGGAGATATGGAAGGAACATTCCATATACATCCGGAGTGGTTTTCGACGTGTCCTAACAGGTTTTTTGTTAAACGATAGCATTTACGGTCCAAATGATTGAAATTTTAACGGTCCTAAAGTTATTTAAGCGTTTTTAAACATAAAAACTGATCGATTTTGGAACTTTGGATTTCAAGGGGGTTGCAAGTAATACTTTGATAACAATTTATAAATATGGAAAGTTACAAAAAGCTACACACTATTTAAAACTTGTAATATTAATCGGTTTTTCATTAAATCGACATTATAAACATCTAATGGACTTTGACAACCATTAACAACTCACTTATTCTTATCACTGAACCATCCAGAAGCGTATTTCACTGGAGCATGGCTCAGCGCGGCCATCGCCGAGATCATCCCCGTGGAGGCGATGCTAAATCCAAGGACCTAGACTCTTCATGCTTCCAATTCGTCCACTTACTTTATTTAGGTACATTGGCATATAGGTGAGCAACAACGTGATGGTGGAGATCTCGGCGAATCCGTTTAGCCAGATTGCATACATTGTCGGGGTTGTTAAAATCGCCTAATAATTTGGAGGTAACCCTTTAAGTATGAATGAAATCCATGCCTTGTAGGGTACAAAATGGTCCGCTTCGAGGTGTTCTTTTGTTTTGCCTTTTTGAATCTTGAGTAATTCCTCTCGATTTACGCGAGAATGCCGGGCCGGCTCGTCACCGTAGTAGAAAAGCCAGGCTGAAAAATACAAACTATACCATAAACTTAGGATTTGAAAGTGGCTTGTAAAAACGATGAGTTATATAAAACGATAATTGCAAAACCATATTTTAAAATTTTAATAATTACCTGTGAAGCAAACGGCCGAGAAAATGGCGTGCGCATAAAATGACCATTTCCAGGTCAGCCACGAGGTGCAGAACTGAAAAATAGCACTAATTTTGCTCAAAAATGAGCTTGATCATTCTTTCAGCGATAATTTACAATTCTAAACTTACAAATGAAGACACCATATTCGTCAAAAATGGCGAATACGTCACAAAACTCGTCATGATCGCGATGAAAATGCTCATCTCGTTCAGCGGCGCCCATTTTACCGTAATCACGCCGAGGACGCAGAAATCGGCTGCGTAGGCGAATCCCTGCAATTGAGACGTTTATTACTGTAGTGTCACTGAAGCTACGTTCCGTTTACGTACTATAAAAATCATATTTTTTTCTCGATTTACCTGAATAAACCGTAATACCAGAACACCCGCAAATGACAGATCAGCGGCCAGTGGAACTGCCGCTGTAGCAACCATCGAGCAAATACCAGCGAAAAGGAATGGAAATCTATTAAACAATTGTTACAATTTGCAATATACTTTAATATTTCTATAAAATTGCTGCGTCATTAACACCTACTTTGCCCCCCATCGGATGAAGCCAAAATTGAAAGGCAGGGTTCCAAAAACGCTTCCGGCTCCGACGGCAAATACCAGCAAACTTTTTTGATAAGGATCGTAGGAGTATCGGGAGATGAGGGTCTAAAATAGCTATTAAAACGCGTAAAAAGTTAGGGGCTTTTTGGATTTACAGCTTAACTGTGCTTTTTAAGGCAGTTAATGCCTTTGTCGATTTCGAATGAAATCGATAAAGGTATCGATTTCATTACTTACGCCATTTCCATCCTCTACAACATGGCTCATGTCGCTATCCATACAAATAAACGTGAAATTAATAATGATGTAGTTGGAATTAATGGCGGTAAGGCATAGAAAGGTGATGGCCACCACAATGGCCCGATACCGATTCGTCAGCCACCAAGCCATTTTCTGAAAAAAATGAAAAGTTGTGATAAACGATCGACAAAGCGAAAAACATGAAGAATCCATGAAAAAGGGTAAAAAAAATGTCAATATCTGTCATTTATTTACAAATACAGTGTCGAAAAAGAAGGAATCAAACTAGGAAAAGACAAGGAAGGAAAAAAGCTCCTTTTCCAAATTTTAACGGTTTCAAGGTGTTGAAAATGGCAAAAACTGTAGCTTTTAGATAAAAAAATGACGAAGAACTGCAGTAAACCATCTAGATTTGTTAAGAAAGCTATGAAGAACAAGATAAGCCTTAAAAAGGATAAAAATTAAGTTGTCGAACAGCTCAAATTTACCCCCCGCGCGACGATTCCTAACAAAACTCAAGCGTGCAGCCCCATGAAGAGCCACCTGTCCCAACAAAAAGTCCCAGACAAATATTATGCCCCCGCACCTTCAAAGAGCCATCCATCCATCACCTATACACTATTATTCGCTATTATTCCATATTTATAGTCATTTCCATAGGCACAAAATGAATCACTGCCTTTCAAAAATCGCTCACACGCCCATTTTCTATGATGGTCTGGGGCGATAATGATTTGACAGGGCGTTAGGAAAGTGAGAGGTTTTTCTAAAGGGCCGATGGGGAGGAGGCAATGATGGCACTTCCTGTTTCCGCCGGCATCCTATCAACGACGGTGTGGATCCAGGGATAGATGGAGCCAGACAGCAGCTTTTAGCAGATTTCTGCGGACGGCTTTTAAAGGTGATATCAAAAGATCGCGCACTTTAGATATGGACTTCAAGAAAATCAACCATTAATAGCGCACAATCGTCAGTACTTAAAAAAGTGAGATTCCGAAAGAGAGAGAGAGAAAGAGAGAGTTGTGAGTGAGAGAGAGAGCGTGACAGAGAGAGAGCGCGCGCGAGAGAGCGAGAGAGCGAGCGAGAGAGAGAGAGAGAGCGCGGAAGAAAACTTGAAGGTATGGTAACTTATCAACCCATCGAAAAACCCAAAGCAAGTTTAGGAAAAGAAACAGAAACAAAGAATTTTATAAAAACGGCCATTATGACAGCTTCAAATGGGAATTAGCAAAACTTCCATTTCACCGTTTCCAACTGTACATTATTGTACCCAGAAACAGGGGCGGACAGCGGAAAACCGGAAAAATCGAACCGGTCAGCGAGCCAATTGATCAAAGAAGCGGAAATGAGGGGCGGGGGGATGAAAAAGAGTTATTCTCGGGTGATTGCAAGGTTAGGCTGAGTTCTTCAGCAGTTTTTCGTATTTTAAAAGAAATATGTTATTTAACGCTAGAAAGACTTCTAAAGCATCCCTTTTTGTACTAGAAATGATTTTCCCTGACAAAATGCTGCAGGCGCAGCCAATTTGCTGTCCATCCCCTCCTCTCCCGCGCTTTGCAGCGAGACTCGAGGAATATATTTGAAAAGCCGACACGGTGTTTGCCCTTTTTTCCCAAGCCGCGGGCAAAAGCCGATGTGCGAACTGTTTGCGGCTGGCCGGTCCTTTTCGCCCTGGAAAAGCGGATCAATGAACAGCCAGGATTATTGGGTCGACTCCGTGGTGGAGGGGAATCCCCGTTTATAGTACACGGAAAACAGGGGAATGTGATGTTGATTTTTTCGGTTATACCCAGTTGAACAAACGTGGTAAACTTTTACTGCAAAATTTGACCCGTCGTTCCAAGCCAGAAATTTTTTTTATTAGCTCGCTTCAGGAGCGCAGCGGAGCTCTACGTAATTCATTCGTCGCAAAAAGCGAGAACCGCTTCTGGCCGGAGTTCCGCTGATAAAGAGCCTATTTTGGTTGATAGGAGTAGGGTCAGCGAGATGGACAAGTTCGAAAAAAAGTTCCGGTCCAAAAATCAAAAGATAAAAGCTTGAGGGTCAGATTTCTCCCCGAGTAACTACTCCTTAAATTATACCTCGTCAATATAGTAGAATCCTATATTCTTTCCCAACTCCCTACATCGAATGGGCCAGGCAGCCAAAAAAAAACCCAAAAATACATGCCGCCCCTGGACGTGGTAATCATGGAAATCCCTGGGGTTATTCCCCCGTCGAAAAAATTGTGGTCTGGGACAGTGTGTGAACGGTCTTTTGGCGGGGCAACCCCCGGGTGGCGGGACGGGTCCGCCAAAAACGATTTCGGATGCAAATGCCGGCAGGCCGGAGAAAGAAATCGTTGGTGATCGCCGAGGCAGCCTCCCCTCTCCCTTGGCCGTAAATTACGAGAAGCGGAAAGAGGAGCTCGGGGGCCAAACGCCTTTGCATAATGTCGTCGGAACAGGCACAGGGGCTCCACTTTGGCGTCCATGTAACAGGCGCCTTTAGCGAGCGCCACCGGGTGGAGCGCGATATTGGTAGTTCAGGTTCTTTACTATTACCGGGGGGGGGGGAACAAATTTTTGGAAAGTCCCAAAATGACCAATATTACGACTTTTTAAAACATTTTAAACACTTTTTTGAAAGTTTTTCTACTTTAAATATAGTTAAAATTTAATCAAACCAGCCTGGAAACGCTTGGTATCCTATCCTATAAGCGAGAAAAGTATGTCTGTTTTCTGTTCAGCCGATTTCTCGGCCGCCAGGCCGAATTTCCGGCTGATTTTTGGCATGCAAGTAGAGAAACACATTTGTCAGTGACGCATTTTTTTGTTTGGCGAAATTCCTTCATTTAACGATTTTACGGGCAAAATAGTGAAAAATCCTTAACATTTTGCCCAAAAAAAGGTATGTCCGGAGGTTTTCTCGGCCGCCAAGAGGCGCTGGGCTCTGATTTTTGGAGGGTGAGTGGTAAAAGCAATTCTCCCGATACTATTTTTTGGATTTTGCCTAATTCCTTAAAATAAAGTTTTTATGAGCTTTTTACTAGACGGTCCTTAATAAAATGGCCACAGTCCCGTGGTGTCCGGGCAATAACTCGAATCCCAAATGGAATTTTGGGCTGTAATTTGGTCCACTTATGTATTCTATAGTGGGGATCACGCGCATCTTATTATTTTTACAAATTTTCGGCGCATTCAGACTCAAAAAAAGAGAATTTTGTAAAGTTATCAGAAGTCCGCTCTCCCGGGATGAGGCGCGCCCCCAGGACAGAAGAGGCCTTTCCCGCTTTCAATCGCCGCGTCGCCTTGGTGTATTGGACTGGCGCCCGGCCTAACAAACGCGTGGTCAGGGTTCGAATCCGCAGGGAATTTAACTTTTTGCTTTTTGGTAGTTCAACAACAAAACATATTTCTAGGCTCTCGGTGTGCGAGTTTTAGGACCGGGCCCTGGCTCTGGCGCCGCAGGCCAACGATGGTTCCTTGACCCAGGCTCTCGCGCCGCAGGCCAAATACTTGAGAAAACCCAGTAGCTAGCGCCGCAGGCTCAAAGATTCTGGCCCAGGGCTGGCTCTGGCGCCGCAGGCCAAAGAATGGTTCCTTGGGTCAGGCTCTTGCGCCGCAGGCTTCGATAAAAGGAAAGGGAATTGATGATTCCTAGACGGGGTCCAGTGGAAAAGGGCCGCGAAGCGGTCTTTTTCCACTGGTTTGATTAATAGGTCAACCGGAACAGCCAGGAAAAATTTGATCCCCCCCCCCCCCCCCCCGGTAATCCTAAAGAACCGTCGTTTATTATGTGGTTAGACTTGCTGTTTTTATGCAGTGACTGCATCGAGAATATCATACGGATAGAGCGCCGGAAATTCTGCACGAAACCGGAAACGCAATATTGGAATATCATTTCGTTTTCGGATTTACGTTTTCTAAAGCAAATTTGGGGCCAGAAAATATAAGAAAAGGACGGAACCGTTGGAAAATCGCGTTATTTTCCGTCTCTTTAAACCCCCGCCCTAACAACTAACCAAGCAAGGCTTTTTCGAGGGCCTTTTTCGCCCCGTCCCCGCCGGGCCATAGCTGTGAAAACGTGCGGGACGGCGGTGAGTGTGGACAGTTTTTGCAGACAATCCGCCGGGCCGAGTGATGTTTGGAATTGAGGGAAGAGGAGGAGAGTGGTCTGTCGAGGGGGAGCAGGGCCCGTGGGAGCCATCTGGCGGACCGAGTGACCTTTGAAGATCCCCCAATGGTCACTATTTGGTGGCTGGCGATCGAGGTATCCGTTTTCGATGGCCGACGCAAAAGAGATCACTGCTTGTTCGAAACGGTGCTACAGTACTGGCCTGTTAGCAGGAGGAAATCAACTTTGTTATTCCGTAATGGGTTCTGTTCTATTTCGCGTGGGGGAAAAAACTGTGCGGGGGAATATGCTTCGCGGAACCTTCCATCTTTCGCTATTTCCTCGGGATTTTTGCAACGCCATTCGATAGAGCATCAAAAAATATACTAAGAATTTTTGTTTTAGCTCAAAATATAGTAATATAAAAAAGTTATAGCAAAAACCAAAAAAATATTGAAACTGGTTCCGGAATGTTAGTTTTCGGCATTTTCGCCAGTTTTTCGATATTTTGAACCCGTCATTCGATAGAGCATCAAAAAATATACTCAGAGTTTTAATCTCATCTTCAAATATTGTTTTATAAAATAGTTATAGCAAAAACAAGGTTTATTCGGTGTTTCCACATGGGATCGTGGAGTCGAAAGCTAGTTTTCGACATTTTCGATATTTTTCAAAAATTTCTTTAATGCCATTCGATAGAGCGTGAAAAAATATACTAAGAGTTTTAATTACAATTCAAAATAGCATCATATAAAAGAGTTATAGAAAAACGAAGAAAATTTCCCCCCGCACAGTTTTTTCCCCCATGCGAAATAGCACAGAACCGTACAATGTTATGTTAAACATTTTTTTTAATTCGAAAATTTGACCTTTTTGGCGCCTCAAAAATGGCGAAAATTTTTATGTGTTTTTTTTTCTGCGCTGTTTGTTTGCATCTTTCGGCTCAGACCAGATCATAAAACCTATTTTTATAGTTTTCAGTAGATTTTCATGGCCGGAAGATTATAAACGTTTTGTAAATCTTTGAAATGATTGCTTCATCCGAAAGCGCCTTGAGAGTTCTTCACGAGGAAACGTCATACACACAATCGTTTATTCATCAAAAGAAGCCAAGCATATTATAATAATCACATCGTAAGAAAAGTTAATTGTTACAAAATGCCACAAAAAGAAGCGCTTAATCTTTGCCGATGAGGAATTTGCTGAGGAAGTCCTTCGGCTTCGGCTCGACGTTCTCGCGGAACAAGAAGTTGCGCACGTGGTCGGGGTTGTAGAACGCGTAGCGGATGGAGTAAATGTGCTAAAAACGCGTTCTTATGAACTAGATTTTCATACCTGGTGGGCCTCGCCGACGAGCCGATCCACGATACGCACATCCTGGATGTCGGCATTCTTCATAAACTGCTGCTTGAGCGCGGCGCGGAAGACCGGAAGCGGCATATCGGTCATCTCGAAGTCCCACCAAAAGCTCGGGGTCAGCCGTTGCCTAAAAAATGAACAATAAAATTGTAAAAATATGCTTTAGATCTTACTTCAAAAATAATTTTTAAAAGTTCAGCGTTTTTAAACCCACAATTCTTTGTAGACCTGAAGCACGGAGAGGCGTGCCTGCTCCTTGTTCGCCGATTTGACGGCGGTCATCTGATGCGTGTTATTAGGTTGTACAAAAAGTCCTGGCGGTTTTGGGCTTGGATCGCTTTATCAAGAACGGTTTTGATATCAGGGTTAATTGTAATATGTCGCTTGAAAGTACTCATCGTGCTCTACATAATGGTTACAGTAACTTTGTCATATTGCATTTTTTGAGTTTTTTAGAAGTTCTGAAACTTCGGACCAAAATTGCCCTATTTTCTTGTTTCCTTCAAAACTTTTTTGACAGGCGGCGTAGAACCGTAATGAAGATAGCATTCAACTGAGCTCACGAAGCACTACAAAACGTATCGTAAAAGTCCCGGTTCAAAAATTATTCCGTTGAGATACAACAGAGTAAAATTTGGTCGGTGTCCAAATGATGGCCCTTTCCGAATTTTTGGAAAACAATTTTTTTACGTTTCGGAGCATTGGAAATTGAATGTCAACAATTACGAAGTTTGGCCAAGGCCTTATAAAAAATCCCAAGCCATTTTTATGGCTGATTAGGTTGGAATGGGATCTGTGGAGCCAAAAAAGCTCAAAAACTGACCGAATTTTGCACAGTCGTATCTCAACGGAATAATTTTTGAACCGGGACTTTTACGATACGTTTTGTAGTGCTTCGTGAGCTCAGTCGAATGCTATCTTCATTACGGTTCTACGCCGCCTGTCAAAAAAGTTTTGAAGGAAACAAGAAAATAGGGCAATTTTGGTCCCAAGTTTCAGAACTTCTAAAAAACTCAAAAAATACAATATGACAAAGTTACTGTAACCATTATGTAGAGCACGATGAGTACTTTCAAGCGACATATTACAATTAACCCTGATATCAAAACCGTTCTTGATAAAGCGATCCAAGCCCAAAACCCCCAAGACTTTTTGTACAACCTAATAGAATTATTAATTTGAATAATCCTGGATACCTGTCGAGGGACCAGCTCGGCGCCCGTCTTCACCAGCTTCCCGAGACGCGACATTGTGGAAATGATGGTTTTTCAGGAGCCCTGCACCTGTAAAGTTTGGGATGTAAATGGCGTATATTAATGGTTTATGGAGTAATACAATGTTTTGAAAAGAGGAAACGGCCGTTTTTTAGTAATTGCACGCGTTAATTGAAGCTCTCGTCGAAATAGTCTGTGATTTTTTTGTTTATTCTTGCTTCTTCAATTCGAAATTAACTGTTTAGCGGCGTAAAAAAGTTTATTAAAAAAAAAATAATTCAACCGCTTAATCAACGCCTGTTTCATAATTTACAAATCCAACAACAACGGTAATTGTGCAAAATAGAAAGTAGTTTATTCGTCGTGCTCTCTGTCGCCCCGTGCCGGCCTTGGCGGGAAGAAGCGGTGGGAAATCGGCGTGACCCGCTCAACCGGCTGGTACGCGTCGTAGAATTGCTGCCGCGGGATCTCGGACATCGAGCCCGTCTTCTGCGCGTTGAAATGGTTTGCGCGACCGTTGGTCACACCAAACACTGGATCTTTAACCTGGAATTTGATGGCTATAGAACTTATTTAATAGAGCAATATCTAGTTCTTTTTAACGAGTTTATCTTCTAATAATACAGTCTTTAGTTTATTTAAGGTATTGCATCCTCCTCTTATGGGCATTAGGCGTTGTGCTCCAAATACGTATAACTACTGCATTAAAGAGGGTACGAGACTGGCTAATTGCCATTTAATTACCTGCACGTAGACTTTCACCGTTTCGCCGGTAACCGGATCGTATCGGAATTCCCAGCCTTGGTAAGTGCCCGGCACTTTGACATCATGACGACCGTTTTGCTGCGAGGGTTGTATGGCCTCGTTGATTTTGTGCTGCAGCGCATCCGGGTCGACGGCCAAAATTGTTGTCTTGGAGCGCGAATCCGCTTGACGTCCACCGTAGCGCGTGGTGCGCGCCCCTTCTGCCAGCGCCGCCGCGCTCTCCTCCATATTGCGGGGCTGACCGTTCTGGCTGGCAAGTTCAAAACGTTTCGAAAATGTTCAACGGCCCAACCTCATGTGTTCTTTGTCAAAATGCGCGTGTCTCTGCGCGGCCGTCCCCAGTTTGATATCCCCGACGGGCTTTTGCTGCATTTGGAGGTCCTGAAAACGTGTAATAAGCTAGATTTTGGCCTAATAATCTCCGGTCCGGTGAGAAATATTGACCTTCAGATGCTTCAGCGTCACCTGCTTGCCGACTTCCGGTCCAAACCTCTGATTATTGCGCTTCTGAACGCGCTTCGCATGCGTCCGCTCTTCCTTGGTGCTCATTTGGTTCCGCATCGCGGTCAGTTCACTTTTGGTTGCGTTTTCAATGATCACCCTCGCTTGCTGGACCGAGTAGACGGCATTTGCGAAGAAGAGTAATTGCGCTGATAACTGAATAGAATTTGTGAATGGAATTGATAGTGGGTAGTACCTGGAAGAGCTGGAGGGTGCTGGGTTTGTGTCCCTTGTTGAGATCGTCGACGAGAGTGACGAGTGACGAGATACAACCGAAACCATTGATGCCGAGCGAGCCTGCAACGGCGAATTGCTGCTACTTAAATAAATTTTGCAAATTCCGGTAGTAGAGAGAGCTCAATTAGACAGACCGAAAATGGCAACATTAGCCAGGAAGCGTGTACCAGCTCCAATTGCCGCCCCTTCGCGTGCCACTTCCGCCAGCCGCGACACCGCAAATGAGCTGCCGACGGAAGCGACGGTGGACACGATCGACAGCCATGAGAAGAAAGCTTCACGATCAGAAAACGGGTTGATATTTTGCCCGTGCGTGCCACGATCGACAAGCTGCGCCGTCGCGCGCCCTGTGAACCAAGCGCCGGTGGTCACGCCAGTGGTTAGCAGCGCACCAGCGGCTACGGGCGCAAGCGGAGTGAACAGGCCAACAACTGCCAATGCCGTGCCTAAAACCTATGATATTTCTATTACGCAACGCATTAAAAATAAGGACAAAACCATACCAACAAGTGCGCCTCCCGTCGCAACCTTATCCACCACTTCCACCGTTTTGCGATCTGATTTGCAGCTAGCGGACCGTAACTGCTCAATGCAAATGCGGTCGTCAAAGTTCAGAATATAAGTCCCATTATATGGACAGATCATCCAGCATGGCGGCAAACAGTTGTTCTGGCGGAAGTCACTCCACCCTTTGTAATGTCGCTTGGATGGCTCGACAAAATAGGTAGGACCCTTGGTGAAGACCTAAAAGAGCTTGTAATGCTGGTACAGCCCACCTTGAACAGCGGAAGCGCATTCTCAAATTTTTCGGGCTCAAAGTAGCTGATGAAGATGAACGCGACGGCCACCTCGTCTCCACCGCCGTGCTGTTTGTTCAAGCCCAGCATGTGGCTGCGCAGTTCGCAGATACGCTGCTCTTGCTCCTTCGAATAACCGAACATGGAAACATCGGACTCTTCGGCATTAATTGTAGGCGCGCTGTAGAGGGCATATCCAAGCTTGCGCCCCAGCGATATCCACTCGCCACAATTCGACTCGTGATAGGTGTGCCAAGAAACTTGCGTAGGACCCATCATCTGCTGGAATTTCGTGGCGGAAGCGAGCATCCGCGAAAAATCCAGGGAATCATTGGCCACCGGTTGTATTTCCTGAAAACTAGCTGATGTCATGACATTATTATGTCAATTTATTAAGTTTCTCAGGACTTTAGGGCATGCCTGCTTACCTCCAACTTATGCTTTTCTGTGTGAGCAACCGACGTATTCGCCAGCGGCGCATAACACTCAGTGTGATGACAGGATTGACATAAAATATAATCCTTGCATTCCTTGCACTTGTAGCCGACGCCGCAAAACTTCTCCGATAGACACCCACGGCACGTGGCCGATTGCTGCGGGCTGCAATGGCGGTCCAGAGGGCAAGGCGTCACCTGCAAAAATGCGAGTTACAAAAATAAAACTTTGAACCTTGCACGAGTGAAACTCGGTGTGCGCGTCACTCTTGCTGCCATAATCCTCTGCAAGCATACAGGATTCGCAGAAGATGGCGTTGCACGCGTTGCAATCAAAGCGGTCTCCCTGGAAATCCTGCTCCCCGCAGCCATCACATTTAGCCGAATGGTAATCTTCGTAACCTTCTTTCATTCCGGCTCTCCAGAAGGAAGCCATCTTCTGAATAAAGTTGTGGTAACCGGTTAACCTGGGAGGTAGTGAAGCGGAGTTAAGAGCAAGAAGGCTAAGGATACAAGCAACGCGCGTATCTCCAAGTTAGTTTAGTTAGGAAATACTACTCATTGAAACTACTACTTACTCATTGAATCATGGGTGTTGCAGGTTATCGGGCGCCGTTATTTTAGCCGGGGCGGTTGCGAATTTTTTTTCTATAATTTCGTGTGGCTCGACTAAAGTTTGCCGTTTTTATCCGCTTCACGCTGTTTACGTGGTACTGGACTGTTAGCGGGGAGAAAATAAATTAAGAAAAACATCATAAAATATGTTGCAAATTTTGAATTTTTGGTCCAATGCGTGTGAAATTGGTTAAAAGCGAGCTAAACCCCTAGATTTTGCGGATGTCTGATAAATGTTTTCATAATTTTTGGCTATCAGAAACTATGAAAAACATTGTTAAAATAACCTACACTTTATCACTAGGCAAGTATAGGCTAAAGTATTGGCTATCCTACTATCCTACTATACAGGGTGTCCCAAAAAAAAAGACCCCCCAAAAATTTGAGCCAGAGGGCACCTACGGAGCTGAAAATTTGCACAGAGGTAGCGAAGCCAATTTCCCATGTATATGGAAAGTTTCAGCCATATCGGCCGACGGGTTTTAAAGTTATAGCGAAAATACTTTTCATTTTCAATTTAATATGGGGATTTTTGCAATTTGCATCAAAAATATGCGTTATTCTTGAATTTACGAGCCGATTTTGCATAAATTTTGCCAAAAAATGCCATTCTCTTGCTGGAGCATGGCGCGAACGATTGCGTATGAAGAGTAAAAAGAGTGTGAAAACAACTGTTTTATCGATCCAAACCACGCCTTATTGTGCATTTTGGCAATCTGCTTCGCGCTAGCCCCGAAACAGAGTTCGATGAGCTTCTAAGTGGTGCTTAAGTTTAGATTTGGGCTTGGGTTTAAGTCAGTCAAAAGTCTAAGCGAAGTTCAGGCGCTGAACGATAGTTTCAACCAATGTATCTTGTACTCAGCGGTTTTGCTGCTCGTTTTCACGCTGCATGAGCAATCGTTTTCCAAAAGCTCCAGCAAGAGAATGGCATTTTTGGCAAAATTTATGCAAAATCGGCTCGTAAATTCAAGAATAACGCATATTTTTGATGCAAATTGCAAAAATCCCCATATTAAATTGAAAATGAAAAGTATTTTCGCTATAACTTTAAAACCCGTCGGCCGATATGGCTGAAACTTTCCATATACATGGGAAATTGGCTTCGCTACCTCTGTGCAAATTTTCAGCTCTGTAGGTGCCCTCTGGCTCAAATTTTTGGGGGGGTCTTTTTTTTGGGACACCCTGTATATAAAAAAAATAGTGTCTGTGTTTGTGTGTGTGCCACTTTGCATGCAACTTCCGTCACCATGTCCGGAGGATATCTCGATAGGGGATGAATTTTATGGCACGTATGATACGTCTTTAGGTGCGTAATGGCTCCGGGATGACTGCACGCTTATCAGATTTTACAAATAAGCTTTTTTCAACATTAAATTTACGTTTTTGTAAAATTTTCGGCAACCCTCTTTGTTAGAAAAATCAGCATAAACCGGAAGTGGCAAGAGCCTATATAATCAGCTAGAGAGCGTCATTTTTCATTTTTCTCATCGAAATTCGAGAAACGAATGCAGAGTGAGGAATATTCAGGGGTTAGACGGGCCAGGGTTGAAAAGTCGCGAAGCGGCTTTTCAACCCTGGTATACAAAGAAAAGTTGGTAAAGATATAAATACAAAGAAAGGAAAGAAAAGTTATACACATGAGTTCAACCCTTACAATATGCTTATTAGTAACCGGATGAGACCTAAATCTAGATCACAGATTTTCAGTGCGTAAGGGCGCTCAGCTGCTGGGAAAAGAGATAAACACAGACTCTCTCCCCCTGCCTGACCTTGGTTCGTATGCCGCTCGACACAGCAGCCACGCCCGGTCGGGGAACCCTAGATGTTTGCACGGCGGCTAAGCCAGGCTAAAGCCCAGCCTTCGAACGAAGATGAATCGACACTGTAACGCTGACGGACCGACCGTCACGTTTTTTCAACGTTTATTCCAACAACAAAATAAATCAACGTGTAAATAAACGCAAGTCATGCATGCAAAAAAGGAGAAACAATGTCAACGATGTAACAAAAATTCAAGCGAGTTCATTCGTCGTGCTCATTGTCACGGCGGGCAGGCTTCGGAGGGAAGAAGCGGTGGAAAATCGGCGTGGGCCGCTCGATCGGCTGGTACACTTCGTAAAATTCCTTCGGGGAGATCTCGTTCATGGCACCAGTCTTCTGCGCATGGAAGTGATTGGCGCGGCCGTTGGTCACGCCGAACACCGGATCTTTCACCTCAAAAACAAAGCTTATTTGCTTGATTCAAAAAGCCCAACCTGCACGTAGACCTTCACGGTTTTGCCGGTAGCCGGATCAAACCGGAATTCCCAGGCTTGATAGGTTCCAGACACCTTGACATCGTGCCGACCGTTACGCTGCGTGGGCTGGATGGCCTCGTTGATCTTGTGCTGCAGCGTTTCCGGGTCGACAGCCAGGATTGTGGTCTTGGAGCGCATTCCGGATTGGCGTCCACCGTAGCGAGTGGTGCGCGCTGTTTCGGCCATCGACGCCGCCGCCTCCTCCATATTGCGGGCCTGACCATTTTGCCTGAAGCACAATAATAAAGTAGATAATAGAAATTTACTTCATATTTTCCTTGTCAAAATGGGCGTGTCTCTGCGTCGCAGTGCTCAGTTTGGCGTCGCCACCAGCCTGGTTCTTCATTTGGAGATCCTGCAAACAAGAAATAAGCTTCGAAAAATTCTTATTTTGGATCTCACAGCTTTTTTCGAATCGTAGGAAACTTGCCTTCAAATGCTTCAACGTCACTTGGCCTCCAGTTTCACGACCAAATTTGCGGGTGTGGCGGCGAATCATGCGCTTCACCCTTGTACGCTCTTCTTTGGTACCGAGCTCATTCCGCAATCCCGTCAATTCGTTCCTCGTCGCGTTTTCGATGATCGTCTTGGCTTGTTGGACACTGTAGACGGCGTTGGTGAAGAACAGAAGTTGGGCAGAGAGCTAAATAAAACATCAAAATAGGAATGCAGGCGGTAAATAGGCATACCTGAAAAATTTGAAGCGCGCTTGGCGTATGGCCCTTGTTGAGATCATCGACTAGCGTCCATAGAGACGAGATACAGCCCAAACCATTGATGCCAAGCGAGCCTAAGAAACAGTTTCTAGGAAATGAGCCAAAAACGAACCGAAAATGGCAACATTGGCCAGGAAGCGAGTACCAGAGCCGATCGCCACTCCTTCGCGCGCCACTTCGGCCAGACGAGAGACCGCCAATGAGCTTCCGAAAGAAGCAACCGTACCGACGAGCGACAGCCAAGAGAAGAAACATTCACGGTCAGCGAACGGATCAATCCTCTGGCCGTGTGTGCCGCGGTCGACGAGTTGAGCCGTCGCGCGACCGGTGAACCAAGCTCCAGTGGTGAGTCCGGTGGTCAGCAAGGCTCCGGCGGCCACCGGTGCCAGCGGAGTGAAGAGGCCGACAACTGCCAAAGCGGTGCCTAAAAACTCCAAAATAAGTAAACTTCATCAAACACGTACCAAAAACTGCTCCACCTGTGGCCACTTTATCACCGACTTCCAGCGCTCTGCGGTCTGGCTTACAGTTGGCGGAGGTGCGTTGCTCGAGGCAAATACGGCCTTCATCATCCTCAGTATACGTTCCATTACTCGGGCACAGCATCCAACAAGGCGGCAAGTGATTGTTGTCGACGAAATCGCCCCATCCGTTGTAGTTGCGCTTGGACGGCTCGACGAAATACACGGGGCCGTTGGTGTAGAGCTAAGCAAACTATTAGTAATCAGTATTTGGAAATACCTTGAACAGCGGCATTGTGCCCTCAAACTTTCCCGGCTCGAAGTAGCTGATGAAGATGAACTCGAGCGTCACCTCGACGCCGCCGCCGTGGTGTTTGTTCCACCAAAGCATATGGCCGCGCAGATCGAAGATTCGCTGCTCTTGCTCCTTTGTATAGCCGAAAGTGGACTCGTTGGACTCCTCGGCATTGATGGTGGGCACACCGTAGAGCGCGTAGCCGATCTTGCGGCCAAGCGAATACCATTCATCGCCGTTCCACTCGTGATAGGTGTGCTTGTTGTTGATCTGGGTCGGGCCCACCGTCTGTTGGAACTTCGTAGCGGAAGCGAAAATGCGCTGCCAATCGAGGGAATCGTCGCAGACGGGTTGAATTTCCTATAACTCAAATGTATACAAATTAATCTGCTCATAAATTTACCGCCATCTCGTGCTTCTCTGCATGCTGAACCACCGTGTTCTCATGCGGTGCATAGCAACCCGTGAGATGACATGAGCGGCACAGCATGTAGTTGTCGCATTGCTTGCACTTGTAGCCGACGCCGGCAAAATTCTCCGAATTGCATCCGCTACATGTTGCCCATTGTTTTGGCATGACATGGCGATCCAGCGGGCAAAGCGTCACCTACAATACAAGGAATTTACGGGCAAAAATGGGACCGACCCTGCAAGAGTGGAAATCGCTGTGCTCAGTCTTGTCGCCATAGTTCTCCTCTAGAATGCAGGACTCGCAGAAGATGGCGTCGCATGAGTTGCAGTCAAAACGGTCGCCCTTGAAGTTTTGCTGCTCACAGCCGTCGCATTTGGCCCAGTGGCAGTCTTCGTAACCCTCTTGCGTGCCGGCGCTCCACCATGAAGCCATTTTCTAAAAAAATATGTAAAGGGATGTGAAGGCTGCAGCCACATTAGAAGCGGCCGTTCCATCTACACCTCGTCCGTAGAAAACCAATATGGCATAATAACCAAGTCTGGGAAGTCGTGAAAGTTTGGTCTCCGATTGATTTCAACGTTTATTCCAACAACAAAATAAAACAACGTGTAAATCAAGACATCTTTCATGCATGTACAAATAAAAGGGAATTTTAGCCGTGTTAAACTAGAAGCGAATTCAGTGCTCCTGCTCGTCACGCCGGGCTGGCTTTGGAGGCCGAGCAGGCGGCGGTGGTCGAGCCGGTTTGACCGGATAGAAGCAGTGGGCAAGGGGGGTGGGCTGTTGGATCGACTTGTAGGCGTCGTAGAATTGCTGCTGTGGGATCTCGTTCATCGCGCCAGTCTTCTGAGCATTGAAGTGATTGGCACGTCCGTTGGTGACTCCAAACACCGGATCTTTCACCTGAAAGGCGTTGTGATAAGCGATTTGTCCAGAATACAAACCTGCACGTAGACCTTCACGTGTTCACCGGTAGCCGGATCAAACCGGAATTCCCAGGCTTGATAGGTGCCAGACACCTTGACATCGTGCCGACCGTTGCGCTGCATGGGCTGGATGGCCGCGTTGATCTTGTGCTGCAGCGTTTCTGGGTCGACAGCCAGGATCGTGGTCTTGGAGCGCATTCCCGCTTGACGACCACCGTATCGCGTGGTGCGTGCTCCTTCCGCCATTGCCGCCGCGCGCTCTTCCATATTTCTGACTGGGACGGACTGCCTGACGCAAAAAAATATCAGGAACATAGCAAAAAAAGTTACTTCATCTGCTCCTTGTCAAAATGGGCGTGCCTCTGTGTCGCTGTTCCGAGCTTCGCGCCTCCAGCCGGACGCTGTTTAGTTTCGAGCTCCTAAAAACATAAAGTAATATATTTTAAGTAGCCTAAGATTACTTTTAGTAACATAGTGCAGAAAACTGACCTTCAAATGCTTCAACGTCACTTGACCGCCAGTTTCACGACCAAACTTGTGGTTGTGGCGGTTCAGCATGCGTTTCACCCTCGTACGCTCTTCTTTGGTACCGAGCTCATTGCGCAATCCGGCCAATTCGTTCTTGGTTGCATTTTCGATGATGACCTTGGCCTGTTTGACACTGTAGAGGGCGCTGGCAAAGAACAGCAGTTGCGCAGATAGCTAAATTGCCAAAATCACGATCATAGCCACATTCAGACTTGCCTGGAAAAGCTGAAGAGAGGTGGGTTTACGTCCCTTGTTGAGATCATCGACGAGCGTCACCAACGATGTGACGCATCCGACACCATTGATGCCGAGCGAGCCTAAAAGCACTGTTTTGACTTATATTTTAGCACCCAAAACTAAACCTTGAACCACGTGAAAGGAAACATACCAAAAATGGCAACATTGGCAAGGAATCGTGTGCCGGCTCCAATAGCCACTCCTTCGCGTGCCACTTCCGCGAGCCGCCAGACAGCCAACGAACTGCCGAAAGAAGCAACCGTGCCCACGAGCGACAGCCAAGAGAAGAAACATTCACGGTCAGCGAACGGATCAATCCTCTGGCCGTGTGTGCCGCGATCGACGAGCTGAGCCGTCGCGCGACCGGTGAACCAGCCGCCGGTCGTCAAACCAGTCGTCAGCAGCACGCCCGCAGCCACAGGAGCAAGGGGCGTCATCAGACCGATCACTGCCAACGCGGTGCCTAAAAGATCGAAGCGGTTGTTTCGAGAGCAAACGGGACACAGGACAAGCTTCGCAAAACCGTACCGAAGATTGCTCCTCCAGTAGCCACTTGATCGCCGATTTTGAGTGCCTTGCGGTCCACCTTGCAGTTGGCCGACTGTCGCTGTTCCAGACAAATGCGGCCTTCATCGTCCACAGTATACGTTCCATCCTTCGGGCACAACATCCAGCACGGCGGCAAGTGGTTGTTCTCGTAGAAGTCGCCCCATCCGTTGTAATTGCGCTTCGATGGCTCCACAAAATACATGGGGCCGTTGGTGTAGAGCTGAATGACTGTAAATAATCAAGGAAGATATATACCTTGAACAACGGCAACGTGCCCTCAAATTTTTTAGGCCTGAAGTAACTAATGAAGATGAACTCGAGCGTCACTTCATTGCCACCGCCGTGATGTTTGTTCCACCAAAGCATGTGTCCGCGTAGCTCAAAGATGCGCTGCTCTTGCTCCTTTGTATAGCCGAAAGTGGACTCGTTGGACTCCTCGGCATTGATGGTGGGCACGCCGTAGATCGCGTAGCCGAGCTTTCGACCAAGCGAATACCACTCATCGTCATTCGACACGTGGTAGGTGTGCTTGCTATCGATTTGCGTAGGGCCGATCATCTGTTGGAACTTCGTAGCGGAAGCGAACAATCGAGGCCATTCCAAGGAATCATCGCCGACCGGCTGGATCTCCTGGAAACCATTAATTAATACGTAAACCGTGGTTTGGAAAATTTACCGCCATCTCGTGCTTCTCTGCATGCTGAACCACCGTGTTCTCATGCGGTGCATAGCAACCCGTGAGATGACATGAGCGGCACAGCATGTAGTTGTCGCATTGCTTGCACTTGTAGCCGACGCCGGCAAAATTCTCCGAATTGCATCCGCGACAAGTTGCCCATTGTTTCGGCAAGCAATGACGATCCAGGGGGCAAGGCGTAACCTAGTAAATAAGCCGTTAGCGATGAAACCACAGCCTTACCCTGCAAGAGTGGAAATCGGTGTGCACATCATTCTTGGTACCAAAATTCTCGGCCAGAATGCAGGATTCACAGAAGATGGCCTTGCACGAGTTGCAATCAAAGCGGTCGCCCTTGAAATTCTGCTGCTCACAGCCGTCGCATTTGGCCCAGTGGCAGTCTTCGTAACCCTCTTGCGTGCCGGCGCTCCACCATGAAGCCATTTTCTAAAAAATTGTCTTTTTTTGCAAACTTACTACTGGAAGCCTGAAATTTAAAAATAACGAAAGCCACGAGCAACGATGTCGAACAACGTAATAACCACACCGCAGCCAGCGATAACCCATGAAAATTTTCATCTCGGAATTTCGATCCAGGGGTACTGTAATATGTTGTGCGTAGTGTACGTTTCTTATAACACGCCGAGAGATTCTTTTCACTTTTATTATATCCCAACAAACAAAAAAATCATAAGTGAAAGCCGGGGCAAGAGCAGTAGTGTATGTGCAAATGGGGGAAAAGCTAATAAAATAAGACACAATAAAGTATGGAGATCACAGTTCGTGCTCGTCATCGCTTCTCCGGGCAGGCCTTGGCGGGTAGAAGCGGTGAGCTAGTGGCGTTGGCTGCCGAATGGGCTTGTAGGCGTCGTAGAATTGCTGTTGTGGGATCTCGTTCATCGCGCCAGTCTTCTGAGCATTGAAGTGGTCGGCACGGCCGTTCGTCACACCGAACACCGGATCTTTCACCTAAATAAGGAAAATAAATCGTAAAACTGTCAAAAAAAATACTCACCTGCATGTAGACCTTCTCGTTCTGTCCGGTCTTCGGGTCGTACCGGAATTCCCAAGCCTGGAAAGTTCCGGGCACTTTCACGTCGTGCCGGCCATTCCTCTGCGACGGCTGGATAGCGTCGTTCAGCTTGTTCTGCAGCGCATCCGGCTCGATGGCCATCACCGTCGTCTTCGAGCGCAGATCGGCTTGATAGCCACCATAACGCGTCGTTCGCGCCGTTTCCGCGATTGCCGCCGCCTGCACCTCCATAGAGCGAGGGTCCGAGTTTAATCTAAACTAAAATTTAGATTGGACGACACTAGCTACCTCAGATTCTCCTTGTCGAAATGGGCATGCTTTTGGATGGCGGGTCCCAGCTTCGTGCCATCTGCAGCCTTCTTGACTTGGAGATCCTAAAGAGAGAATACAAAATTCAGCTGTAAAAACGTACTTTCAAACGCTTCAGCGTCACTTGCCCGCCAGTGCCACGGCCAAATTTGTTGTTGTTGCGCTTGAGCATGCGCTTCAGCTTTGACCGCTCCTCCTTGGTGCCGAGCTCGTTTTGAACGGCGCGCAGTTCGCCCTTGGTCGCGTTCTCGATGATCGTACTGGCTTGCTTGACGCTGTAGATGGCGTTTGTGAAGAAGAGGAGCTGCGCAGAGAGCTGAAAAAAGTCGCTATAATTTCGTTTTAAAAGAAAACAGACCTGGAAGAGCTGCAGAGGGCTGGGTTTGCGGCCTTTGTTGAGATCATCGACGAGCGTCACCACGGACGTTACACATCCAAAGCCATTCAGGCCGAGGGCGCCTAAAAAGGTATAAATTCACAGCCATCACCAAAATCTCATTACCAAAAATGGCTAAATTCGTCAGAAGGCGAGTGCCGGTTCCAATCGCGACCCCTTCCGAGGCGAGTTCGGCGAGTCGAGCAACAGCCATCGAGCTGCCGAGCGATACGGCAGTTCCGACGAGTGAAAGCCAGGAGAAGAAGACTTCACTATCCGCGAAAGGGTTCAGCGTCTGTTCGTGTCGGTGGCGATCAATCAAGCTGGCAGTTGTACGACCGGTAAACCAAGAGCCCGTGGCGACCCCAGTAACGGCCAGCGCTCCTGCGGCGATGGGGGCAAGCGGGGTTAACAGGCCGACAAGCGCCAGCGCAGTACCTAAAAATAAACGTTTTAAAACGCCAATGTTAATACTCCAGCCTACATTTAATGACTAAAACCTACCAATAACCGCCCCGCCAGTCGCCACTTTGTCTCCAGTCTTCAAAATCTGACGATGCGTCTTGCAATCGCCGGAAGGGCGCATTTCCACGCATACGCGACCGTCATCGTCCACAACGTACGACCCATTTTTCGGGCACAACAGTGTGCAAGCCGGGAAGCGGTTCTTGTCGCAAAAGTCGCCCCATCCCCTGTAGGTGCGCTTGTAGGGTTCGACGAAGCAGACTTGGTCCTTCGTAAAAACCTGAAAACCAAAAAGATTGTAAATTAACGGATCGATAAATACCTTGAATAACGGCATTGTTCCCTCAAATTTGTTCGGCTTCAGATAGTTGATGAAGAGGAAAGCAATTCGGACCGCACGATCCTCATCCTCTTTCTCATCGAGTTCAAGGAAATGATCACGCAGCTCGTGGATGCGTTGCTCTTGCTCGGGGGTGTAACCGAAAACGGACGTCGACGATTCCTCGGCGTTGATCGTGGGAGCGTTGTAAAGGGCGAAGCCGACTTTTCGGCCCAGGACCATCCATTCCTCGGCGTCGTTCACGTGGTAGGTGTTGATGCTGTCGACCTGGGTCGGGCCCATCATTTGCTGGAATTTTATGGCCGAGGCGAGCATTCGGCTCCAAGAAAGGGAATCGTTTTGAGGCGGATGGATTTCCTGAAAAGCACATTGGAATACTAATCGAAGATTCTCGGACATATTCCGAAAATTAAAGAAATACACTCACCTCCATCTCATGATCTTCCGAATGCTTCACTGGCGTATTGGTCAGCGGCGCATAGCAGCCAGTAAGATGGCAGTCGCGGCAGAGAATATAGTCCTCGCATTCCTTGCACTTGTACGCGTCTCCCGTGAAATTCTCCGAGCGGCAACCGCTACAAGTGGCTTCTTGTGTCGAGGCGCAAAGCCGATCGAGGGGGCAGGGCGTCACCTAGAAAACAGCAAAATAACAGTTTAAATAGGATAAAAATACTAATCAATTATCAAAAGCTCAAAAACCATACCTTGCACGAGTGAAAATCGGTGTGCACATAGCTCTTTTCGCCGTAATTCTCTTGAAGTACGCACGTCTCGCAGAAGGTGGCTTGGCAAGTGTTGCAATCAAAGCGCTCGCCGCGGAAATTCTTCTCCTCACAGCCGTCGCAGGTGGCAAACTGATGATCTTCGTAGCCTTCTAGCAGGCCTGTGCTCCAGTAGGTGGCCATTTTTATCTAAACCGTCACTTTTAGAGTTGTAAGACTATCTGAGAACACGATCTAAAGGAAGGATAGCGATAGTTGCCGTATAAAAGTATCGCACAGAACGTAATTTGTTTATTTACGTTGCCACTATAGAGGAGTATAGGTGGGAGTGCAAATAGCCGGTCTAACAATTGTCAGTGCCCGACGAGTGGCGATTGAGTTGTAAATCCGGGGGCAAAAACACCCCATGGGACTGTTCGACTTTTGCGAACTGCGAACCGAAGCGGGCATGGAAATAACAACGGTTTCGTAGTGCCTTCGTTGAGGGAAAAGCACAAACATGGCTTTTGCCGAGCCGGCGAATTGCTAGCGGATAACGCAAAAACCCCCTGTTATCAGCTCTGATCGATAGAAAGTTTAGTCATAGGAAAAAGTGCTCTAATTGCTAGTTAAAGGGGCAAAGAAGTCAAATTCGCGTGTTAGCGTATCCACCCATTGGTCAAAAGAAAAGAAAAGGATACAGTTTAAAAGTACCAACAATTTCGTCGTGAAAAACGGCGACATATTTGCGAAAAACAAAATCTTTGGTCTAAAATGGACTTTTTGGACATTTTATTTGGATAGCAAATTATTGACTATAAAAATGTGTAAATACTAATGTAGAAACTAGCGTAAAATAATCTTTTAAAACAAGATTACGCAATATTAAAAGTTTTACAGAAAACATGAAAGGAAACGACTGTTTTGGAAACCATGAAATCGGGAAGTAGGCGGCGGGTCGGGTCGAAATATCGGCGCGTTCGCGATGAGTCACCGATCGGGCGCCACGGTCGCGCTATTGTGAGTTTTTTCACGAGTTTCAGGATAGCACTGCCACACTTGTTGTTGACGTGGGAGCACGAGCAGCCGATCGATCGATAGGGCATAAATTGGCGACCCTCTTTTGCCCCCAGACACAATAGACCCGGGGGAATGGCTGAGGATTTGTAAACAACGTGTTTGCGAGGAAAACAAGCATGGGATTTTCGGGTTTGGCTCAAAATGTCACACGAACTGTACTGCTAAAACTACTTTTTGAGCTTGCTACTTTAGTTAAAACGCATCTCACGTTTTCAGGCGAAAAAAGTGGACCGCCTGGTGCCTTTAAAAAAAGTTGTGACGTTCATTTTTAGGTAAATCTGAAATCTATAAACACTTTTGTCAAGTTGGTGTAGCTTGTATTCCTTAAACAAAGACCTCTCTAAACTTTAAAGAGATGGTGTAACATCTTACGAAATATAAAACATGAAGGAATGGGTGTTAAACTATGCTTATCATTTTCTAATGTGATTTCTATCTTTTTGTATATTTTTTCAAGCTTGTAATTATAGATTTTATAATTCTCAATCCCTTTAATTCCGAGATTTCACTGAAAACACCTTCTCGTGGCTCCTTTTGGCCAAACTTGAGCTGTGCCCGGTCAGCTGATGGGTGCAACGGGGTGGGCTGGCCGGCCAGTCGTGTGTTCCGTATGATCCCAGTGGCTCGCATGTCTTTGCCGTTTTTGTCTCACCCTTCCGCTTCATCCATCCCCTCATTCCATTCCATTCCGGGGCCCCCTCCAGTCCCTCCTTAGAAAAAACGCGGAAATCCCATTCGCCTCCTCCCCGCACTCCACTAGGGCCCCCCCTCATTTCGCCTCGGGGGTTTGGATGGGAATGATGCGATGCTGGATTTTTGGCTATAAAAAGAGTTATTTTTTTAAGCTTGCCACAACGTTTTATTTCTCGTGACCTTGCGCTTCGAATCACCTCAAATTTCCTATTTTTAAGCATCGTTCAACTTCTTTTTGGCCTTTTTGCGGAATTTAAGCGTGGGTTTTCGATTCTCAATGAAGTCGATGAAGTATGAATTTTCGTTTGCCTTGCTTTTTAGAAGGGGGAACCTTTGTTGTATCTGGTAAGAACACCCCTCATCCAAAATCTTGTTTTTTTTGTAAAGGAAAAACAGGTTGCACCAAATTTCCCGAGCTTGTGAAACTCTCCGAACGGATACTGGGTAAATAAGAAGTTTTTTTCCATTCTCTAGGATTTTTCTCTCACTGGAAGTAACCGAAAGTGCAAGTGAACCCTGCTAAAATGACCGCGCCAGTCCCCTACTTGTTATTCTCTCTTTCAGTGCTTGGCTAGGCGCCAAGCGGGCCAATTTGCACTCTGCTCTTATCAATGGTCTTTTTCATCAAGTTTGGGTACATTTTTGTTTGCTGATATTATTATGATAGCACCCGTCGATTGGTGCAATATCGGGGGTGTGACACGGGCGTACATGTGACCGAGTTGATACCCGTTGTGGGTCGGACTGTTTTTGGGAGGGAGGGCGATGTGTGTAAAAGAGGAGCAGCACCGGCACGGGATTGCTCTTGACTAGAAAAGGCCAGAGACTGATGAGGGGATTAGTTGCTGTGCTTTCTTAGACGAATTATTGGCAACATATTACTTCCTTGTTGGATAGTTTTCAATGATACTTCCCGCCTTTTTTTAGATCCTAACTTATATCAAATCTCAGACATTTGTAACCAGCCTGCCATTATATAAACAAGGGTTTAGTTGTTGCACCTTCGTACACAAAAACCTTTAATTTTCGGAAGTATGCTCTTTTCGCAATGTTTGTAATATTTCATCGGTTTTAGCTACTATTTGTAGAAATTTCGCATCTCTATAAGCATGACGCTACCGTCACGTTCACCAAGTTCAGATATACTTTCTATTCCCGGTGGTATCCCCCTTTTTCATAAATTCGCAGTGGGACCCGCGGGGTTGACGTCATTGGTCGGGGGCGAGCGAATGCGCCCGGAATAGCTAGGCCAGTCCTGGGCCAATAGCTTCTTTGTGAGTCATTTTTTCAACCGAGCGTAGGTTGCGAAAGTGTTGTGTAACGTTGCGTACTTTATTTAGGCTTATCATAACGGAAAGTAACGTAATTGCGGGCTAGCTTTCGTAACGTAAAACTTGATAGCTGTAAACTTAGCGGAATGACTCGTATCGGAACGTGGCGTACTCTAGGAAGCAAACGTAGCGTTAGTACGCCGCGACGTTAGCATTTTTTGGATTCCGTTAACGGAAATGGGTAACTACGAAAAGTTTTTGTTTATTTCTATAGTTCCGGAATATTTTATGCCATGAAATCGATTCTTCCGCTTTTTCGTACTAATATTTTTGGAGGTTCCTCAATCATCTCCTACCTTTAAAGGGGCTCAGAAGTCAAAATTCGTGCCTGCGGGGATTGAACCTACGGGTCAAAAAACGAAAGGGTCACCGCCGGAAGTGCCAAAAAAGTTATTTGATCGCGAAAAAAAGTAAAATGTTTGAGAAAAACCGAATTCTTTTTGGGGGGAAAACGACATTTTGAGTGCGCGGCGATTACATGTCGTAATGCTTTGTAAGGCACCCAATCTCTCGATCTCGGTGATTCTCTGGTCAATTTTCATAATTTTAAAGTCTGGAATGATCAAAATTCGTTGAGGATTCCAAAAATAGTATCAGAATTTTTAAATTCAAGCGTTTTCGCTTCCAAACAGAGGCAAAAGATCATGCGGCGCGGGCGCGTTGCGGCCGCATCTGGCTATTTGCCAGGAATCACAGCAGGGGGCCGTGGACCAGATTTCGGAGCCCCTTTAAAGCAACCCCCGCAAAGCCGCAATGTCCATTTCCCGCTCTTCCCCGCATATTTCCCTGGTTATCACCCTTCCCTCAATCAGCACAAAAGCGTGGCGGTTGCAGATTCACGTGCCGGCCAACTTGGAATATTTTTTATTGATTCCGGGGGCCCGTTATCACATCACGCGATCGCCCAAACTGAGGCTCACCCGGGTCTTATGAGCGCGAAATGTGAGGCGGGCGATAATTAACGGGAAGTGGAGGGCTTTCGGCATTTTCAGTTTGTTTGCAAGTTTCGAAAATCCGCGCCGGCCATGACAAATTTGTCAATAGGAAAGTAGCGTGAAAGAGAGAGCAAATAACCTTTGCTCTGCCCACCCATTGGTCAAACTAGAGCGGACTACAGCGTTTTTGCTGCAAATTATTTGAGTTTTGCGCCGGCTAGCCGGGTTTCTTCAAACAGAACTACCGGTGTGTCAATAGTTGCTCAACGTTGTGTAGAATTGAGGGTAGATATAGGGTACCGGAAGGGCGGCAGTATTCTTGAAAAAGTAGTCTAAAAATTTCTGAAACTTATTTTTAAATCCTCGGAGTTAAGGCAAGTTTAGAAAATCAATTTTGGAGTCGGGAATTTTGTTCTAGATGCAGAGGATCGGCTTAATAATCTGCTTTTTCATGGCTATAACTTTTTGTTCAGCCGGAAGTAGGAAGTTGTGTGAATGGGTTAGTTGAAATTTTGACGGCCGGTTGTTTTACGATTGTAGCAAGTAGTTTGTAGTTGTTTTAGGAGAAAAAAGGTTTTCACATGGCAGCCTGCCCAGAAATCAGCGGGCTTGGCAGCAGCCAGGACAGCCGCGAGGATCGATCCGCTAGCTATATTCAAAAACGCGGAAAACGTCAGGCTCCTCGTCCCCCGCCGCGGATATCGTCGATGAACTTTAATTTGGTAAATGCCGATTTTTAGGGGGAATTAACTCGATGTCTAGTGCCCCCGCCCGAAATGGCCAGATTTTTGGAAGTTACGGTTTTCTATCGGCGCACATTCATGATTTTTAACGTAGTCCAGCCATGGTCACATCCCTTGTATCCCAAGTTAGATCCGTAGAACCGAAAGATCGGAAAGCGCCATAGTTTAGGGACATTCAGCGATCTCCGGCTCTTGCAGGCAAAAATCCGCAACTGCCGGACCACCGGGTGACGTTCCCGGCACGGTGATAAGCATTTTTCGGAGATGGGCAGGGCTGGCCTCCGACGGGGGGTACTTTGGCATTTCTGGTAGCTAATCAGCGGGAGTTGCAGGGGTGGTATCAATCATTTTCGATAGTCCGCATAATTTTTCAAAGGATTAAAGGGACGTAGTATATTTTTCTAGAATTCCACGATGTGAAATATGCAAATTGATAATAAATGGCCGGTTCAGGCCTTATTACGGACACACCTATTTACGCAGTACGGTGTTGTGAGACGTTAAAAACGCCTGAAAAAAAATTATTTTTGTGGCCTGGAGACGTGTCAAAAGACTTCAGATTCAGCCTAGGAAAGTTCCATTGAAGCGTGTTAAAGTATAACTTTGCACTTGATATTTTCTAAAGATCAAGTTTTTCAAGCCAACCTTGTTTACCAACATCATGGCGCGTTTTTGCTGCCCGTGTGCTCTTGTCCTGGACGGCCATTCTTTCGGTCCCTTGATATCACCCTCTCGTTTCTCTCTCTCTCTCTCTCTCTCTCTCACACACACTCTCCCTCTCTCCTATTTACCCATTGATAACCCCTCTCAATTGTGCATATAAGGCCAATCCCGCCTTGATAAGCCCCCATTGCAGTGTCACCAGACTCCCGAGTCGCCGACGCTCTCACACAAGCTACCGTACCCCACACCCGTATCTACCGTATCCCCCCAATCAATTCGCTATGGTAAAGCCCTGGTGTCCGAGTGGCACACACTCGTACCAAGAACACGGAGTGATGGGGTGACGGGTGTGGCTGCCAGGGGGTGCTGATCTGGGGCCTGGGTCTTGCCCCCGGATTATGGGCCTCGGTAGGCCCCCGGGTCCACCCGTCCACTACTTGCCATCACCTACACACATCTCCCAATTACCATCCCAGGGTTGTAAATGTGACCCCAGAGCGCATGAAGAGCTCATTGGCGGCGATTTGTAAGTCGGGTTGAGGCCGAGTAGCGGCCACGGATCTCCTCGAAGCTCGGGCACACCACCCACTCTCGGTTGATACATCGAAAGAAATGGTAAATGCTGAGCGTAGATTAGGTTATAGCGGATTCCAAAAATTCATACTATCTTAATAATGTCGGTTTTATTCGTTTTTCTACGTTTTTTTTTGGAAGATGTAATTCAAAATTTTCTAGTGAATCCAAATTTTCCGAATTTTTCGACCATAGATTTCCTTTTAAGAGTTCATGTTCTATTTTTTTCCTTGGCCCGATTTCTGTGAAATGCTCTACTTTTAATGAATCTGACTTTTATTCAGCGTTTTCAAAAACATGAGATTTTTTTCTACGTTAAAAATACGTGGATCAAAGTTTTGTAAGTTCTACAATTTCCGTATTGAAAAGTAAGAGTGCGAGAATTTTTGAGCTCCAATTTTTCTACGCTTAAAATGCGTTTCCTTGAATGTTCTACGTTTTTAATACGGTTTTCTACGTTGCGTTGCGTAAATACGTTTGCCACGTTTTTTAGCACAATCTCAGCATTTACCCTTTCTTTCGCCACAAAAACTACACCTAAAGGAGCCCAGCTCACCCCCATTTTTTGCCGGTGTGATTCTGGGTCTCGGGCAGATCGCAAATTTGATGCGGCGACACCTCCAAAACCCCCCGAAAATGGTATGCCCCCGTAGGTTGAGACAACTTCCACAAAGGTACAGGCCAAACCACGGAGAGTCGTCGCCCCAGGTGTTACAAGGAGTAGCTATGCGGAATTTACCGCATCCTTATGTATTTGAGAGTCCAGGCCGGGCTACGGTATCGTTAGGGATTAGCAAGGATTACTGTAGGACGTAGGGAACATCTGAAGCCCATCTTCAGTTGTTTTTGGGGGGCCACGGGTCTCGGGAGGGGCGGCCTGACGGTACGGGGAGACGACACCGCCGAGCGGCGCGTTTTGCAAAATAGATTTGTTGGCGCGGAGTCTTATTGAAATTCAAAGCCGGATGACTCATTTGGCGTTTTTAAAAATAGAAATTTTCAAAGGCATAAAACAATACATTTGTTTTTATTGCTTTTCTCACATAAAAAACTATTTCAAGCAGCAAATTGCATCCTAAATTCGAGTGAAACCTGAGTTTTTATCTTTTTAACAAGTTTCTGTCGGCCATTTAAAAACACGAAAAATCGGCTACAAACTCCAAAATCGATGTCGAAGGATCAGTCTTTCAAAAAAAAAAACCATCCGCGCTCACAATTTTTCCGCACTGATCCTTTGGGCGATCGTCGTCTCCTTATCGTTGGCCTGCGTCCCGGCCGTCTCCGAACTCCGGGAGAACGCTGCGGTGTCCCAGAAGGCTACAAGCTACAAATTCTCAAAAATGGGCTTCTGGTGTCGATTCGGCCGGTCGGGCAAACACGGATAGTTTCTAGCTTTTGAAAAATAGAATAAAAGTTACAAAACCGTCTTGTCAGGCTTGCCGAATCGACTTTTTGGAAGCCCAAATTTTCGCCACACCACAAACTACACCAAAAAACGGACGGTTTTCTGGGCCCCAGTTGCTGCATCACGGGCTCGGAGGCAGTCATGTGAGAGATTAGGATATAGCCAAAAACAATTGGCGTAGTACGGAGGATAGTGTAATGCTATCGTTGGTACGGCCAAGCTACCGTGAAATTACCGAAAATTTTTGCCTGACGGGGTGACATGACCAACCAGCGGTCGGTCCTGCATCTCTCACACTCGACCCGCCGGCTTTTCAGGGATAACTTGAGACCCGGGTCTTCGCCAAGCATGGAGTGGCCAATGCCTAATATATTTTTGGTATTTTAGAGTCTACAAAGTGAGAACAAGAAGAACCTGAAGGTTGCCATCATTGGCGGAGGGCTGGCCGGAATGTCGGCTGCGAGGTGAGTTGATGAAAATCCGGGCTCTGGTTCGTTAGCGGGGGGCGGGGGAGTCCATGCTCCTATGTACCGATCCCCGCCCGCTAACACACCAGTTCCAAACATTATGCCAAACTCCTCTATCAACTCTGCTAGCTTTTTCGCAAAAAATTTCTAGTTAGGAACTTAGAGAATTTTCCGGCTCTGATCCAGCTCCCCAAAAACCTCTGCTAGCTTGACCTCAATTTTATTTTGACTTTTACACATTAAAAATCGTGATCGCTTAGCAGCCGGCCTCCCCAATTTCCTCTGCTAGCTTGCCCCTGGCTCTTGACCAGGGATTTTATTGCCTAGGCCGGCAGTGCGTTTTGCCGCGACACGCAACGCGCAAGTGTCGATTGCCGGACGTAGAGGGTGACACCAATTCCCCAATGAAATTTGGGACGTGGGCGTTGCGTGCCGTAGTCAAAATCCATAGTCAAGCCTTGCTGGTTCGGTTATCGCATTTTCAGCATAATCTTTTCCAGAATTCTCCAAGAAAAATCCGTCGACTATGTCCTGTTCGAGGGCACCGACCGTGTTGGTGGCCGTGTCCGCCCGACCGAATACAAGAACGGCTACCTCCAGATGGGCGCCGAGTTCATCAACGGAAAGATGAACCCGATGTACGAGATTGCCACGCATCTGAAGATTGTCGATCGGTATATGGACGATGAGGAGCTGTTCACTGATGATTGCATTTATGCTTGTGGAAAGTCGGAGATCTCGAAGTGAGTTAAGCTTAAATTTATGTTTTTTCAGTTTTTCTTTTGATTCCTAACCTCAAGCCTAAGCCTACGCCTAAACCTAAGCCTAAGCCTAAGTCTAAGCCTAAGCCTAAGCCGAAGCCTAGGCCTAACAATCCTTTTCAGGAAGGACATTGCCGAATTCCAATCGTTCACCGCCCCGCTGTCCGACAAGTTCGAAGAGGCCGGAAAGGTACGAATTTTCTAGCGCATGTTGCAATTAAAGATTTTTTGCACTATTTTTTTAGTAAGCTACCGTATCAATTTTCCACTTTTTAGAGTGAGGTCACCCCGAGCGTCGCCGAAATGTTCTACGCCGAGTACGAGGGCTGGCTTCAGCAGGACGAGCAGCGATTTGCCAGGCGCAGAATTTTCGACCGCCTGGCCAAGATGTACCAGACGTTCTACGAGAACGAGTGGAGCGCCCCGTTCGATCAACTTGCGGTGCTGAACCTCGACCGCTGGGACGACTTCTCGGATGCGTTCGCGTCATTTACGCTCGGGCCTTATGGATTTAAGGTTTCAAAATATTTAGGTTTATAAATCTACTTATTTTAGGCTATTCTTGATGAGATCAAATCTCACGTCAATGAGAAGAACATCAGATTCAACTCGATCGTACAGAATATAGATTATTCAGGTTGGTAGAGAGAGAGAGAGAGAGAGAGAGAGAGAGTAAGAGATAAAGAGATAGATATGGTGATGGAGAGGGGGTGCAAAGTTAACGCTCCAATTCAGGCTCAAAGGTCCGCCTGACCATCGCTTCCGGCGGTGAGCCCCAACTCTTCGACTACGTGATCGTCACCTGTCCAATCGGCCATCTGAAGCGATTCTCGTTCTCGCTCTTCACCCCTCCGCTGCCCAAGCTCAAGCAGCAGGCTATTGATAGTCTCGGTAACCAAGAAAACAACGTAAAATTAACAATTTTTTAAGGTATGGGCAACATGATGAAGGTTTTCCTCGAATACGAAACGGAATGGTGGCCGGAGGAGGTGAGCAAGACTTTGTTTATTACCAAAAATCATTCTATTTTTATTGCAACCTTAAATTTTGAGTTTGCTGGTCTAAAAATCGATAAAAAGTGGGAGAATGAGTTTCGAAACGATCGATCTATCGATTTTCAGGTCGGCTCCATCCTCGCCCTCCCGGAAACAACAAATAATAATAATAGTATAAGTAATTTCAACTACAACAACAACAAGGAGAACGTGAAGCCGATGGACTGGAAACAAATCAAGGAGCTGGAGCGGCGGAGGAAGATCAAGGAGACGTTGCGCGTGTTCCAGCCGTTGGAATGGGAGAGCAATGTGAGTGCGGGTTTTTTTGAAAATTTTTGGATACTTCCGTGGAATACCTTAAATCGATATAACCCTCATTTTTTAGCTACTCGTCTGCTGGCTGGCCGGCGACGGCCCCAAGCTAATTTCTCAAGTGGATGATCAGGCGCTGGCCGAGCTGGTGACGGAGAGGTTAAGGGAATCGCTCGTCGACCAGACGATACCCCTGCCGAAGTCGTTGAAAAGGTGGGTCAAACGTAGCATTAACCGGCCGATACCTGGATAAGCTACCGTAAACTCAAAAATTCAACATTTTTAGAATGGACTGGTACTCCCACCCGCTTTTCCACGGCTCGTACTCCTTCATCACGCCGGAAGCTGCCGCTATGGGCGACCCGTACGCCATCATGGGCGAGCCGGTCACGAATGCGGCGAGTAAAAAGTGGGTTGCCGGACTAGAGTTGAGAAATTTGAACTTCTCCAAGATGTTGAACCAAACCACTTTTACATTAGCAAACTAAATTACAGCAAGTTGAACTTCCTCAATTTTTTTCGCTTTCCAGACCTCAACTTCTCTTCGCCGGTGAGGCAACGCACACGAATCTCTACCAAACCACATCCGGCGCCTACCTCTCCGGCCAGCGCGAGGCCGAGCGCATCTGCAAGCTCGAGGGCTTGATCTGAACATAGTACACACATGTACAAAGGGTCCCCGGTCTCTGCGTTTTCTAGGCATTTTGCAGGGTATACATATGCTTCACGCCCATTTCTATTCTCCCCCTAACTGTTTGTGCTTTGCGTCTTCTGTGCATATCATCTCACCTCGACTCCTATCAGTTCCCATTCCGATTATTTGTCTTTAATAAAGAATATATTTATCTATCAGTTTTGAATAGACGAGAATCAAGTTTTTCCGTAAAACACGATACCCGAAGAGTATCTGCACGGAACTTTAGCCTATTCAAGGACATAAAAAGTTATTTGCGTCAAAAAATTGCATGTGGCAGTTGCAAACGGTGGCTCCAAATTTGCAAATCGTATGGTAAGATTTTTATGACTTTTATGACTTGTGTTTTTTATGACTTTTTATAACTCTGAATAACGGTTAAAAAGGCGAAATTTAATCACAAAAATTGTTTAATAAAAAACTCTGAAAAAGGATGTCAAGACCGACAAGACCTACACCTGATCGAGTGATAGTACTCCTTCGTACATGCAAGCGTCACGTAGCGTAGCTTATAACGACTATTAGAGCGGTGCCTAAAGCCTCTTAAATTCTACGACTCACATCTGCATCAAATAAACTCTAGCATTCCACCAATTTCGCGAACAATCACGCTACAACCCCGTTCCGGACGCCCACCTGAATACGAGCCCGGAAATTGACTCACAAAAACCCGTGGTTTCCTGCGGTTAGATGCAGTCGGTATGGCACACAAAACGTAGCTGAAAAAAAACAGATTCCTGTATCGCATTGTTTTAGCCTTTGCCGCGGGCCACGTCTTCGGAAATTGGGCCCCAGGCTGAGGCCATTCAAAGGAAATTGTCGGTTTTTTTGTAATAACTTGGCGGATTTGCTGCGTTCGGGAAGAAGAGTTACCTAAACGTCTGGCACGTTATTTTCCCGCGATTATCGGCGCCCGGCATGCTATGGATTCTCGGAATAGTTGTGTAAGTTTTTGATGGTTACGGGATCCGCGAAATATGGAAGAAGCGGCGTTGCCTTGCGCGTTGCGTGACGCGGGCCCTGGTATTTCCAAAAATACATAACCTAGAAAGTTGCTTCGCCAGTTTTCAAGTCCATTTAACAATAAGGGTCTTGGCAACTTCAATTTTTTTAATAGGGTTCTATTTGTTTCCATAAAATGCTTGCTGCACGGAGAAATTAAGAAAGAAATAAGAAAATAGAAATTTCAGCCTTTAAAAAAAGTTGAATTTCCTCTGGCAAAAAGTTGCGAAACGAAAAATCCGAAAAAGACGTAAAACCCTTCAAAAATATCATAATCCTTAACAGGAATTTCTAACCTTGGCATTCTTCCCATTTTAGAACCCTAACCCCCGACCGGGCCGATGCCTTAACCCATCCCCAATGCGCTGTCCAGTCCATGACGCAATATGGCAGCTACCTCGGGTAGGTTTATGACTAATGTCGTGAGATTGAGCCCACTCTTCAATAGCTAGCGTATACCAGGAAGTCATGGGCTATTTTTATCTCATCGAATCACATTTGATCGGATAGCATCCCATCGAAATTACGACTTGTCGAAATACGCCTCATCGAAATTACAATTCCTCGAAATTTCGGTTTTTGCCATCCAAATTTGTTTTCGGCCCAAGCCTAAATTTTTTATAAATAGCGGATGCGCCTCTCAATCGTTTTTCACTATTTCTAAGCGCGAAAACTATACAAATTTTCATTAAAACATTTAATTTTAGATCGAGAAATTGATTTTTTCGTCCAAGAATGACTAAAATTGGATTTGGCAAAAATTTGTATATTTAAAAATTCGATCAGTCCACATTTCTATTGGTTGTAATTTCGATGAGTCGTAATTTCGATGTGTCGTAATTTCGATGGGAGACAATTCGATCAGATGTAATTCGATGGGATGATAGCAAATCGGAGGTCAAGCCTAAATATGACGCCACAACCAGGTTCCGCGATGAAGCCGCCGAGCTACCCTACGGCGTTCTTGATCGAAACCGCGAGACGTCACTGTATATATGCCCGGATATCATCGGCCGGCATCGGTATCGTAGTCTTGGTGTTAATACTTTACTAACGTAGGAATAACATAGGTCTCCACTTCTACGGGGCGGTATTTACAACGCTGGAGACTTTATGAAAGCCTACTGCGCACAAAGTTGCCGACATTTGATGAGAACTGGCGGTAAGTAGAAGCGACGGGGGAGGGATAGAGAGAGAGGGAGAGAGAGAGAGATAGAGAGAAGAGATAGTGACCTGTTCAGGCAGCGTAGTATGCGGAACCCGAAGACCACCGATGACTTGGACGAACACCCTTGTAAGCCAATTCACGAGCGCAATGCCATGCGGGGATTTGCGATTCCCGATAAGTGAGACGGCCCCGAATCAGGTAAATTTTATAAAGCTGGTTATGACAAATTTTAGCATTTAATTTTGTACCCTACTGGCGACTTCCCTGATGCCGTCTTGCAGTATTTGAAGAGATTTCCATGGAAAGGGATTTTGGTTTGTGTTTTATTAGAGAGAGAGACAGAGAGAGAGAGAGAGAGAGAGAGAGAGAGAGTGAGAGAGAGATGCGAGAGCGAGCAAAATTTTGCGTAATTCTAGGTCAACGACGTTTATGACGATTTTAAAAAGACACTACAAAACGTCACAGCTATTCTTGACGCCGTACCGACCATTGATGAGGCGAGTCATATAAAGAATTATACTAATCATCGATTTAAGTTATACTTTGAGGCGGACAACGATGGAACGGCAAAGGTACGAAAGTATATGTGGCCACTATTCAGCGCGCGGCCGTGGAAAATCGTAGGTTCTCTCTCTTTCTCTCTCTCGCTCGCTCGCTCTCTCGCTTTCTCTCTTTCTTTCTATCGCCCTCTTTCTTGCGCTCTCTCTCTCGAAATGACCTTTTCTGTTTTAGATCAGCATCGGCACCAATATTGGCCTCAATGATCTACCGGCCAATACAACCTTTAATATCTCTCAATTAAAGGCATAAAATAATCAAAAATACCTTGTTTCTTATATTTTCAGGCCCTACGTCTCTTTGCCGTCGACCTCGCGGAAATCCCCTCCTGGGTAAAAGATGCCCACCAGCTACAGTACCTCCAGATTGATAGTCGGAACGGGAAGACAATTGGCGGCTTGGAGAATATCGAAAATTTGCCGGAGCTCGAGCATCTGATGCTCACCAGGTAGGGCGACTGGTGGACTTTAAAACCCCTCTTTTCAGAACTAACATCAAAAGATTTCCACGGCTGAACTCGCCGAAGTTGATTACACTGGATCTTAACTGCAATATGATCACCGAGTATCCGGATAATGTGTTCGAGAATTTGACGGGTGGGTATGTTTAGGCTTAGCTTAGGCTTAGGTTTAGGCTTAGGCTTGGGCTTAGGCTTAGGTTTAGGCTTCGGTTTAGGCTTGGGCTTAAGCTTACAAGGGAACCACCTAAGGTCAAGGTGGCGTTTCGTTATGGGACCCAGCCTATTTTGTGTAGAATTTTTTGCTGATTCCGAACCCACTTTCAATTTTTGCTAAATAGCCCAATTAAAAAAGTTATAGCGATTTTAAGGTCATATCTGTGCCCGCGGGAAGTCATCTGTCACGATGCCCAACTTTTTTATTTTAATAAGGCAGTCAATTTTGAATAGCCTATCTTGTAGAGAATGTTTTTCCGATTCGATTGGTATATTTCATTAGTGCGCTACGATCTATCGACGATCACTTACGGGGGTGTGAAATAGGCAATTTTTCACCATTTCCCATACAAAAAACGAAGTCCATACCAAGTATCGTCGATTTTTTCAATTTCCAACAATTTTGAGTTAAATAGCTCATTCGATAGAGAAAATTTTTCTGAATACGATGGCGATATTCGTTTTTGAGGAATCAGCCGGGAAAGGCAAGAAAATGGGTTTGAAGTTCGAAAATTTGGCGAAAAATGGCGCTTTGAAACGCTATAACTTTTTAAATTGGGCTATTTAGCAAAAAATGAAAGCGGATTCGAAATCAGCAAAAAATTCTGCACAAAATAAGCTGGGTCCCATAACGAAACGCCACCTTGACCTTAGGTGGTTCCCTTGTTAGGCTTAGGCTTAGGCCTAGGTTTAGGCTTAGGTTTTGGCTTGGGCTTAAGCTTAGGCTTGGGCTTAGGCTTCGGCTTAGGCTTAAACTTGAACCTACCCTTAAGTTATCTATTGTTCAGAAATCCAGTTCCTGACCCTACGCAACAACCCGCTCCCCTATATCAGCCAAGCAGCCTTGCGCCCGTTGACCAACTTGAAGCACCTCGACTTCGGGCAGTACGTTTTATACTTTAATACGGTTTACTATACCAAATCTGTACCCCCATAATTATTAGAATGCGGCAACCTAGCACGACAATTTAGACAAACCTACTACCCGTACGCAGCGTTAGGCCCGTTAAGTATGGATTACTACGTCAATCGTGCCGGTCGCACTTTCACCTGTCGAGATTATGATGTTAATGATGGGGTAGAGCTTTTAAACTTTTGATATATCATCACTTGCTTTCAGAAATTGACCAACTTCTCGGCAGCCACCCTACCCAACCCAGAGAAATTATTGAGCCTTGAATTGCCTGAGCAAAAACGGCTAAAATTCGATGCCGATTATTTTGCCAGGTTCCCAAATTTGATGGTAATTTATTGAATTTTTCTAATTGATCAATTCAAAACCGACAATTCTTCCGAATCACGCTTTTTCAGTCACTAAACCTACACGGGGTAAATTTGGCATCGCTCGACGGGGTCGGCCTGGAAAAGCTGGCTTCGTTGAATTTAATGCGAGCTAGTGGCATCAATTTTACGGGTGATTTTTATACTATTTTATGTCTTTAAAAAGAACCTATGTTTTTAAGCTATGCTAATAGAGGTATTTTAGCGGATGTCTGGATGCCGGAAACTTTTCTCTACAATTTGACCCAGTTGCAGTATATTTACTTGCAGGACTCGAATGTGGGTTTTTGGTAATATAATTCGGTAATTGGAAATCATAATCTAAAATGCCGACATTCATAATTTTAAAGACCTGAAATACCGACGTCGAAAAAATTTTTCACCTTTTTCCGTAGCTTGTCGGCATTTTGTCGGTCGGTTTTTCGCGTTTGTGACAACTATTTGTCGTAAAACTTAGCGCTAGGCAACTAATTTGTGTTTTATAGTGTTTGCAATGCTTTAATAATCTGGATTTTAGATAAAAGCGTCCGCACCGTGGATAGCCATGGCCAAAACGTCACCCCGATTTAACGGCGAGCTTGGATACGAATTTACGGTTTACCGCTTCAGCTACATGGACTCCTGCTCGCAGCGTGAGTGGAGGGTCCTGAGATTATACTTAAAGTACCGTTTAGAAATCATGAACGAGGTGGCGAACAACGTGGCGGCCGACGAGACGTGCGCGGATGACAAGGCAACTCTGATGAACGACGCGAAAAGGATTATAGAAGCGAAATTTGCGTATGTTTCCTGTTTTTTTCCCTTCTGGCTTGCGGTTGCCTTAAAAAACACAGCTTAAATTTAGGCTCCAACGCAGCGTCGTCGATTTGACGGGAAAAGTTTAATTGTTTTTGGTACTTTGTTGCGGGATAAAGCGTTTGTTATGTTTTCCATTGAATTTTATCGGTTTTATCGATATCGGTGTTCAGTTCAGGGAATACCGGCCCCGGGGCCAGGGCCTCGCCCCCGAAATCGGCCGGGCCGAAAATTTCATAGGGGGACCCTTATGATTTTCATTTTTCTCAAAAATTTTGCTGCCTGCGGCGCTATTTTTTCACCTTTTTACGGCTATTTGTAACCTTATTTTCAAAAAATTTTGTCTGCGGCGCTGTTTTCTCGTTACTGTTTTCAGTTTTTTGGAAAAAATTTTTGGGGGCCCCCCTCCCGAAATTTTTTTCTGGCTACGCCCCTGTCGGTGTTACAAGGCGCAAAAAGCATCAACAAAAATCGATTTCACAAGCTCTAAGTTTTCAAGTTAGCTTTTCGAAGGGCTCCAGATTCCGCTGCTGAACTCGGCCGGAGGTATATGTCGGTTATGCGGGGGAGGGGGCGGGGGCGGACGGGACAGGCAGGCCTTTTTGGATGTTTTCGTTATTTTCTCGGAATTTTTGCAACGGCATTTGATAGAGCATCAAAAAATATACTAAGAGTTTTTGTTTTAGCTCAAATTAGTGTAATATAAAAAAGTCATGGCACATACAAAACTAAGCTTTGCAAGTCGGGTTGAGCGGCTGTTTTTCGACATTCGCGCTATTTTCCCGGTTTCGACACATTCGGTTATGATATTACCTCAGCTCGGATGCCGTATCTGAATTCATGTGCTCTTCGTGAGTTTGCAGCAGCCAGAATTCTGAATTTCTTTAGAAATCCTCAACGCGATCACGCAGGGCTTGCCGGTCGAGAAACATGTGCCAAAGAGCAGGCAGAAGTGATGGCGGAGGTCAAACGGATGGTAACCACCAAACTCGCGTGGGTTTCTGAAATTGTTTCTTTGCAGGAATAATTTAATATGGCTTTAAAGAACCGCGAATCAGATATCACCCATACCGATCCATATTTGGGCTCTCCCCGTCTTCTTAAAAGGCTTTATTCCGTTTGCAGGATACGAGCCGCAGCTGACGACGTCGTTTTTCGATGAAAAATACCCGGACAGGTGGCCTGTGAATAAAAATATTGTTAAAATTACTAAGCAAAATTTAACAAATTAATTATGAGACGGGAATCTTTTGAGAACCTGGTTCTCCAGGTTGCTGCCATCATCCGTGGTGTCCTCCCGTGTCGATTTCCGGTGGAGCGGTGGATCAAGACACGGTCCTCCCACCCCAATGTCCAGGTGCCCATTTGCACTCTGGTGGGGGCACTGCTGGGTCAAAACCTCTATTTAGCCGTCATGCCAGGTGCACTCCGGATAACGGCTTGCTATTGACGGTGCCGGTATATTGGCAGATCCTTTATATTTTTGCGTAAATCTTTAGATTTTCAATATCAGTTCGAGGAATCGATCTCTCTCTCTCTCTCTATCTCGCTCTCTCCCTCCCTCTCTTCCTCTCTCTCACGGCCCGATTCTTTTTTTAAATTACTTCAGAAATTGTCATTTCAGAAAAAGAGAGTATGGTTTGTCAACCTTGGGTCAACATTCATGATTGGTTCGTCCGGAGCGGCGGCACAGTAAGACGATTCCTCAAATGTGCGCCTAAAGCCGAGGTAAACGTGCAGTTTAACGCCCTCAGGATGTCGGTGAACTTGAGGACCATTTATATCGCGAATAGGTAAAGAAATAACTTGCATATTTCAGTTTGCGATCGACTTCCCTCTGCTACCACAAGCCGTCCAGCATAACATTCTCCGGGAGATGGACCTCAAAACCTTCTTCAAAACTACGATCACCAGCAAGGCAATCATGGGAATGGCTGTGAGGATGGCGAAGAACTGGGATTCCGACCTTGTGGTGCGTGCAGATTGCTCGGACCTCTACCTTGTCACAAACTTCCCCCATACGATCGCCATCCGCGGCATCGAGGCTCAAAAATTGCTTTTCCACAATTCTACCGTGCGTAAGTTGACGCTCTATGCCCCTCTAACAGATGTGCTCAGCATTCGCTGTCGCGCTTTATCAATACATTTCACAAACGACGAGCTACTGTTTGTGCTCGATCGCCACAGCCCGGTCGGCGGCTATGATTGGTTCCACGGCACCGAGCAGTTCAACCTGACGCCGAACGTGCGACAGTGGATACAGGCTTCACTCAGCCGTTGGATAAAAACATTCGACGGTAACACTTCGAACGGACCGGAACTGCGGCCGAGGTGCTTGTGAGTACGGGACCGTACAGTGGACTTGGAGGTCTACGCACAAGTCCTGATCGAAGAGTGGCTGATCGGTGACCTGCTGCTCCATAGGCTCGGCCTCACCAACACCCCACAGACTTGTGGCTGGCCGAAGACGCCATTCCTTCACCAATACCCCAGACACTATGTGGAGAAGGAGAAGGACACCTGGTTTCGCATCAAGAGAGACGATGGCCAGGTGCTGATTGTCCAGTGCAAATTTGATCATACTTGTATCTGGTTGTCCGACCGAAGACTGCTCCAACTCGGTGACGTTGATGGCGGAGATTCTGCACTGGTGGAGCTCAGGGATTTTGTGTATTGTCAGGAGTGAATAAACTGATTTAACTAATACCTAAGATAATTATTAATTAAAATAGATTACATGATTACAAGGATTGAGCTGGTGGCTTTCTCAGAAAGATGGTTAGAGATGAAGAGACAGAGAGATTAAGAAGAGATAGATGAGCTAGAGGGAGTGAGAAAGACATAGAGGGACAGAGAGAGAGAGAGAGAGAGAGAGAGAGAGAGAGAGAGAGGGAGGGAGGGAGGCAGTGAGAGGGAGAGAGAGGGAGACAGAGCGAGCGAGAGAGCGAGCGAGAGAGTAAGAGAGGTCATTTTCCGTTCAAAAACAAACCGGATCGGAGGAATTGTTCAAATTAATACGCGAAATTCGACACGTTTATTATGAGACCGGCATCTTTCGGCAATTATTAAGGGCATTATAAGTGGATTACCAAACGAAAATAAAATAAAGAAAATCAGATTCTCAACGAAAAGAGCGCAAGCCGCTGCATCATCGGTCCCGTGGCGTTATGGGCCATATCAGCTTTGTACGGGCTACCATAGGCGAGCATGTATCTAAAAAATTGCTTCAGAGAGAGAGAGAGAGAGAAAGAGAGAGAGAGAGAGAGAGCTTGATCTTTTCACTTACTTTCCATCGATCTCCACCTTACAGACCAAATCCCCGGCGAAATGCACGTTTTGCGCAAAGTCCCCAAGTGCAGCAACGGTTTCGAAGGGGTGCTAAAAGCAACATTTTTTAGGTTTTAGATTTAGTCTAATTTATAATTAGATCTCATAGAACGCTTTTACCGAAAACTCGTTCTGAGCCGCCTCCTGGATCTTGTTGGCGATGATCTGGATGTTGCAGGCGTTGTATTTTGGTGATGCTTTAATTTCGCTGTACGTGTTTTCGATCAGGTTGTTAAGCTTGACGTTACAGCATGCGTAACCTGGAATCAAAGTTCAAATAAGAATATTGAAAACAATATCGAATTAAACGATATGCGCGATTCGGTCAGAGTTAGTGATGCTACGATATGCTACGTTGTTGTGGCTACACCAAGATACGCTAGGTTACGGAGCGGCGCGGAACGAAGCCCTACGCTACGCGACGAGGACCTGGGTTACGGTATGCTACGCTACCGGTCGCTACGCAAAGATACGTTACGATACGCTACGCTAAGCAAAGATAGGTCACGATACGCTACATTACGCTAGGATCCGCTGCGCAAAGACACGTTATGAAACGATACTCTACACGGTACTCTACAGGATACGTTATGTTGCGCTACGCTAAGATACGTCACGATAGGCTACGCCACGATACGGTACGCAAAACTACTATAAACCAAATATACTAATCTACTAAAAATCTGACTTCACCGTGATCACAAATGCGCCCAGGCTTCCCAGCTTAAAAGGCCGTTTGCCAGAGACCCGAACAAGCCTTGTCACAGTTTTTTTCGACCCCGTTTTTTTGATGCCATCTGAAAGAGCATGGTCGAATTAGTAGGGTGGCGCTATTTTGGGATTTTTAAAAGTTCATTTTCTAGGTTTAAATGGGTGTTAAAGTTGGAAACCTTCAAAAATTATCTCGAGAACTACTGAACCAAATTGCTCGAAAATTTCAGACAATACTTAATTTGGGGTGCTGATCATTTTTGTAACACATTGTAAAGCACGAAAATAGCCGGAACATAGGAATACCGCGTACACAGAAAGGTTTTTCGCAATTTTCTATTTAATGGGTATGCGTCGCCACTTTGCAAATACCCTTAAAAGATGCGCAATGGAATTCTACGTCAAATAATGTATTTTTCAGCGTGGCGACAGATGCCCATTAAATCGAAAAATCGTTTTTAAAGACCCCGAACAGAAAAAAAATGCGTATTCCGGAAAAGAAAGACAGTTTTTCGTATCTAGAGACCAAAACAGAACAATTGCAAAAAAGAGCAAAAAGAAATTCGATTTCTAAAAGGGGGCTGGGATTGAACTCGGGTCGTTCGCCTGGGACCTGGCGGCGCCCACTAGTGGCTTTCCCCAGTGCCCCCCAGGCGGGTCATCGCGGGTTCGATTCCCCACCGAGTCTAATTTCGCGTAGAAAAGCTATTTCTTTTTGCTCTTTTTTGCCATCGACTTGTTTTTTCCTTTAGAGTCGATTGAACTCCGCGGATTTTGCCAAAATATACTATTTTTATGTTTGTGGAGCCATTTTAGTTGTTTTTAGAAATGTCATTTTTTCGATTTAATGGGCATCTGTCGCCGCGCTGAAAAATACATTATTTGACGTAGAATTCCATTGCGCATCTTTTAAGGGTATTTGCAAAGTGGCGACGCATACCCATTAAATAGAAAATTGCGAAAAACTGTTCGATGTACGCGGTAATCTTATGTTCCGGTTATTTTCGTGCTTTACAATGTATTACAAAAATGATCAGCACCTTAAATTAAGTATTGTCTGAAATTTTCGAGCAATTTGGTTCAGTAGTTCTCGAGATAATTTTTGAAGGTTTCCAACTTTAACACCCATTTAAACCTAGAAAACGAACTTTTAAAAATCCCAAAATAGTGCCACCCTACTAATTCGACCATGCTCTTTCAGATGGCATCAAAAAAACGGGGTCGAAAAAACTGTGACAAGGCATCATAGGGGCTGTTCGGTTGAGCGGCGGACGGCCTTTTAACTGTAGGATTGTAGAAGCAGTCCGGCAATGGAAGATGTGTTTTTGGCGGATAGTAATATTTCACATTTGGCGCGTCTTTCAGAGCTGCTTTACTAGCAATGTTTTTGTTCCGAATCTGAAATTTTTAAGGTATGAAAACGACGCTGAGCCTACATCAGACTTCGATTGCGTGTTTTCCTCTTTGCTCTTCTTTGTGTTCTCGTCCTTACGGCCATCTCCCTTCCGGTGTTTTCTTGGTTCCCCGTCCTCCTGCTCTTCCTCTTTATGCTTGTCTTTCTTCGATTTCTTCGAGTTTTTCTCTTTCTTTTTCGACTCCTTTTCGGGCTTTTCCTCCTCATCCTCATCCCCATAATTCTCGAACTCGAACCCGGCGCGTTTTCTGGGGGTGGAAGGGCGGTTCTGAATGTTTAGAAAGTCTATTTTTGTCAAATTCCAAAAGCCTACCTCCTCCTCCTCGGCATCAAAATCCAGATCCCCGTGATCGGCATGATTCGGACTCGTACCTTTAGCGATATGCTGGACCCTTTGAATCCAAGCTTTCTTGGATTTTCGATTCGGGCTGACAGCTTGCGATACTTTCAGAATATCGACGGCCGGGAAGTCGGGGTCCTGGTTTGCTATTTCATGGCTATCCGGGCTGCGTTGAGCTTTTGCCGAATTTTCAGAATCCTCGGACTTATCAATTTCGACTGAAGTCTTTCTCAAATTTGGAGTTGTTCCTTTCCGAATTTTCATTACCTCTGGCTTCTCATGTTTTGTTAATTCTTCAGACTCACCGTGAATTCGTCGATTTTTCGCCTTCTGAATTTTGCTATGCTTTTGTTTTCTCCTTTGTTCCGCTTTATCTTCTTCGACTTCCGGTTCCAACTGTCTTTCGGCTTTGTGCTTGTGCCCAGATTTATTAGGTTTTTTTGGCGAATCCCCTTGCATTACCCTTAAGATCTTGTTAGCTTTATTTTGCGCAGGTTGCTGCTGCTCATTCTCATTTGATTGAGGTTCTTCTGACTCTTCGCTTTCCTCTGATGCCGAGGTCAGTCGTTCCCGCCTGTTTTTTCTAACTTTAGGTTTCGCGTCTGGTTCTTCTTTTTCTGCCTCCGTGCGTTCTCCAGAATTCGGCGTTGTCAATTTTCTAATCTTCAAGATTTTTGGTTTTTTGGTTACCTTTGGCCCTGATCGATCCTCTACATTTTCAGGACTTTGGCTATGGCTTCTGGCTTTGGAAACCTTCAGAATGTCTGCTTCGTTTTCCGGTTCGTTCTTCTTATCGGCGGGTTGTTCCTCGCTTTCACCTTCGCGTTTTCCCGCTTCAAACGCATCGGCTTTTTCCTTTTCTTCAGTCTCGGATCCATGGGCTGCTTTTTCGCGATTTGGGCTATTTCCTCTAGACACCTTCAAAAAATCAGCGTTGTTTTCTGGCTCGGGCTTATTTTTGCTAGATTCCTTTCTTGAACGTTTTGGCTTTTCTGGTTTCTCCTTTTCTTCAGGATAACTTCCCGGTTGTTCAGCTTCATCCTTATCCGTTCGATTTTTAGTTGGGCTTTTTCCACGTCTGACCTTCAGAATATCAACTTCATTGGCTTCGTCTTCACTCGATTCTAGTTTAATTTTTTGCTTTTCATGCTTCACGTGCTCGGAATCTGGTCGCTTCTTCCATACCATCTTCTTATTTGGTTTATTCGGGCTCTCCCCTTGTCGCACCCTGACCATATCCGTTTTCTCCAGCTTCCCCTCGTTGTGGCCTGTTCCGATTTCAACCTTCAAGATATTAGCCTTATTCTCCTCGTCCCACGAATTTGGGCTATTCCGTTGCACTACTTTTAACGCATCAGTTTCTTCGATTTTGAAAGCAACTGCCTCTTTTTCGGGAGGACTATCTGGTCCGTTTTTCGATACCTTTAGAATATCGACGTTCGGACTCTCGATCTCGTTACTGTCCTTCTTGCCAAATCCTGCGATCGCCATTTCGATGCTATTTTCTGCTTCTTTAGGTTGCTTTTTAGATTTTTCAGGCTTCGAAACCCCAGCCGAAATACCGTCGAAATCTTCGATAGTCGGACTGAGATTATTCGGGCTATGGCTTCGCGTAATCTTCAGAATATCGATCGACCTTCCATGTTGATCAACCACCGATTCCGGGCTTATCTCCCTGATGATCTTCAACAGCTCATCGGAATTCGGTTGGATTGTCGGGCTCAAACTTTCAGCTAGATGCAGCAGATCGATGTCCGTAAGTGGGGCAGGGGGGACTTCGGTGGTGTGCATTTCTCGGATCGGGAGTAGACGATCAGGGTCGATTTTCTCGAACTCAGAGGATTTGAGGTCGTGCTCCTCGACGTCAGGATCGTCAAGGACTTGATTCTTGTTGATTTGCGCAAGTGGAGGGGTGGGTAGGGTGAGGAGGTTGAGGAGTTGATGGATGTTATCGGGTAGGGTTTGGCCGGCGGGGAGTGGAGGAGGAGCAGGAGGGGCAAAGATGGTGGCGCTTTCTAAAAGGTAGTAAGTAGCTCTCTACCGGTATCTGTGTCTCTCTCGCTCTCTCGCTCTTTAGCTCTCTCTATCTCTCTCTATCTCTCACTCGCTCTATCTCTCTCACTCTCTCTCTCTATACCCTCTCTCTCTCTCTAAGGATTTCTCATATTCCGGCTCATTCCTTTTTACGAACGGACCTGTTTGAGTGGTGCTGTATTCAAGAGATCAACTCCGAGCGGATGTAGAACATTGCGATTCGTCTAAAAACAACTATTTTTTCTATGACGCGGATGATTTCATAACCTTAAAGGGCTGGTGAAGGTAGAAATCTTATGGATTATGCCAAAACTGTGCTTTTCGATACCTTTAATACGCAACATACCTCGAATTCATCACGTCTTCTTGCCCCAAACGGCCGCAACGACCGTAACCTTGGTAGGGGATAAGCGACGGGCAGAGATTTTGGACCCTTTTGCACGAAGCCGTTCCAAAAGGAAATGGCCACCAATTTCACGCGGGGTTGGCTGGGTGAGGACTAAAAATAAAGGTTGTTACGCTACGTTACGTTACGACCGTTACGTACGTATGCTACGTTAGGTACGTTAGGGTACGTGCCTGACGTACGACGTTACGTATGTTGCGATACGTGATATTACGTTCGGTGGGTACTAGAATCTGTAACCTACCACCCGGACGTCGTTGAAATCTGTGATGGTCCTGAGTTCTGGAGGATTTTTGCTGAAAAGACCGCTTGAGTGGTATCAACTTGTTTTTTTTTCAATTAAGGAGCAACAAATTCTCATTATTTCCGACGGGCTACAAACTGCGTACCACAAAATTTTCGTTTTCCAGGCACGAAAAAAGGTACTGTAAAGCTTACCGACGTCACGCTGGCATGTGCTTGTAGTGGAAGACAATTTCCATCACGTCCGGAGCCTGAAGCATGCTTATAAGCTTTTTTGTAAGCTACAGTTCGCGTTTTTCAGCTATTTCGCAGTACGGTAAACATTTCAAACCGAAAATTTTCAGGGTTATTGTTTAAAATCGCCCCAAAGAATTTTATAGGGAAAAATTCTTGCCTCTTTTTCTATAAAACTGACCTAAGCATTGAGCAGCAACCTGAGTCACCAATAAATTCAACAAAATTCCGCTTAACAATAAATTCCGTAGCATTTGAATGGAAAAATTATGCTTTCGAGCCAGAGCCAGTCCGCGTGTTTCTACAGGAATGATCAGATAGGAAGGGTGAAGCCGCGTTTGACCAGGCGGGACTGGTAATGAGCGATCAGGCGCAGGGGATCTCGATGCCTCTCGCTCATCCCCCAGGGAGGACCGGTCCTTTCCGCTTAGAGTAGCACATCTCGGCTTACTTACTGGTCTGACCGGCATGGTCATTTAATTCAATTAGGTGCCACCCCGTTTATCTGCAGGGAGGACAGGATCTGGAGCTTTGTAGGTTAGGGTTACGCCTAATAGATGGAATTGTTTTAAAGGGGCTCGGAATTCAAAATTCGTGCGTGCCGGGGATTGAACCTCCTGGTCAAAAAACGTAATGTTATGGGTAAATGGGTAAGGTATTTAAAAAACCCAAAAATACCCAAAATTACAAAGCGCGTCGCATGCCGCGGGCCCGGCAAGTGCCATAAAAACTCTTCAGAGGATTTTCCCCGCTAAAATTAATTGATTTTTCGGTATTTTATTATGACATTTTTCGTCATTTTTTAATGTACAACCTAAATAAAGATATATTTGTTGGAAATCAGTTTATTCTGGAGGTAAGAGTTTACTTTACCCCCCCCCCCCACAGCCGAAGGGTCTCAAAGTTTTCGGTATTTACGCTTATTTTGTCGGGATTTTTGCAATGCCATTCGATAGAGCGTCGAAAAATATGCTAAGATTTTTAATTTGAGCCTACAATAATGTAAAATCCGGCTGGGGGGAAGTAAACCGTACCCCTGGAAATAACACTTTCGCGTTGCGGAACTCGAATTTTGGCAAATTGTGTAAAATCAATTGCGTTGGGCTTGAAAGTGTAGCGCCTATTCCGAAGTTTTTTATTAGGCACAGCGAATCCGAGTAATCATAACAAACACGGGATACAGCGCAAGAGGTCGAGAGAAAGAAAAAAAAATCGAATGGTTCCTCCACGCGGTTCGGCTTAATTATCAGCAGCAATAATGATGTCATCGTCCTCGGCGATGCCCGAGTCGTCGTTCATCTGCTCGAGGCTGATCTGAAGTGTAAGCAATTGCTTCTAGCGTTAATGAAAAGGGCTCTGGGCTTAAGTGGAGTTTACTCTCCCCCAGCCGACCGCCAACTAGCGTATCTCGGCTCCCTGTGGATCATCTACAGGTGTGAAAAGTATACCAAGATACTCGCCAGAGTAAGACGAACATTTTGGTATACTTTACACACCTATAGATAAACAGGGATTCGAGATCCAAAAGTTGAGTAGCGGGGGGGGGGGCGTTTCGGCGAAGGGACCTGGTTTACGAAGAATCCCGAAGTATTAGGTTGGAACTAAAGTTCGCGCAATATTTTTCTTTCTTTGTAATTTTCGGACCGGAAAACGGGCAAGAACAAAAATGTTTTTTGGATGAACGGATATGCAATAAAATTCTCTATTCGATGTGTGGGACGGAATCGCGTTGCTTCCCTATTAAAATTTTTTAAAGCTAGATTTAAGCGAAAATGAAAAATCGCTTAGGCCCGCCTTTACAAAACAAATTTGGCTTCCTTTTTAGGCTAATTCGGAATGCAGCTGATAGATATAACTTATTATTATAGTGATGTTCAGTTCCTATGGTGACTTTATGGCGGTTCGGAAAGATGTCCGGGTCAAAAATTTGAAGTGCTCTCGAGAGAAGCGCAAAAATATACAAAACTACTGGGGCTAAAAACCTGTAATTTTGGTCCCATATACTCATGAACCCAATAGATAAATGCTAAGAGGGAACATCGAAATCTGGCCACTAAATTTTCAGAAAGAAATTTCCAAAGTTCGATTGCGCGAACTTATGTTCCAACCTAATACTAACCATGGCCTCCAGGCCGCGCAACAAGAAACGTGTCACCCAGACGGGCCGGAGATGAGGCGGCGGCAGACCGGCGGACAGGGCCTAAAATAGGTGCGCATAGCTTACGAATGATCTTAAATATACTTAGTTTACTTCCCAAGTCAAAGCCTTTATACAGTTTTAATAAAAAACCGTTTTATAGGGGTAGCCTACCTCCTGGAGCCCAGATTTGATGTGCCCCAAATATCTTCTGCCGAGACGGTCATTTGGGACTACCAGGTCGGCGGACGGCTCGAAACGGATGGGCGAGTCGCTGAACGTTTTAATTGTATCGTTAAGTTAAATGAGAGAGAGAGTGAGAGAGAGAAGAGAGAGAGAGAGAGAGAGAGTTAGCGTGATATTCAAAAGCCCCTACCAGCGCTCCAGCAACTCGTTGACCTGGTCGAGAAGCTGCCGGGTAGCCATCTCGTGCCAGAATTTTGTACGTACCTTTTGCCTCGTCGTTTAGGAAAGGAATGAAAAAATTTATGCAAATTATTCGATCGATCCATTTCCTATCAAAAGCTCCTAGTCGTGGCGCTCGTTCTGCACGTCGCCAGAGCTCGCGTTCAACAAGTTGTCCGCTTCGGCGGTGGCGGCCATCTGCTCTTCTTGTTCAGAGAGAGAGAGAGAGAGAGAGAGAGAGAGAGCGAGAGAGAGACGGTCCATGCCAAAAACCGTAAGAAATTCAAGATGCATTCTACTCGAGACGTGATTGCGGAAAACCATTTATTCCACAGGTGTACAAATCACATATCCGCTTTCGAAAAAGCGGTGTAGCCAATCACTCGGACCAGCAAATTTTCTCTATGCAATAAGGCAGCACGTCTCGAGCTGGTTAGGGCTGTAGACGGGGCTCGCGGCAGCATCTTCGCCCCTCATTCTCACGCATCGTCGTCGTCGCCCGTTTTCTTCCTACAAAAACAAAGCAAATTTCCTGGTTGGGCTCCTTTCACCTTTTTAAGACTATTCTTACTTCAATGAGAGCCCTAGCAAATACTATCTGGCGCATTACTAAGCAAAAAATACTAGCTGGCGGCGTTTTTTCTGTATTGATTTCTCGAAAAAGTTAAAAAAACACAACTAGGTGGAGATTTTTTTGCCAAAAATAAGGACTTTGCAAATCCTCTTGAAATTTTGAAGAAAGTGTAGGCCCAATAGTAGAATCTCGTAATAGTGTTTGCCATATGGCGTGAGAAGAGGCTAGATTCCTTGTCAGAAAAAGGCCTACTTGGACGAGTCGTGCTTGCGTGAGTGCGAATCCATCTCTTCATCATCATCATCATCATCATCCTTTTCCGGCCGACCGAATCGAATATACCAGGCGAGGGCTATTGCGATGACCATCAACCCGTTGACGCTGCAGGCGACGACCATGCTGACCAATGCCCAGGGTTCCGGAGGAGAAAGCCAGTCCCCTTCTGAAGCCGGGGTTGTTGCGGTGGGTTTGTTGACTGGCTGTCCGCGGATGTTCGGCAGAATTTCTAAAAATCATGATTCATGAATACCACGAGAAAAGTGTTTTCGAAACGGGTATCTTAAAATGGAAATTCCCTCATCAGCCAGCATTTTCCGCACGGTAAATCACGGTCTATCTTATCCGGATCGACGGCACTGCAAAGCTGCAATTTGGCGACGGTGAGCGATTCGAGGCCCAATTCCGTGTAGAAAGGGTTCTTCTCGCAGTCGAGCAGTCCGTCGGTTTGCACGATCGCTTTCTGATCTTCCTGGAAAATATTTCAGGGTGGAAAGGTTGCTAAAGCGGCTGGTTGCTGATTAAAAACGGGAAAGGCTCCATTTCAAGAATATTACGGGGTATTTATCTCTCGTAAATTAAGTCGATCTATCTATTTCTACTCCTCAAGAACCTCGCAAAGATTGCATACCGGCAGTCCGTCAGTCTTGATGCATCGTGGATAGGATACTGATGGAAGTGAAGAACCCTGACGCTTCACCCGAAGTCCGTGCTGCAGTTGTGGATTCTCCTTGTCAGCGGATGTCTATAAACAAATGTTTCGAAGTATAGAAAAAGTAGCACCTCGTCCGATGAGTCGCCCAAGTTGTTAGGTGGGACCACTGGCTGCTCGATGGGGCTTTCAGAAACTTGCTTCATTGCTCGTAGGCTCTCCAGAAGATCAATCGTCTCCTCCTCACTCTTCAACGTGGCGTACGGTCCCGACTGGAATTCAGATGGTTCGAAGAAATATCGCTGGTATTCACCAGAGCGCGGCGTAGCGTGTAGTATGGAGGGGTGCCCGTTGGATCAGTGATATCCAAGAGGACACACGATTCCGGCAGATATTGGCCATCAGGGCGCGGGAACAGGCACTGCTCGTCGCATTCCGTGGCTTTTTTCACAACGTTTGCACCGCCAGCATAAAACTTTCTAAACGAGAATCAATCAATAATGGATTTCTACATTGACGTCGGATCGGGCATACAAAGATGAAGCGGATCGCATTTTTGACCGGCTTGGCGACCGCCCTTCGGACAATACTAAATATTAATTCTTCGTTTGTCACGGTTAACCCTTTACGTTGGGCTGAAGGGGATCGAAGACATCGTATGGGTTCTTGTCGAGTCCTGTGGGGTCCGTTTGCAGGTAACCGGCTGCCAATTGAAGGCTTGGGACGCACGTCTCTTGCACGTCATCGTTCGTCGCATGAGCAGCGATCACCATTCTAAACAAAGTCCTTGTTATGCGTCTCTGCAAAAAATATCGCTATTTTCGATTTTCCAAGGAGGTTTACTCACTGCGGGATGACAAATCCAGCATCGCATTGAAGAAAGTATTGCGTCGTATGGGGTATGGAGCCGGGCAGATATATTTGAATACTCCTAAAAGTTGAGAACGCTCAGACTGTAGCCGTCCAATCATGACCTACAGACTTTTCCCCTCGCATTGCCCAGAGGCCACCATCTCGCGCGTGCACAGATTGAAGGGGAAGTAAATTGACTCTACAAACCCTGTACAGCTCTACATTTTTAGCCCACGAATCCGAAAACTGATTTATTATTCCTTGCGAAAAAAACCACCCACCACCCATTGCAGTGGTTTTAAGAGGTGCTATGCAATCGGCTGTTTCGATCGCTTCATGTTGCTGGAAAAAAAGCGTAAAATGTATTTATATCGTACCAGGGCTACGCGAACTGACCCAAAAACTATCTATATTTCTCGACCTTAAACGGCGGGATTTTGGCGGGGGAATTTCTGGCGGGGGGCGGGAGGAACCTTGAGCAGATTTTGTTTCTCCCCATCACGGCAGATAGCGTATTTTTACAGTTCTTTTTTTGCATGCTTTGGTGGCAAAATGGGTGGCGATACATAAAATATTTTGAAAGCTTTTGAGGGCTCAAAAATTCTTGGCCTTTTTTGTTATTCTTTATACATTCTTGAACACAAAACGGAAAAATTTGCGCAAATTTCTAGAATTTTCTGTATTTTTGATATCTAAAAAATATGTCAAATCTTAGAAAAATGATATCTATGGCGTTATATGGCCGTAGAGAATGACTGGGGGAATTTGATGCGTTAGCTAAAAATCCCCCCACCCCGCAAAAGATCCCCCGCTAACAATCCCGTACCTCATCTGCGCGTGACCAATAAAACCTACGCAGAATTTTGGGTGGCAGTTATCGACCCTAGGCCTTCTGCCCAGGACCAAATTGGAGGACAAGGGCAGGGGATCCTGGCATGGTTGTGACTTCTTGACCGTACAAGGCCCGCACTAAAATGTGGTGATTAAATACGTGTTAGTCATTCAAAATTTTAGTGATGTCTTTAGCTACGTGTTGCCTACGAACAAAATGAGATGTTACAGTATTATCGGTACACATAGCGTAACGGGGGGAATAAAATAACGGGGGGCACTCATTATTATGAAATTTGCAATTACTGAGGGATTTTGCGAGTGCGATTCGATAGAGCGTCGCAAAATATACTAGGAGAATTAATTTCAGCCCGAAATAATGTAATAGAAATTTTTTATTGAATAAACAAAAATTGAGGAAAATCTATGGGCAGCACATAGGATCACCGGGGGGGGGGGAAGTCAAATTTTCGAAATTTTCGGTATTCTGAAAACGTCATTCGATAAAGCGTCGAAAACTGCCCTAGGAGAATTAATTTCAGCCCGAAATAATGTAAATGAAATTTTTTATCGAATAAACAAAAATTTTCGATATTTTGAACACGCGAATCGATAGAAAATCAAAAAATCTACTAAGAGATTTTTTTACGACGCGGAAAAATGTATTATAAAAGTTTTATAGCCTAAAAACGATTTTTGAAAACTATGGGCAGCACATAGGATAACAGGGGGGAAAAATTTTTTCGGCGTTTTGAATATTTTCGAGATTTTAAAAATGCCATTCAATAGAGGACCGAAAAATGTACTAAGAGTTTTTTTTTATGGCCCGAAAAAAGCATGGTTAAAAATACTTTTATCATATAAAAAGTTTGAGTGCCCCCCGTTATTTCCCCCCGTTACCCTATGTGTACCGTATTATCGGTAGCGAGGAAAGCAGACGGAGCTGACCGAAAACCACTTGCGAAATAGCCTAATCGAAAAGTCAGCAAGTCAACAGTTTCTGGTATACAGGGTGGCTGATAAGTATCCGGAAAAACTTTGACATGGCGTAACAAAAAAACCATCGAGTTTTATATTCTGTTCACCTAAACATTGTGTACGTGCTTGCATATACTTTGATATTCCATGACTAAAATTGAGTTTATTTAGGACAGTAAGATACCGGGGCGCCAAGAAGCGGTCTTTAGCCGTCATTTCCTTAGGTGCGCCGCGCCTGGGGTAGTCAATGTTTAGACGAGAAAATTTTCTGGGTTAAGGTGTCTGAGAACTCTCAAAAACCCCGATAACTTGTCAGTCCGGGTCTGAAGAATACCAGGAAGTTAAAAATTACTACAAAAAGGCTTATCCCAGAAAGTTATATGGCCCAACGAGGAATTAGCGTCTCCGACAGGTTTTCATCGATCAAAACGCTAAAATCAAGGTGAACCTCTATCAAAATGATATTCTGGAGCAAGATGTGATGCTTTGTAATCGAAACAATCCGTGTATTGGCCTTCAACAGTATCGGGCTCGGGGCTAGGGCCCAAAAACCACAATTCGTCATTTTCGCCCGAAAATCGACGCTTTTATGACGAAGGTTACATGACCTGCCAAAAGCCCAGATCGTAATCCACTGGATTTTTCTGTGCGGGAATAGATGAAACACAAGTTAAGGAACCAGAGCATCAAGAACATGGTTAATCTGTACCACGAATTCAACAATATTTTGAACAAAATGGCCGTCAACTGCCCGCGGCGCACAGCCATTTTAGGTTAGCCACAAATTGAAGCATAAATCAAAGCAGATAGATGTCATTTTAAAAATTTGTTACAGCGACGAATATATAGCTCTTACTTGTTATAAAATAATTGGTTTTCATTATTTTGGTCCTTGCCTTTTTACACTAGGACCTTATACTTTTTCCGGATACTTATCAGCCACCCTGTATGTCGGCTACGCGGGGGGGATTTTACGCGGGGGGACGGACTGTTGGGGCCGTGCTAACTATTTTTTTTGCGTTTCTTTTTGCTACAAACAAAACTCTTAGTATATTTTTCGACGCTCTGTCGAATGGCACTAAAGAAATTTTGTAAAAATGTCGAAAATGTCGAAAACCTGATTTCCTTCTATGTCCTCCATGGAAACAACGTTGAATACCTGTTTTTGTTATAACCATTTTATATTACGTTATTTTGAGCTAAAATTAAAACTCTTAGTATATTTTTGGTTGCTCTATCGAATGGCATCTTAAAAATGTCGAAAAAATAGCGCAAATGCCAAAAAACAGCCGCTCAAACCGATTTTCAAAGCTTATTTTTGTATGTGCCATGACTTTTTTATATTACACTAATTTGAGCTAAAACAAAAACTCTTAGTATATTTTTCGGTGCTCTATCGAATGCCGTTGCAAAAATTCCGAGAAAATAACGAAAACATCCAAAAATGCCTGCCTGTCCCGTCCCCCCCCGCGTAAATTTCCCCCGCGTAGCCGACATATACCCAGTTTCTTGCCTGGTTCGTGTGGGGGGGGGCATTTGTTCAATAACTTCCTTTCTCTTAAATTACATTATTTTGAGTTGTGAAACAAACTCTTAGTAAATTTTCTTGATGCTGGATTGCATAGCGATCACATAACAACGAAAAATATCGAAAAACCCGAAAAATAGCTTACCAGCCCCATTTTCAGGGTTGTTTTTGCGGCAAGAGTTTACTTCACCCCCCACCCCCCCACCCCCTACAGCCGGAAGGTCCCAAAAATTTTCTTTGGACACCAATCGGTAGCCTGTGTCCCAGCACTATCCCCTGGCGGGGAATTGCAAAAAAATCAATATTAAAATTTTTACAATTAAAATATTGTTTGAGCGGTTACTTTTTTTTGCTTGTTTTTGCCATAACTACTTTATTTTTCTTTATTTTCGGTTGTAATCAAAACTCTTAGTATATTTTTCGACGCTCTATCGAATGACGTTATAGAAAATTTGTCAAAATGTCGAAAATGTCGAAAACTAGCTTTGCTCCTCCTGTTACTATAGGGGAAATCTCGTGTAAATCATGTTTTTACTGTACCTATTTTATATTGCATTATTTTGAGCTGAAGCTAAAAACCTTTTGATATTTTTTGATGTTCTATCAAATGGCGTATTGAATCAAAAAAAATAGCGAAAACATCGAAAACTAGCTTTTTTACCCCACTTTTCAAAGTTATTTTTGTTCTTGCTATAACTATTTTATATTGCATTGTTTTGAGCGGCAATAAAAACTCTTACTATGTTTTTTTGATGCTCTATCGAATGGCGTCAAAAAATCGCGAAAAAATACCAAATACCAATTCCAAATTCCAAATAACGAAAATATCCAAAACTATTGCGGCCCACGTGCTGGGGGGGGGGGGTAGAGTAAACCGTAGCCTAAACTTACCCCACCCCCCGCTAACGAACCAGAACCGTCATATGATCGAAATTCACCTAATTGGGATAATTTGTATCCCCTCCAATCCAAACCCCCCCTAGCCCCTCTCAAGCGGAAAGCACCCCCAACATTTACCTGATTGCTAGTCCGGGCCAGATGCCGGTTGTTTTCTTTAAAGATTACAGATTACCTTCAACTGGTCCTCGTCACTGTCATCGCCACGTTGCTTTAGCCATGCAGGATATTCCTGGTGGAGCTCGTCGAAGACGTAGCATACAAACGGACGATCGTTCGGGCACTAGAAGCATAAGTCGTTGAGGCTGATAGACAGTAACCGTCACCCTTTTATCGCCATCTCTGCGGTGACGGTCGATGCCAGCGAGTCGCGCATAGTTGCTGCTCTTGCTAAAAAGGGTGGTAAGAGTCTAGTTTACCCCCCCCCCCAGCCGTAACTTTTCAGCCATGCGTCCTATTAATGCGCCGAGTATCTCAAAATGTTCGCCGTGATCGAATTACTATAGCCAAGTTGTTTTCTTACATCAATAATTGTTAGAAAATTTTTTACAAGATTTTGAAGGTTGAAAAGATTAAGCCGCCATGCTGCAATGTACCAGGAGCCTAAAACTCAAATATTTTTATTTTCCGCTATTTTTTTCGACTCAAACGTACTGTAGGCTTATTCTCCAGAGCAAGAGCTACATTTTGGTACTATTGACAGCTCTGTACGTCAAAAGATAGCCGAGATACGAAAACTCACTTTGGAAAAGCAAAAATTAACTAAAGAAAACCCAGACTCATAATCGTTATAAAAATTTTTCTAACAATTTTTGAGGTAAGAAAACAACTTGGCTATAGTAATTCGACCACGGCGAACATTTTGAAATACTCGGCGCATTAATGGGACGCATGGTTGAAAAGTTACGGCTGGGGGAAACTAGACTTTAGCCAAAAGCGTAGCCCAGTTTAGAGCAAAAGCCCAAGCGCGAAAGCAGAAAAAGGAATGAGCGTACCGAAGCGACGTGGCGACAACTGAAGAGATCAACACTGCGTAGACGAGCATCAGTAGAAGGCTGCTTGAGGCGCCGTTGAAGATGTTCCGAAGCGGGTAGCCGGCTGGTTTCAGCTGGTGATGCATCTCGGTGCTGAAGAATTTCAGATAAATCTGATGGTGAGAAGAGCTACTTAAAAACGGCAGTGCTTTGAAAATCGTTCCTACCGAAGATGTTCGTTTGAATCGTTGATAGATATTGCGGATGACTCGACGCAATTGTTGACGAATATAGCTTGTGATGCCAACGAAAAGTTGAAAGATCGGCGAAGTAAGTCGGCGCCCAGGAAGGAAGTTGGGTAGGCAATGATAGATTTTTGAGGCAAAATGAATATTCTGGTTTGGGGATGCTAATTTCTAGAGATTTAAGTTTATTCAGCTTACAAATAAGTGCAGAAATACCATAACTGCCTGTATGCTTATGTTGTATTCATGACCCGGAATGAAACCCGGAAGGAGTTTTCCGTTCCAGATTTCTGTTTCAAACTCGTCAATTCAAGTCAATTTTTCAACTAGAGTCGTGTACCGGTATGCAAATTTTTGCAGGTATTCTGTAATGCGGGAGGATTTCGGCAATGCTTTATCCCAAATCGATCACAAACAGAAGAAGGTGAGCGAGAATATAAAAGTAAAGATCGATCCGTTATCACAAGTTTCTAGTCGTGGCGCTCGTTATGCACACCGCTAGAGCTGGCGTTGTCCTCGTTGCCCGGGTCGGCGGCGGTGGCGGCCATCTGCTCTTCCAGCTCCTCGCCCTCGTCGTGGATGAGGGGGCCGGCCACTGGGCCCTAAACTATCGATTAGAATCCCGAACTTTTAGACCGGACTTTTTTCGGCCCAAGCCTAGATTTTTTATATAAAGAGTGGAAGTGTTTCTAAATTGTTTATAGCTATTCCTAACACTAATCGATTTCTTCGACACAAAAATGACAAAATTTTTGACTTTTTCAAGCGTTTTTCTAACTTTTAAAAAAGTTTTTCCTATTAAAATAGGCATAAATTTTGCTAAAACGATGTGAAAACACTTTATATTTGATTACTATGCCCACCAGGGCCAACAGAAAACAAGTGGGTTCCCCCCCGCGCCGCGAATTCTTTCCCCCCCCCCGCCCCCGGGAATACTGAAGAACCGCCTAACTGTAAAGTGTTTTTACTCAACTTGGAGTTTCGTTTCGGGACCAAGTGCACCTTGTGCAGAATTTTTCGCTGATTCCGAATCCACTTTCCAAATTTGCTACCGACATTTACTTTCAAAGTTATAAGGCGGTTTATGGTAGAGTTTGTCACCAAAATCAAGGTACCGTTATCGCTTTGGAATACCTTGATCAATTTTAACGTCAAAATTGGATAGACATTGGCTAGACAAGTACCTTAAGCGTCAAAGCAAGCTTTTTGTTAAAAAAATTAGATTTCTTATGCAAAAAGCAAAAGGTTGTGTCAGGGCGTGGGATCGAACCGCCGCCCTGCGCTTGGCTAGCGAGGGCTTTGCCAATGCACCATGGTGCCAACCGGGCAACGGGCTGTGAGAGCCTACTTCAGGGCCACCTGGGCGTCCTAGGACCAAGGAGGGAATAGTGGGCCAGAATCCTAACTTTTGGCTTTTTGAGCTTAATTTGCACCAAAAATTACTTTTTAAATAACAGTCCGTAGCAAATTTGGAAAACGAACTCGGAATCAGCGAAAAATTCTGCACAAAATGCACTTGTCCCGAATCGAAACTCCAACTTGAGTGAAAACACTTTACAGTAAGCCTACGCCTAAAGACTAAGCCTGCAAGTAAGTCAATGCCTGCGCTTAAGCCTAAGCCTAAGCCTAGGCATACGATCCATACGATCTTCAACTTTGGTCGCATGTAAAGGAGAACTGCGAGTAACTGTAATCATTGCCTAATTGTTATGTTGTTGAAATAATAAAAAAATCTGAAAACACCTGCATTCGCATGAAAAACTGAACAAAATAGTCGAAACTGAGAAATTTTAGCCGAAAAATTCTTTCCCCCCCGAAGTATACTAGTACCGAATAATTATTATTACGAATAACCCACAAAAACCTCCTCTCTGAACTCCTGCAACCATTGACGGGTCCTCTGCAGAATATAGAGGGTCCTCGCTTGGCCCTCCGGGGTCATCTCATCATCAAGATGGAATTCCAAGTCCCTAAAAAAGGTCACGGATCTTTTTATTGGAGTAACCAGCGCCCAAATCCCGCTTCGCGGGCCTTGGGCGCTGGAATGCGGCCTTTGCATGAAAAGTTTGACTTTCTGCTAGCTCGGGTCCTGCGGACCCCTCCACCCCCCATCCCCGACCACACGCGCGAATGCAACTGGCAAGAATGAGGAAATTTGTATTTTTTCACATTATGCAAATTAGCCCTCCTAGACCCCCAAAAATGAATAAAACCGCCTTTAACTTTTTAAACTTGTATTTTATCGAAATTCTGAAAACGCCATCGGAAAGAGGAGGGTCGATTCCCCCGGGTGACGGAGAATTGAGGCGTTTTGGACACGGGAAGGCCCTCAAATCGGGCCTTGAAAGTGACATCCACACACACACACACACACACACACACACACACACACACACACACACACACACACACACACACACACACACACACACACACACACACACACACACACACACACACACACACACACACACACACACACACACACACACACACACACACACACACACACACACACACACACACACACACACACACACACACACACACACACACACACACACACACACACACACACACACACACACACACACACACACACACAACACACACACACACACACACACACACACACACACACACACACACACACACACACACACACACACACACACACACACACACACACACACACACACACACACACACACACACACACACACACACACACACACACACACACACACACACACACACACACACACACACACACACACACACACACACACACACACACACACACACACACACACACACACACACACACACACACACACACACACACACACACACACACACACACACACACACACACACACACACACACACACACACACACACACACACACACACACACACACACACACACACACACACACACACACACACACACACACACACACACACACACACACACACACACACACACACACACACACACACACACACACACACACACACACACACACACACACACACACACACACACACACACACACACACACACACACACACACACACACACACACACACACACACACACACACACACACACACACACACACACACACACACACACACACACACACACACACACACACACACACACACACACACACACACACACACACACACACACACACACACACACACACACACACACACACACACACACATACACTCCAAAATTATATAAGGTAGGATTTTATTAGAGTAAGGCTGTTCAAGAAGACGCCATAACATCGTGGGACCAACCATTCCCTCATCATGGTGTTCACCTCGTCGACTAATTCCTGCAGAGACATCGTGAAGCGGAAATTGGGGAAGTTTATTGCTTTCTGGGGGATACCTTGTGCCTTTCCTACTAGCAATCAGGCTTCCGGTCCCAAATCGTTGATGCAAAGGGTTTTTGCAGTTTCTAGATTGATGTGACGATATGGAAATTTTGGCAAATCGTTTTCTCCAATGGAATTTTCTTTTACAACCACTTACACAAATTAACTTCTTATTCTTAAGTAACTAAGTGCCTAGTAACTTAATAAGAAGCATTTTCATAATGTTTTTAGTAAAAAAAAATATATTTTAACTAGAAAAACCATCCAAAAACTGAAAATTTTTTTCAGAAAGTCAAAATTTGGGTAAAAACGGCCCTTTTTCGTCGAAAAATCTATCTTTTTTTTGTCTTTTTAACTATTTACGTTTAGGAATAGTAAAACAACACGTTAGAAGCATCCGCAATTTATGTTTAATACCTGTGGGTCAAAAAAAGAACTTAAACGCACTGTGGGTTCTTAAAAATCTTTATTCAACGATTCATCGAAACACATAAAAACACGGTGTATTATGGGTGATAATTTCTTGGCGTCGGCCCATCTTCGTAGGCTTGATTCTACTGATCGTTTTCGACCACACGAGCGCCGCTTCCGTCGCGCTGGGCCGCCAACAGGTCGAGGCGAGCCGCCACGTCACCCTAAGCCCAGAATCTTTTATTTCTAAACGATTGGCTAATACTTTCCTTTTTTTTTGTCACTGTTTAACAAACAAACATTTTGCCGTTACGCACTTTTGAATTATCCAGATAGCCAGAACTACCCGATCACCCACCACCAAATACTCGTCCAAGATTAGCTGCACCAATGCAAAGGTGCGCTCCCGTTTGTCAGCGTTGATGGCTTCATTGATGTCGGCGTCGAGCTCGATGATGATCCCGAGATCCCTAAGTTATACAAATCGGGGTGGATTTTGTTATTTTTGGGGTTCTGGACCTCTTAGCGGGGTTAGCCGGTGGGAAAACCAATTTCTTGTTTATCTCGGCTCCCTGTTCATCTACAGGTGTATAAGTATGCCAAGATGTCCGTCTTGCTCTGGCCAGTATTTTGGTATACTTTACACACCTGTAGATCAACAGGGAGCCGAGATACAAAAGTTGGGTGCTGGCTGGGAGGGGGGTGGGTAAACTGCACTTAAGTCAAAGCGCCTACAGTTCCTCCAGTCTGGCGTTGACCACGGCAACAAGTTCTTCGAGAGACATCGGCCACGTCACCGTCATTTCTACACTGGCCCCAGAGCGCAAGGAGCGGAGAAATGTGCTTTTCCCCGCATTTTTTTCGGGCTCTAGTTGAGATTCAAATTTCTAAAGTTCAATTCTGCACAACGTTTATTCTGGTCACACAATTCAAATCACAACCGTGAGGCCAAGCGAGACAGAGTGGCAGCAAGAAAAACGATGAGTACGCGACCAAGCTGCTAGCGAACGTCGTAGTCCCGGACATACGCGTCGTACCAATCGAAGTCTTCGTAGAGGCCGTCATCGTAGTATTCGTCGTTGTCGTAGTACGAAACGTCGGACTCGCCCTCTTCCACGCCGGAGTCGTCGGCCATCGACTGGGCGAGTGCGTCCTGTAAGGCGAGTGGGTTCCCTTTTGTAATTTATTTTATTACGCTACTATTTTATATAGTTGATTTTCAAATAAAACTTCTTGCTCACTTCCACGGTTTCACGCTGCCAGGCTAGCAGGATCCAGCGGACGCGCGCGTAGTCGTCCATGTCGAGCGGCACCTGGTTGATGTGGAGGCGGAATTCGCTAAATTAAAAAGTTACTTCGAATTTTACAAACCTTAATAGCTGTATACTGTAGTTTTCAGCTGTTCCAGTTATGCTAAAACCTGCCCCTGCGCGGAGATGGCATGAACTTCTTCAAGAAGATCCTGGATGTTCTCGTCGGCCGCCATCTTTCAAGAGGAGTCGACCGTCAGGGCATTTGTCCCGCAGCCGATCCCAACCAACAAATTCAGAAAGCATATTCTAACTTGAGAATTCTAAACTAAAACAAAAGAATTCATCGTCCACTTGATTTTTTACCGCAATTGCACACCATGAAAAGTTAAAAGTGTTTATACGATATTCACACAAGGATGTTAGAGCGCGCAATAAGTTGCAAAAACAAGCAGAGATCAATGCTTCAAAGCAAAATATAAATTCATGAATTCGGAACCGGATGGAAATATGATGAGCGGCGACGTCGGCGTTTTTCGGGCAACTGCTGGAAGTCGATGGGCGCTTCTGGGGCCACGTACATCGAACGGCGCGGGCGATTCTTGCGTGCCAGCATTTCCGCCTTGTACTCCTGGAATTGAAACCAATGCATCAAATCAATTCAGTCCCAAACCTGTTGATCGGTTGGAGCTTCAGTTTGTTCGGGTACGACAGACTGTTCAGTGGTATTCTCAGCGTTCTCAGCCACCTCGAGGCGAGAAATGGCAGGGATCTCTGGTTCTTCAATGGCCACAGGAGGCAGGTACATCGAACGGCGCGAGCGGCTTTTGAAGACGGTCGGTATCGGCTGGTTCTCTTGTTCCTAGAAAGGCATAATTCCATTAAACTTCGATGTTATACAACCTGGTCGGGCGAGGCTCGTTTCAGCACATTGCCACCTTCGAGATCAATGGGAGTCGGCAGATACATGGAGCGGCGAGTGCGGCTTTTCGTCACGATGGGCGCCGGTGCTTCCGGTTGTGGCTAGAAAAAACAATGAAAAGTTGTTTGTATAGCGCACCTCGGATCCATGCAGTGGCTCTACTGCTTTTGGTGATGATGGCCGGATCGTTTCCGCGGCAGTCGTATTTTCGGTTGAACTGCCAGCTCCCAGAATTTCGCAAGGAATGGGCAAATACATCGAACGCCTCCCGCGTGTCCGCACAATTGGGGCCGGCTCGAATTCACGTAACTGAACGAAACACGTCACTTTTTTAACAACGGAGCTTACCTTCTGCTCATCTTGAGCATCAACTGGGGACGGGCGACGGCCAGAACCCAAGACGTTAGGATCATGCCGGGATACGCAGACCGGCGGGGAAGGTGGAACAGGCATCTAAACAATAATTTATAAAACAAAAATGATTTCACATCCAACAGCTGCCGTCGCCCGAAGAAAATAGCACGAGCTTCCGGAGGTTGGGCGTCGTTCAATTCCGGGCTGATGCTCTGCGGTCTTGGGGATGAAGCCTCGGTCGTCATTTCGCCTTGAGTAGGGGGTTCTGTAGTACAATCTGCTTCGACCGTAGGTTCAGGCGTCGGCATGGGCTCCGATTCTGTGCTCACATCAGCTTCCGGGCTGAAAAAAAATAAAAGTTAATTAAAGTCCCGAAACGCTACCTTGTTATCACTGGGACCTCGAAAACGCCAGTTCGGCGCCTTCTCGCCACGCGCTCAGGCAGTGGAGGCTCGATAGGTGCCGGGCTGCCAGGTAGAGGCTCATCAGTTTCTATCAATTCTCCTTGTTCCTCCTCTTCAGCGGGATTTTCGAGCGCCGGTTCGGGGCCTTTTTGAAGCAAGGCCTAAGTTGAAATATATAAATTTCTAAATGTGACAAACCGAAAATTCGAGTAAAAAGCAGCCATCCCCAGCCTCAACGCCGTCCGGATCTTTTTCCGCATAGACTGGGTCTATTTGATCTGGGAGCACGAGCGGCATCAGCATCGTATCGTCACCATCGGATACAGCAACCATCCCGGGCACCGCATCAGACCTTCTAGGGATCAGCCGATATCGCGCCGTTTCGATGAAGCGTACGCCACGGTCGCCCCTAACTGTAAGCACCAATTATTAATTTTCAAGTGAAATTTTTACTTTTGTTCTTGTTCGCCAAAATTCCGCGGAGCCAGTCGGGACGTTCGATCGGCAGGAATTGAATGACGGGAGATGGGGGGCGAACCGGCCGCTTTCTCCTGACGACCTCCTCGATCACGAGCTTTTTGGCCTGCTTCCGTTCGCGCCGTGGATAGCGACTCCCACTTTGCTAAAAAAAATAATTAAGATTGCAGTGAACACGCTACGCACCCCGTCTTCCTCAGCTGTCTCGGCCTGCATCGCGGGCTATCTAAAATATAACTATTAGAAATTCTCAGAAACCACAATAACGTTTGAAAAACTGTCAGAAAATAGTAACCCCACGATCAAGCAAATCAAATCGGTATTGCGAAGATCTCTACCTTTCCAAAAACTACCTAGACACAAAAGATTTCCGTAAAATTCACTAAACAAGCTACAATTTGTATTGGCGCTATCGGCTGTGGACCACTTACGGCGTGAAAAGGGCACTCCACTTCGCGCCTATCCCTATTTGGATAACGTGCGTTGATAGGTCCCCGTTCGGAAATATTGCCCCGAAATCAAAACCTCTCGTAAATCTTCTAAAAAATAAAGCTTGACTTCCTCAAGAACAAAAATTTAGTTGGGATGGCCGCTGAAAAAGATGAAGCCGAAGTCCTTGCCGAACAGCCAAAGGAAGAGCCCGAAAAGCACGAGGCGAAGAAACGAGATCATCGCGAGATTGGTAATTTCTTTGTTTCTTTTTATTACTTGCTTTTTAGAAAAGTCACCTTCCCCGGCAGCAAAACGAGCAAAGAAAGAGGACAAGGAGAATGGGAAAGGCGATGAAAGCGTGAAGAAAGAGGAGGCGACGCGCAAGAAAGAAAAGACTGATGGTATTTGCTTGTAGTTTTTGCAAATGATTTTGAGTTTAGAAAAGTCGAAGGATGTAAGAAAAGATAAGGAAAAAGAAAGAGAAAAAGAAAAGGACCGCCACCATCGTGAAAAGGATACGAGGGATGAACGCAAGGATCGCGACAGGTCAGCCCGGAAAAGAATTTTCGTAATGATTTTTAGAGATCGCGAGCGAGACCGTCGGAGAAGTGATGATAAGGACAAGGATCGGCGGAGAGACAGCAGGAAGGAAGATGACCGGAAGCGACGCGATAAAGATCGTAAGAAAAATAAATATGCTGGAAACGTGGATTTAGGGAAAGATGATAAAGGGCGTAGAAAGTCTACGAAGAAGGAGGAAGAGCCAGCGGCACCGGTGAAGAAGGCTCCGACGGCACGCGACTTGGAGCGTCTGCGGCAGTATGAAGAAGAAATGGCGAAGGAAGAGGATAACAAAGATGAGGAGGGCCGTCCGGTTTGGTCGCTGACCAGGGCCCAGGCCGAGACGAGCAGCCGGCAGTGTCCTTATTTGGATACGATTGACCGGTAAGCTTTTTGATAAATCTGTTTTGAACATTGATTAAATGCTTAAAATCAGGGTTTGTGTTTTTCCAGAAACATGCTTGACTTCGACTTCGAAAAGCTGTGTTCCGTCTCCCTGTCTCATCTCAACGTCTACGCCTGCATGGTTTGCGGAAAATACTTCCAGGTATATTTTTGATCAAGTAAAAAAAAAATTATTGATTTTCAGGGGCGCGGTACCAGCACATATGCCTACACTCACTCGTTGGACACGGACCACCGCATTTTCCTCAATCTGCAGACCCTCAAGTTCTACTGCCTACCTGACATGTACGAGGTCATCGACCCGTCGCTCGAGGATATTAAGGTACAAGATTTTCCATATCCGTATGTTCATCTTTTTAGTACGTCTTGAAGCCCACTTTCACCGACAAGCTCATCAACGCGTTGGATGGGTAGCTTTTAACGAAAATACAGAAAAATTGTCTTTTAAGTTGGCAACGTCCTGCACGCGCCTACGACAATACGACGTATTTCCCGGGTGTCGTTGGGCTGAACAACATCAAGGCAAACGATTATGAGAATGTGATCTTGCACGTAAGCGACTTCAAATTTTGGCAAGAAACTGGTTATTTGTCAGGCGCTCTCCCATGTTACCCCCTTGCGCAACTACTTTCTGAAGGAGGAGAACTACTCGCAGATCAAGCGGCCACCGGGTGACAAGCTGGCGTTGCTATCGCAAAGGTAATTTTTGTGAGAAAGTTTTAATCAATGCCTTTGAAAAAAAAATTGGCGGAAAATGGTTAATTCTTTTCAGATTCGGTGAACTCGTACGCAAGCTATGGAACACGAAGGCTTTCAAGGCCCACGTTTCCCCGCACGAAATGTTGCAAGCGATCGTCGTCACATCACAGAAGCGCTTCCAGTTCACCAAGCAAGGTAGAAAAGTATCACTGGCTCTAAATACTTATTTTTAGGCGACGCGGCCGACTTTATGAGCTTTTTCCTCAACACCCTTCATCTCTCGTTGAACGGAACGCAGAAGAATTCGTCGAGTATTATTTACAAGTACGTTTCGTGGCTAATCTCCGAAATAGCTGTAATTTTAGAACGTTCCGCGGAAAAATGCGCCAGTACACCCGAAAAGTGCTTCCGGTCGACGCCAGCTCGGAGATGATTGCGAATGTGACAAATTCTGATGAATACAATGGTATCTAATTCTCAATTTTCACGTAATCCTGATTTAGAAACGGCCAAAGAGACGCCATTCCTTTTCCTGTCTCTCGATTTGCCGCCGCCACCCCTTTACGTGGACGCGGTGCTTCAGAATATCATCCCACAAGTCCCACTGCAGCAGCTGCTCGCCAAGTTCAACGGTGCTACCGAGAAGGTAAAATTTTGATTTTGATTGGTGTATCTCTTTGTTTTAGGAATACAAAACGTACAAGGACAACTTTATCAAGCGCTTCGAAATCCTCGAGCTGCCCAACTACCTGATCATCGTCTACCAGCGCTTCAAGAAGAACCAGTTTTTCGTCGAAAAGAACCCGACGATTGTCAACTTTCCGATCAGGTATTGATTTTTAATCAAAAAACAAAATATGGTTTTAGTAACATTGACCTCTACGATGCGCTTGCCGACGAGGCGAAGCCCAAGCACAAGTACACCACCTACGATCTGGTGGCCAACATTGTGCACGACGGGAAACCGGTCGGGGCTAATTCACAGCAAAAGAAGAAGGATGCCGAGGAGTCGGAGGGGCGTAATCGTGTCCAAATTCATCACAAGGTATTTATTCAATTAAGTTTTTATTTATTAACTTTTGTCTAGGGTACCGGTAAATGGTTCGAGATGGAAGACCTGCACGTCAAGGACATTCTGCCGCAGATGATCACGCTGGCCGAGTCGTATATTCAGGTTTGTTGTCTCCAGACTCGACTAAATAAAATTGGGATTTTTTAGATCTGGAAGCTCAACCGAACCAAGACCCGTGAAGAGCGTATGGGAGAGGATGAGAATTCTGATGAAGATGACATCAAGGCCGATCTCATCGCCGCCCTAAGACAACAACAGGTTGGAAAATATCGTAAAATTTTGTCATGCCGTTTTCAGCAGGTATCTGGCCCCCAGCTGCCCGAGGTGAAGACCGAGTCGATGGACACGAGCTGATTGTTACATTGACTGCCTTGTTTTGTTCGATTTACGTTGCGGAATTTTTTTGATTTTTAGTCACGGTGTCATTTTGGTCTCGAATAAATGTTATTGATTTTACTGTCGATTACCTTTGAAGAAAACAGTTGTTATTCTGAATACGAACATGACATGAAATTTGAGAAAAGTTTGGAAGCTTACGGAAGCTATGATAGATTTTTCACTTTGAGGATTCAGAGCCATGATCAAGCTTTTTTTTAGCCATGAGCGCCCTTGGAAAATTTGTCGGCTCGCAGACTGTCCGTGAGCTGTTGCAAAAAGGAATCATCAACAAAGTAACTCAAGGTTTTTACTCACAAATGGTAATCTAGGAAGGCGTTCGGCTCCTCGACTGCAGTTTCGTGCCCGGCGTCAAGCCCGACTGGAAAAAGTTTCGCCTCGAGCAGTATGGGAAGTTCGACAAATTGGCCCAGGCCAAAACACGGTATTAATGTCACACCTTCGCAAGCTTCTTTCCAGTGGCCGTGAAATGTACTTGGCTGGTCATATCCCCGAGGCTGTTCACGCTGACCTGGATTTGGCCATGTATCCGGGCCAGTACGAGCGCTTTTCACAGTATCCGCCCGAGGTTTTTGAGGTTGTTTTCGGTTGGAAGTGGTAAAAGTTCAAATTTTGTTTCAGCAGTATATCGAATTACTCGGCGTGAACCGCGGTGAGCATTTGATCCTATACGGTCGTGGGGCCTATCACGGAATGATGTGGCCGGCTCGATTTGCTTGGCTGTTCAAGGTATTTCTATAAGGAGGTGTCACCCTTTTTTTTAGTCCTACGGTCATCAAGAAGTCTCGTTGCTCGATGGCGGTCTGGAAGATTGGGCTAATCGCGGTTTCGAGATCACTCAAGAAGTTCCAAAATTACCGGTATTAATTTTAGTTTGAGAGAAACTGGGTTGTTAGAAAGGCAACTGGAAAGCCGGTGACCACTTCAAGGAGACGCTCATCACCTTCGAAGAGCTCGAGTCTGTGAATGGGAATTACGAAGTTGCTTACTTACTGTTTCATTTATTTCTCTTTAGCCCAAGCCCGTGCCCGACATCGAGCCCACGGATCCGGAGGCAGAGCAAAAGGAGAAGGAGGCAAAGTGGAGCAAGGAGATGGAGGACTGGGAGAAGCGGAACCGGGGCCACATGCTCATTGATCAGACGTCGTCGGTAATTATTTATGCCCCGTTTTTAAAGCTTTTGATTTTCAGATCAATTTCCTCGACTCACGACCGCGAGCGCAGTTCGAAGGTTTGCAGGAAAGCGGGCTTAATCAGATGTGTAGGGTGCTTTACCTATCTTTCTGCTAAACTTACAAGGGAACCTCACGGAGACATGGTGGAATTTCGGAAAACGCTCGCGGCTACCCCCGGGTAATCGGCCATTGCGATCACGATGCGCTTGTCAGATTTTTCTAAATAGACCTGTGGACAGAGATACAGCACTTCCGGAAAATGCTAATTTGCATAGAAGGATGGTTTATGAGGCTCTCCCATCACTATGGAATCACCAGTTGAATGGCCGAGTGGTAAGCGACCCACTTGGTAGGATGCTGACGAGGGTTCGAATCCGCTCATGATTTTTTGTTTTTGCTTTTTGCCAGAGATTTTTGTAAGTCCAGAATGTTACCAGTAATAGCCCGAAATCCCTAATGTTTAGCCATTAAAGGCAAAAAAATCGAAAAATGGAAATCAGTTCTGCCGGCTAGAGTTCCTACACCTGACCATCTGCAAAAAATGAAAAAAATTTCCCAAGAATAATTTTCTGACCACGTAACGTCGACAACTGTCATAAAATTTATAAATACTTTAGCACGTATGATTTTGGACTTGTACAAAAATCTCTGGCAAAAAGCAAAAACAAAAAATCATGAGCGGATTCGAACCCTCGTCAGCATCCTACCAAGTGGGTCGCTTACCACTCGGCCATTCAACTGGTGATTCCATAGTGATGGGAGAGCCTCATAAACCATCCTTCTATGCAAATTTTTTGCATGTAAATCAGCATTTTCCGGAAGTGCTGTATCTCTGTCCACAGGTCTATTTAGAAAAATCTGACAAGCGCATCGTGATCGCAATGGCCGATTACCCGGGGGTAGCCGCGAGCGTTTTTCGAAATTCCACCATGTCTCCGTGAGGTTCCCTTGTTAGATTTGTTGATTGATTGCTGTATTTGGAGTTTAATTTAGAAGCATATTTTCAGACTGCGACGCCGCCCACATTCCCGGCTTCCTGAATCTCCCGGTCGGCGAGATGTTCACCGACGAGGGAACGATCAAGGATCCCGCCATGATCAAAGCTTGTAACCTTTTACTGGAAACGATGACACTCCCTGTTTTAGGGCTCGAAGAAAATGGCTTCTCGGCTGGGAAGCCGACGGTGACGCAGTGCATGACGGGGATGCAGGCATCACTTTTGGCCTACGGAATCGAATACGCCCTTCCGGATCACCGCCCAAGATTGCATAGCGTAAGCCAAGTTTTCTTTTGTCAAAAATTGCCTTTTTTAGGGTAGCCTGAAGGAAATGGAAGTGCGCGACCCCCGTAAAGTCAGCGGCGGCCACCGTCACATCCCGCTATCCGCCAACGCTAAGCTTTAATTGATTTATTTCTAGGGTAGTTAGAGAATTTATTTTTTCCTTCGTGCCTTGTCGTGCTTGTTTTTGTTTGTTTGGTTGCTCACTTTTTTTGCACCGGTCGTGTGATTGAATAAAGAAAATTCGGAGCCTTGTGGCTTTCCCCCGGAATGCGATAGCAAAATGGCAGCAGAGGCACGGGGCGTCGAAGATTTTGATAAGGCCACTTCGGGAGGCAGTTTATTGATCGGCGCTCAGAATTCTCTTGGCGATGTTGAAGCTGTACGTCGTGTTGGTGCTGCTCAGCGTGGCGTATTCGCAGTCGATCTCATGTGAATTCTGCAAGCAAGGGTTGGCGAGCATGGGCAAGACGTTGATGAGCAACCCAGCGATGAGGGTAAGTTTTGCTTAGAAAAAACGTAAAATCAAAATGATTATTTCTAAGCCAAGTTTGCTAGAGCTTTCAGAACTAAATTTCGTTGAAATCCCAAATCCGGTATTGTAAAATAAGCGTTTTTTAGCAAGCAATGGCCCGTCAAATTTCGGACAACTGCGACCAGGTCCCCGACGACAATCTGAAGAAGGTTAGGAAACCGAAATAAGCTTTCTCCAATGGCATAGTTTAATTAATACTTCATACTACCGTTTTCCGCCTTAGGACTGCCGTGTCATCTACGGCGACCACTTTGACGACATTTTGAACGGAATCGGAAACGAGCCGAAAGCCCAACCGGAAGCTATGTGCCAGCAGATGGGCTATTGCTAGTGAAAATTTATTTTTGATAAATTTTTGGATCCGGAAATCGCTTCGCGTTCTTATTCGGAGCGCGCTAGCTAGGTTTTTTTACAGAATATCTTCTAGGTATTTGTGAAAATCCGTCTATATTTAATTTTGCGATTAAACACGTCTCTGGGCGCGTTACCGTACGAAAGTTAAACATTTCAGCGGATGCGAGAGGGGTCACATGTTCGTGCGAGGGTTTTCGGGATTTTTCCGTGGCCTCGGCGGGTCCGAAGTGTCCGGGCGTTTCTTTTGGGAAAAATTATATTTGCTCATAAACTACGGCGGGAGGGCAGGGCGGCGGTCCTGTTGGACTAACACTACCGGCGTTACAGTACAAGATTTAGGAGAAAACTTGCGAAAAATTATGGGTTTTTACACGGTTCTTTTGCAGGGAACGTACATCATTTTTGCGCTGGTTTTTAATGTTTGCCAGACGCGTTGAAACAAAATATTTTCCTGTGTAGATTACCCCATTTTTACGATAGTCAAAACACCTTTTCTGCACGTAATTTTTAAAAAAGTGGCCAGACCACAGTCCGAATCCTGTGAAGCGACCACCCCCGCCCGGGCGAACAATATGGCCGTTCGCGAAGAGGAGCCAATTGTTTGGTGATGAATGGGGGTGACCAGATAGACATCGAGCTAGAGAAAGAGACACATATTGGAAATGCAAACCGCTTCCCGGGGAGACCGAGAAACAACAAATGACAGAGAGGCAGCAGGGTCTAGAATATTTACTACTGGGTGATAGAGGGGAGAATCATGGGATCCGTGGAGCCATGATCAGCGCCGTTCGGCAGTGGATGGCTAGGGTAGAAATTTATAGTTTAAAACTGTGTATAACCTGGAAAGGACGAATATTATTTTTAAAGGTTTTATCAGCAAACAAGAGGCCATCGAAAAACCACGACAAAAACCCTCACGCTGCCGTTCCATTTCCAATGGTAATCCGCTTGAAAACTACGTGAGCGAAGAGAGAGAGAGAGAGAGAGAGAGAGAGAGAGAGAGTGCGATAAAGCGCAAATTCCGAGTTTGTGTTACGGGTCTGTTTGATGGTCGGGAGGGGAGCGCGGGCGCCGCGTGGGTGCTCGAATCCGGGGTTTTGGGCGTTTGGAGTATTTGATGGTGTGGGTGCTGCTGCTGTCCCTTTAGTGACCCTTTAAGCTTTCCCAGGTCTGCGCTTCGCGGGGCGTCCAGCTGATCCAATCCGCGAACCTCGAACTGGGGTTTTCTTATCGCACCGCACCGGTTCTCTGTTTTTTGCACGTAAATTTATAGCGTGATCGATTCCGGATAATAAAGATACCGCCGTTTTAATTCATTTGGTTACATATTGGAGGAGCCAAATTTTTGAGATTCTCGGATATTTTGGAAGCGCGAATCGGGAGAACGTAAAAAAATAGCCTATGAGAATTATTTGGAGCCTGAAAAAAATGGGATTTGAAGTTTTTAGACCATGAACTTTGGAAGATGATAGCGTGGATAGCGGGGAGGTTTTCGGCACTTTTACTATTTTCGAAATTGTGTAAATGCCATTCGAGAGATGACCGAACACACCGCTAGAGCTATTTTTATAGCCAAAAAACCAGGTTTAAAACTATTTCTATACCGAGAAATAATAGGTGGACCCCATTATTTTGTCACCGTGTTTCTGTAGTTATACTTTAAACCGCTGCACTGTAGGTTTTTCCCATTTGCCTGATCCCTATGGTTTGTGGCGTCTCCGTCCTACGTAAACAGTGGCCGAACGGGGGGTCAGCAAACGACTGACCTTCGCCTAGAAACGCTCTAAAAGGTACACATAAAGGTATGTGGGGGTGTCGCTAGTGCGTTAGAATTTTCAAAAGAAATGGCGGCCGGGTGCGACAGGCACATGGTGGCGATGAATAGACACACATCGACGCGGACAGCTCATATTTGCGATCGGGCTCTATAGGCACAGACCATATTCGGGGGGGGCTGGTTGCATTCCGACAATTTACTACGAACACTGAAACATTTAAGAGTATATAGATTTTAAAGGTGCCAGTAAGTGTTAAAATCCACTTGACGTCCACAGTTACGAGTGTCTTTAGGAGTGCCGCGTAGCTGTCGATGCCCAAACAACAGAAGGGGCGATTTGGACACGTTTTTAGCCCAATTCGACAGATTTTTAGTGACTTAGAAGCTATAAAAATATTAAGCGTTAAATTATTCTCCGTTGAGTCGCTTTTTTGACATGTTGTCACCGTGTTTTCCTGCCATTTGTTTTGGCGCCGATTTCTCTGCAAAATGACCGGAAACTCGACCCCGCAACAATTTTTGTAGGCTCATAAAAAACATAATTATTTTCAACAAACTGTCACCAAGAATTCACAAAATTTTTATGCAAATTTGAACTTTTTTTCTCCGATACTCGCACTTCTTCATCTCTTTGATTCATGTCGATTTTGTGGCCATTGGAACTGGTGGCCACAAAGATCGTAGACATTTCTCCTTTTTGGTTTCTGCTTTTTCATGCTCTCTCCTCTCTCTCTCTCTCTCTCTCTCTCTCGCTCTCTCGCTCTCTCGCTCTCGCTTCCTTCGTGGTAGCTACTAGGGGCAACCCATAGAGAAGGTGGGCTTAGGAATTTTGCTCATGGCCATGCACGAGCAGAAGCCGCTGCACAAACACTACCGGCTTTTCGTTGGGCTTTTCTTTTTGCAACGTCATTTTTACTTCTTTTTAATTAATTAAACCTGTATTAAAATCGCATCCTTTTATGCATGTTTTAAAGCCTAATTTGGTTTGATATTTTAGCTCTTTTGTGATTTTGCTGTTTTTCAAGTTTTGGAACGTCCAGACAATCTTTCAAGAAGTTTTGAATGCTTTTTGCGGATTACGGGGTCATATGAGGGTAGTAGATTGCAAAAAAAGCCAGAAACTGGCTTAACAAATATAATTAAGCTGCAACCGGTTGGGTAAAAAAAGCAGATTCGTTGATCTTAGAGAGACTTTCCAAATTTGCAATAACCAAAAATATGGTTTGAAGCCGGCAGTCCATTGCACTGACTAGCACCAGCCCGTCCGGCCGGCCGCTCCATCAACGTTTCTGGCAACAACATAGCACCGGGCGGCCTATTCGATTTGAGGCAGCGGGGAACGTTTTTCGGGGGCTTGTGTGGGGGCTATAGCGGGGTTTGCCGGCAAATTTTGTCAATTTTCCCCTTGAAAGACAGCAGTCCAAAAGAGCAGTGGCGCGTTATTTGTATTCGATCGTTTTTTCCGATATTTGTTTTGTTATGGCTGTTATGTTCTCTTTCCGCTACGTAGAAGAATTACCGGCTTTATTAAGTTTGTAAATTTTCCCAGGATTAATTTTTGGGTAAGTGTCCCCCCCCCAGCCGGCAGCAACTTTTGTATCTCGGCCCCCCCCCGTTGTGCTAGCGAGCTCTAAACTATACCAAAATGTTCGCCGTAGGCTAATTAGTAAGACTACATTGCAGTTCAGTCGAAAAAGTAGCGAAAAATAAAAATAAGGAAGGTGAAAAGTTGAAAAGTCGGCTGGGAGGGTTTCCTAGACTTGAGCCAATTTTTGAGTTTTGGAAAATTGCTTGGAATCCATGGAATGACAAATTAAAGATTTTTTTTATTGTTATTTTCGAATCCAGTTATTATTTTCCAAGAAAATACAGTTTACAAAAATGGTTTTTTGATCAGTATCTATTTTTGCGCCTAGCGATGAGTTTATAGCGTTTAAAATGTCTATGTAGTACCTTACATTACACTTTACGGCTACGTTTTACTTTACCTCCCCGGCAGAAAGTTTTTGGCTAGAACTTTTTTATTTTGAGACATTATCTGAATAGGCATCGGAATTGAAAACTCTTAGATGCGATATTTTTCGACGCTCTATCGAATGGTGTTGCAAAAATCCCGACAAAATAAGCGAAAATACCGAAAACTTTGAGACCTTTCGGCTGTGTGGGGGAGTAAAAAAAAAATATTAAACCCAAAAGGGGGGGTACAAAGGATTTTTTTAAAATATTTTAAATTTTTGGTCGTAAACTGCCTTAAATGCACACCTATACGTATCGAATAAATCATCCTCCTGCTTTAGTCACCAGAGAGAGGAGGGGGACCAAAAGCTTTTGGGGGGTTTCCGGCGATTTGCTGCACGGAGGAGAAAAATGGCCGCGGGGTCACAATATAAGGTGGGGGTGGAGGGAATGGAGAGGGCGGAAGGGGACAGAAAAAAGGAAATCCAATAGCCAGTCGGCTTCTGCCAACCACCCGGGGTCATTTCTAGCAATACATCCGTACTTGTTGGGTGGTGTTGTGCATTAATAGGGTTTTATGCACATTTTAGATTCAGAAATGGCGATAAAAATTTCGAGTACTACGCGTTTAGCATCCAAAAGTCCTTTAAAAAGCGATAACAGCACAAAATTTGTAGCTGACTATGCCTTTTGACATACTAATTTTCATCTTTTACCTTTATTTTGGGTTTTGGATGGTAGAAAACGATTTTTCTCCGAACGCCTTCAACTCCTTCTTAATTTTTCCGTAATGCTATAACTCGCCCCGAAAATTTAACAGTTCTTGGTTACCTCCTCCCTCCGCACCACTTCCTGATCAGGTTTTTCGGTCCCATTTTGACCCCCCTACATCCACACCAAATCCCGCTGGCCGTCTCAAGTTTATTTTCCATCCCAAAAAAATATGGCGGCCCGCGCCTGGCCAGGTTCGTCCCCACCTCAGCCGCGGCCATTTATTTGCTTAGCAGTCTTTCCGGCACCAGTCACCGCGAATTGTCGATTAGGGGGAGCCCCGGCTCTGTGGAGTTTTAGAAAACGGGCACCCGATCTTTTCGACCAACTGGCTATCTTAATTTTTTTATTATTCATTTTACTGGTTTTAAATTCTGCATTTCAAGAGCAGGAGCTAACTATATCAAAGTACAACCTTCTAGGAAATTTAGCGTCATTTAGAAATATAGTTTGGTAAGTTGAACGTGCAT